CAGAGGAGGAAAGTGGGGGCCCTGGGTGGTGGGGAGGCGCCCCAGAGCTGCGTTCTCTGGACAGGGCGGGGCTGAGCAGAGCGCAGTGGCTACCAGCTGGGGCCGGACAGTGGGGTTCTGGCCGTGGGCCACGTGCACCCCGGGACGGCATGGGGGGCCACCCATACTCCGGGATCGTGTGTGTGGGTCACACGCACCCCGGGATTGTGCGGAGGGCCCCACGGGACACAGTCCGGCGGGAGAGGCGGGGGTGGCGCGAGGAGGCCCCTCCCTGCCCGGACGGCGCCGCTGTCCCGGGCTCTGCTCCTGCCCAGCCGCTTAGAATCCGCTTTGTAAACGCGGAGGCGACAACGAGACTCTCAGCGTTGGAGAAGCCCGAGAGGAAGCGGCCGGGGAGCAGAGCCTTTCCGGGAACAGTAACCCCTTATGCTGGCCTGAATGGGGACTTGTTCTGCGGCGCCTCGGGCTCTGCCTGTGTTGACTTAACCTCCCACTCAGGACCAGCGAGTTTTCTGGAAGTGCGGGGGGTGCGGGTCACCCGTCCCAGGGGAGGGGGCTGCGATGGGGGCAGCCCGCTGGGGGCTCCTGCGGTGGGGGGGCTTGGGGACCCCGCAGGAGGGGCCGCGGGGAGGTGCATCCCCAGGGCTGCCCTCCCAGCCCCGCAGCGCCGCTGCCAGGTGGAGCCGAGGCTCCCACGCCCCGGGCGCCCGCCGAGCACCCCCAGGCGGGACACGGCCAGCTCAAACCCTCCGGGCTCACCGGGGGAGGGAAACGCTTGTCCCCTCACGGGGCCCGGACAAGCCCCGAGGGGGGGGGGGCCCTGCCCTCCAGGGCCATCCTGGCGGGCAGCCTGGGGAGCGGCTGAGGAGACGCCAGCGCGCGGGTGGACCCGGGCCAGGTGGCACTTCGCCTGAAGGTTGGGGACACTGGCAGGCCAGCCCTCAGGGTCCGCTCTGGGCACCGGGGTTGAGTGGGGGCAGGGCCCACACCCCAGCCGTCGGAGGCCAGTTTTTGGAGCCTGTAGTTGGTTCATTCTGGGGGGAAATCAGGAGGAACCGACTCCCCGGCCCGCTGGGGTTCTCCTAAAGCCTCCCGCTGGCTGACCGCACGTAGGCACAGGGGCTGGCCCGGCTGGGGAAGGCAGACGAACACCCAGAAGTTCTCCCCACAGCACACACGCCGCGTCCACGAGCACTGAGCACCCCGGCGATTTGGGCCCCAGGACCAGAACCACCCCAGGCTGAAGACAGCAGGACCCCGGGCGAGGCAGGTCTGCGGGGCCACACGGCCCTGCCCGCCTTAGTCACGGACTTCAGCGCCCGCGGCAGCCTCGCCACAAGCCCGCCACCCCGTGTGGCCCCCACAGGCCTCGGGGAGCCCGTTCCCGGGCAGGGAGCGGGGGTCGGCAGGTGGCCCGGCAGATGGACCCCGGCCGTGTCCCGAGAGCAGGCCCGGTCCCCGGGGCCGCCTCCTCTGCCGAGGAAGAGCTCGGCGGGGCTGGGCACGGAGCCTGGCAGAGCGGGCGGCCGTGCCCGCGTCCTCTCCGCGCAGAGGACACCGCGGAGCCCAGGACAGGGAAAGCCACGGGGACTTCCACGCTCGCCGGGCCGCTTGCTTGGGAAACCGACAGCCGCCCCGGAGCCGAAGGAGCAGCGGCTTTTCCCAAAGATCCCACGGACTATTCTGAGGCCAGCGCCGCTGCCAGGGCCGGGCGGAGGGGCCGGCGTGCCCACCTCCAGGCCCCGCTGACCGCGTGGAGTCCTGCCTGTTTCTCGGGCGGGCCGGCTGACCCGCCAGCTCCGGGGTGTGGGGGCGCAAGGAAGGTCTCCCCGTGACTGCCACAGCGTTCTCGCTGAGCTCCGGGGCGGGGAGCGGGCATCTGTCTGCTGGTTGGCCCACAGAAGCCGGCACCCCCGCCCCTGCCCTGGCAAGCTCCGGGGCGAGCTCCCGCGCCAAACGGCGCCCGCCGGAGGGGGCCCTGGCGTGAGGTCTGCGCCCTCAAACCTCAGCCGAGCCGGTGCCGGGAGGAGCCTTCAGCTCGCTGGACCCGGCAGGTGCTGCGGTTCTGCCCCGCGCCCCGGCCGGCCCCGTGCCCAGTGCCCAGCCCCGGCCCGCCCGGCCCGCCCCGGCCCAGCGGCCCTTCACCTGCTGGGGGGCGAGGCCGCACCCCGCGTCTCTGCCCCGCCGCGGCCCCCCCCATCAAGGCTCCGTCTTCAGCCAAACGCGCGTGGAGCGCCCGGCCCCGCGCAGGGAGCGGCCCGTAGGGGCCCGGAGGGGCCGAGGCGGCGTCTCCCCACGTCCCGCGGCTCCCGTCGCGCTCGGGAAAGGCGGGGGGCGCTGCCGGCGCCCCGGCCCCTCTCCGCCCGGAGCCGCCCCGACGAAGATGGCGGCCCCGCCGGGGACACCCGGCGCCCCGCGGGGCCGCGCCGCCGACCTGGGGTAACGGCCCGGCCGCTCCCCGGCGCCCCGAAACCAGCGCTCGGGCGCGGAGACGGCCCCCGCCCCGCCCCGCGCCGCCCCGGAGCGGCCCCCGCCGCCCGCCCGCCCGCCCGCCGCCCCGCCGGGCCGGGGCCTCCGAGCGCTCGCGCCGCCCCGACTCACCCAGCAGCAGCCAGAGGACGCGGCGCGGGACGGGCCCCGCCATGGCGCCCGCCGGGTCCGCGCTCTGCCCGCCGCGGGGAGGAGGCGGCGCGCCCGGGCCCTGCGCGGGGCGGGGCGGGCGGGGCGGGCGGGGCGGGGCGGGGCGGGGCGCACCTGCCGGCGGGGCGCGGGGCCGAGGCCCGACGAGCCCCGCTTCACGGTCGGGGGGCGGCCGGCGGACCCCGCGTCCCCGCCTCGAGCGCCCCCCGCGCCCCCGCCCCGATTCCGCCCGCGGGTCGCTCGCCCGGCCGAGGCCGTCCCCTCGGGGGCGGACAGCGGGGACCCCCGGGGGCCAAAGCTGCCCGCGAGCTGGGGAGACCCAGGGATGCAAAGGACGCGCGGTGGGGGCGGGGGGGGAGACGCCCGGGCGCCCCGGGACCCGCGGGCAGCGCAGGCCGGGCTGGCGGGGTCCTGGCGGGGTCGGGGCCGCGGGGACTGGGGGGCGGACGGGAGGGGGGGGTGCGGGGAAACCGGCTGCTCGGGGCGGGTGGGGAGGCCGGGAGGCCGCGCGGAGACCCCCAAAGTCAGAAGGGGACCCGTCACACGCCCTGGGAGGCGCCGCTGGGGACTCCGCGTGGGGACCTGGGGTGAGGGGGCGAGAAGCTCGGGTGTCCCTTCCGGCCAGAGCAGGGGTGACCCTGGGCGCGGGGCGGGGCAGACATCACTGCGGGCGGGGCTCCAGCTCAGGGGTGTCCGCGCTCCCCCGGCGGCCCCCGCCAGCACCGGGCTCCCGAGCTCTGGGCAGCTGAGGCCCCCCAGCCCCCCCCCACCGTCCCCCCCCCGCCTGCCCGTCCAGGGGCGCCGGCGGCCCAGCCGAGCCCAGCGGCGCCCTCCCCCCGACGGCCCCGCCCCCCCCCCCCCGGGCTCCCTCCTGGGCCGCGCCCCGCCCGCCCGCCCCGGCACCGGCACCGCGACCCCCTCGCATCGCCCCGTTTGGGCTCCGGGGCCCGCGTGGGAATCGGGGGACGCGGCAGACGCTGGCAGGGCCGCCCCCCCCCCCCGCCGCGTCCAGGCCGGGCCGCTCCCGGCTCCTGCCCGCCCTCCGCAGAGGCGCGACCGCGGGCGCAGCCCTCCCGGGTGGTCCTCTGGCCCTCGGCCGCCCCGCCGGCCGCGAACGGCGCCCCCCCAGGCGGACGGCGCCCCCCAGGAGGACGGCGCCCCCCCGCGGGTGCTGTCCTGCGGCCGCGTGCACCGGCCTGGGGCGGGGCCGCGCGAGGACCGTCCAGTGGGCGCGAGCCAGCCCCACGGCCGGCCCAGGAGGCGCGGGGGGAGGTCCGGCCCGGGCGGCGAGGACAGCGGGCGGCCGGGGTGGGGGTGGGGGCCTGTCCCGCCGGCCCTGGCCACGCGGAGACTCCGCGGCCGGGTCCGCCCCGCCGGCCAGCTGCCCCGCGACGCGGGCTGGGAACCGCCGGCGCCACTTGCGGGCGACAGTCTCAGGGTCCCCAACACCGCAGGCCTCTGGTTCTCTCCGCGGCTCCGCGTTCCGGCCGACACCGCCCGAACTTGGCGCCATCACGTAAATCCGCTGAAACGATGGGAAACTGCCCGCTGAGGGTATCTAGAAATCTGGAACCACCGCCAGCCCGAACTAGAGTCCACAAACCTTTCCTTAAATTAACGCCAGCGATTTTGAAGATAAATGCTGATTTTTTTTTTAGTTACAGCTTCAAAAGATCCGTGATTATTTCCATGCCTGCGTTTAACTCGGGACGCCGAGTACAGGATGGACCTGCCGGCCACGACTGAGAGCCTCTGATAAAGGCTGCCCTAGCTTCTGCGGAGACATCCTCACTTCAAGCGCCCTGACAGTCCACAGGGCTCTTTGTGGATGTCCCCAAGTCGAATGCAGGGACGTGGTCCCCGTATTCAGAAAGGGCATTAGACGCCGTCCAACCCCTCGGCAGCGTCAGCGGCGGGCTCCTCAGCGACGCCGAGTGCCCAGGGGCGGCCACCACCCGTGTTCCGCCCTCGGCAGCGGCTCTGAGCGCAGCATGTGTCCCCACAGGCAGGAAGAAAGCGCGTGGCCTACATGCTAGAAACATAATGTGGGGCTCACACCAATGAGCCTCAAGCTGCATCTAACAGCGCCCTTTAAAATCATGTTTTTTTACATTCTGGACCCAGTTCCTGGGTGAGTCTGATAATAACTACAGACAAACAAATGCAATTAAAAATTTCCTAAGAGATACTTATGAAATCTAGAAGTGTGGCCTGCGCTGTGCCCCCCCCCCCACCGCAGGCTGGCGGTCCAGTCACACCTGCAGAACGCCGCCAAGCCTGCAGAAGGCGTCAGTTGGGCTGTGGTCCCAGAGTCTGCCTTTAGCAAGTAGAGAATTCATCAAACACAAATGTTCAGTGGGTAACTTTTAATCTAGTCCTGTCAACTACACGCTGACTATTCTGAACATTTTAAACATTTGAAGAAAATGTGTAAACGGCACCTTTAAACAATGTTACTTTACACAAGTAAGCAGTTAAAGAAGTTTATGTTATCAGGTAAGGCACACAACCACGCTGAAAGATGTCTGCTTTACAACCTAACCTAACACCACAGGGCCCTTGACAAGACAAACAGGAGCAACACGCAGACCCTGCAGGCCTTCCCCAGAGGGCGCTGCCCTTCCAGACAATAGGGAGCCGCATCTAAGTGCTTGGAAATGAAGCAGTAACAGTGCATTAAATGTAACACAACAGCAATGTAATTATCTTGGAGTCTTAAAAATATACACGCTCCAAAAAGTGCGCCCCTGCAGATTCGGTTTATTTACCCATTATCTTAGGGCCCCATGTCAGAGCTTTGAGACAACTCAAAACTGGAAATAAAACAGGAACTCTGGGATACATTCATGGGTGAAAACCACAAGTTCTGAAACAAAAATGCTTTTGTCAATATTTAACAAAACTGATTAAACAAACACATCTTTAAAATGGACATGCTCGTTTGTTCTTATCCAAGACATGCAGCTTTAAGTCTAAGCATCAAGTGTGAAATAAAGTTTCCAAACATTGAAATTACCTTTTCATTTTACAGAGGATTTTCATATCGTAGAAATACCAGTGACTGAACTTTAAGGGAGGTCATAAAGCAGATTACAAACGGTAAATCCATTTATTGAGCTATTTAATCACATCACCTTGTTGTTATCACAGTTTCCTAAATGCTGTATGTGGAACATTCTCTGAAGGGTGGACCTCATGCTTTCCAAAGAAATCCTACAGGTCAAGGAAACAAAGGGGAAATCAAGAATAAAACATGTTGATAATTAAAAATCTGATATTCCAGAAAAGTGTGCTAAGTCACTCTCTTACCACAGCAGGCACAGCGAGCACGCTCACTCGCCGCATAGATGAGCACCAGCCACACACACCTACATAAAACTCTAACCCTTGTCTAGGGAAGTCACTACACTGTATTAGATCAGCCACAAAAACGGGTCACCAGAAATTACATACACAGAGAACTAACCAGGCTGTGTTTAACAGAGAAAACCAGATCATCACCATTGTAAAAACGCGAGGCAACATTCTGAACAGAAATCACTCAAGTGAGCTGTTCAAGGTACTTCATTTCCCATGAGGCACTGAAGCTAGCATCATCAAGGCAGACTCGCAAGTACTGGCCTACTCATGAGTATTACATGAAATTATTTTTAAGGCATGACCATGGGAAATAGACCTGAAAAGGAAATTCTAATATGCATCCTGGAGAAAGCTCTGTATTCACATAAAATCCTACACTTGTGACCTGCCTTAGTTTAAGCAGTTTTCCCCTTATTTTCAAGCCCATTTCTCTGCTTTATTCTTGTCAATTTGTCACTATTTGAAGTTATCTTGGCAATTTATTCCCTCCTCCTCTCTAAACATACGTAAGCTCCCTGAAGTCAGAGATTCGATTTTTTCAGTGCGGAATCTGAGCACCCAGAAGGTGCTGGAAGCCCGTGCCCTGGCATGTGGACCTGGGGCTACGCGCATGAAAATTCACTGCCCTCATGAGGAGGTAAGGAATGAGGAAAGCACTCAGCTGGCTACTCGGGAACCTGGAAGTGAGCACGGTCAGGCAGAACAGACTGGAGGGGGTGGCAGCTGGGACGGCGGCTGAAGATGTCACTGCAACGCTGTCTCGTGTGTGGCTGCGAAGATGCAGAGGAGTACAAGACAGAAAAGTAGGAATTGGGTTTCAGAGAGGGCAGCTGTGCTCAGGGTCACTGGGTGTCACTGCCCCGGGTGTTTTCAGTAAGTAGATCAAAAAAATGAAAAATAATCATAAATACGTATTCTTTCCAATTAAAATATAATAGTGTGGATTTTCAAAATTCTACAATTGACTTTCTACCTCTTTTTTCTTGTATACCAAAGATCTTGCTTCCTAACAAAATCAACACAGATAGTCTCTCCATCTAAATTTCAAAATAACAATATGCTTCTACTATTGGACAATTACATACAATTCGGGGTTATCTTTGCACTGCTAGTTATCCTCAGAATATATGACACTAACGTGTATATTTAAAATGTGTTATCAATGCAGCAAAATAATTCTTTACTCTGAGGTGGTCATGACGAGCTTAATATACTGTCAGTTTCATTAACTTTATTTTGTTTGCCTTGCCTTTTTGAGGACTGGTTTCCCTTTCCTTTTTCATTGTATTTTAGCACACACAAGCCCTTTGTTTCCTATACCAAAAGTAAGTAAATGATTTTCAGAGAAGTCTTCCTTCCACCCCCAGCACTACCCTCATTTTACCAGTTTTTCTTCCCAGAGTTTCTTCTCACAAACACAAGCCAGCCCGTGTGTGTGAACACTGTGTCCTTCCTAATGCTCAGTTAGCACACGCTGCGCATCATCGCTAGTGCTTCCACCCTGCACGCCACACACACACACAGGTCTTTCCCAAGTGTTTTCCCCCAGGGGACACTCAATCTTTTATAGGAATATTTATGTTTAGTTATTGACATTACTGGGTTTTTATCACCTTTCTAAATACTTTTGACTTGTCCTATGTCTTTTTTTTTTAAGATTGATTTATTTATGCATACAAGAGCTGGGGTACAGGCCAGAGGTGTGGGAGGTGAAAAGGATTCACCAGAGACAGAATGGGCAGATTGACCACTCAGGCAGATTGACCGAAGTACACTGCTGAGGGGAGCAGCGGGTGAGACAGAAGTCTGCTGTGCCATGTAGGTTGCTCCCTGGGATCCCAGGATGCTCCCTGGCCGTCTGGGGATCGAACTCGTGCTGCAGTGGCTGCGAACTACTTCATAGGTTGCGTCTTAACCCTTTGCGCCACCAGGGAGGCCCTGTCCCATGTCTTTTTATAGTGCTTTTTATTACTCTATATACTTCCCCCTGTATTTGTGTTCTCACTTTGTGATTGATCATTGTTAAGTGTACATTCTCATACACAGACTGACTAGTGAGTGTAAAACTGCTGGCAGAAATAAGGTGACCCCTGGGCCTCTCCAGAGGCACAGCAGTTTGAGCACTGGGCTGCAGAGCCGCCCGCAGCCTCTGCAGCGCTGGTTCAATCCCCGGCCACCAGCGAGGGTCCCACATGGCGCGCAGACCTCTCCTGCTGCACCCGCTGCTCCCCTCAGCAGTGTACTTCGTCAGTCTGCCTGCTCTGCTCCCCTCTCTGGCTCTGGTGGATTCTCTCACCCTCCTGCACTTCTGACTGTACCCAGTGCTTGTATAATTAAATAAATGAATCTTTAAAAAAAAAAAAAGAAATAATGTGACCCCTAAAATACAACTTCTTGCAACAAATTCTTACCTTCATTTCCTCTAGGTACATGGCAGAAGACGTACCCCAGACATTTTAATATGATTTAGGGAATAAATTCTGAAGCTGAATTACACCCTTCTGAGGAACTAGCTATTTCTGGTTTAAAGTTACTTCTAGAGCACAGCCTGTCGGGAACCGCGCACCTCTGCTGAGCATTCACCAAGGTCCCGCCGCCTGGCTTCAGTGCTATTAGAAGGATGCCTGACGTTTCTAGCTGTCCCTCTGCAAATACTGCCAGAAGAAAGGGGTGCCAGACCCTGGGCATATTTCCCTGGGACTCGTCTGCTCTGTACCCTTCATAGCTCTCGAGTGCCTTCAAGCAGGTTTCTTTACAATCATTCAGCTTTTTAGATGTTCTCCATGGAAAGTCGGTTTTAATCGCCTAGTTTTAATTGGGAACAAGATCCAATTCACTGTTTTGTAAAAAGGGATTCTATGGTTTTATGTGGTAATTTAAACACACACACTCTCTCCCCCACTGACACCTCCTTTCTCAATTGGTGGAGCTTATGTTCCTGCCTTGAATGGCCCCCACAGTGACACTCATCTAATGTGGCAGACACAGTGGGGTGTGACTCCCGAGGGCAGGCTCAGAAGACATTGCACCTTCTATCTCGGCCCCTCCCTCGGGCATCAGCTGCCATTATGTAAAGACACTGGAGCTGTTCTACGGAAAGGGCCATGGGGTAACTGCCAACAGCCACAAAGAGGTCATCTTAGAAGCAGGTCCCCAAGTCTCAGTCTAGCCTCCCAGTGGCGAACGCTCAGGCCTATACCCTGAGAGCCCCAGAACCACCAAAGAACCACCCAGAACCATGCTAAGCCACTCCTGAACCCTGCAAACTAGGAGATGAATGTTGTTTAATTTGATAAATTTTTGAGTAATGGGCTTTGCACTAATAGTGAATTAATAGGATAGGTTTGCCTTTAAATTAACATTATTTTAAGCTTACTATTCTTTTTATTTGAAAAGAAAATGAAATCAATAGCTTATAAATAATAACATGTAACATTTTAAGTAATAACACGTAAATATAAAAGACACGATTGAGGGCCTCCCTGGTGGCACAGGCGGTTGAGCACCACACTGTGAAGCTGTCCACAGCCTCTGCAGCGGCGTTGGATCCTGGCCGGCTGGCGAGAATCCCACACGGCACGGCAGACCTCTTCTGTCCCTGCTGCTCCCCTCAGCAATGTATTTTGTCAGTCTGTCTGTTCTGTTCCCGGCTCTGTCTCTGGTGAATGCTCTCGCCCTGCCGCACATCTGGCCCGTACCCCAGTTCTTATATAAATAAACAAATCTTTAAAGGACACGATTGACTTACCTTTATTGCTTCTTTTATTCTTAACTAGAAGCAGAATTTTTCAAAACAGATGAAGTCATTTCCACAATAGTATTAATAGGTAAGCCGTTCAGAAAGCCTTTATGATTTATTCTTACTTCTTGAAGAGCATCGATAATATGGTCTCTGTGTAAAAGGAAAATGTGTGTGAGTATCTGTCCTTTTGCACAGTAACACCTGCTTAATATAGCTAAGTTATTGAATTGAACTGTATTTCTACATGAAAAATTTACAACCAGTTAAAATATAATTGCAGGCATTACCTGCTAACTTCTGGATGTAGTTCAGTCAGTCTCTTCATAATCTTGGTAAAACTACGTAGATTCAATGTATTTGGAGGTATGAACTGAATAGGTATATCAGGCAATAGTTTAGCAGATTCAATCTGTTTACAATTCTTCTTGACACCCTAAGTATTAAAAGGTTTTCTTAAAATCAGTAAACATTACATAGAGAAATTCCAGCACAATTAAATTATAAAATTACAAAAAGTAAAATTAAAATTCCTATGATATTTATTTTTTATTTGGGATTTATTTTATGAGACTATTTATTCCTGGTAGGTTTACTTGAGCTGTGTTCAATAGCAAGTTTTAAAAAACCGCCCAACGTATTTTCTTATAGTAATGATAAAATATACAAGGTTATGTCTAAATCAGCTTTCCTTAACTGGCATTCCTCATCTGAACTGCGGAACATAGAAAAGATGTAAATTAATTTTTCAGGACGTAACTAGAGGCATCCACTCCAGATAAGCAGTAGAGTATTTAATTTGTTGCACACAGTGGACATTTTAGGCTTAGGGTGTGGTTTCATTCTCCTACCCGATGTGACAGAGGTTGGTGTACGTGGTGTCTATGAATGCTCTACATTTATTTACCGAATATGCAGTGAACACTAGCTGTGTGTTTGGGGGGGAGGGGCGGTGGGAAACCATGGATATAAAATAGAACTCCCTCTGTTTACAAATCTTAAAATCCATTTGAAGGGACAAAATCGAAATAACTAATTACTCTTGCCATGTGAGTAGGCTAAAATTGTAGGAAACCACTATAAACCTCAAAAGCGTTATAAAAAAATCAACACTTTAAAAGCCTAAACAAAAAGTCAGAGAAAGATATACAAACTATTAGCTCTGACTTATCAGAATGTTATTACGTCACTTATTTGCTTATTGCCTTATCTCCACTACATTTAAGCTCTTCAAGACCACTGATTTTTGTCTGTTTTGTTCACTGCTACTTTTCCGGTACCTACAACAGAGCACACAATTGGTGTGCAATGACTACTGAATAAATGAACGTTTGAGATACAATAGTTTAAGTGATAGCTGAAACTGCAGAGTTGATGAGATTTCCAACAGAGTCAGATGACTGTCAAACAACAATGGCTACTGTTTTTTGGGTGCCCTTTCCATGCCAGGCACTGTTCTGAGAACTTTCTGTGTAACTATTTAAAGCTCACGGTATTTGTGAGGGAGGAGCTATCCCCTCACTTAAGACAGGGGTGCTCAGATGCAGAGGTCAGATAACTGCCCAGGCACGTGACAAGGGGGGAGCAGAGCCAGGTTATGGATGTGTGGCTCTTTATCACCACTATTCTCATCATAGATAACGAATTATTTTCTAAATGAACATAAGGAATACATGTCAAGAACGTGATGAAAAAGGAAGGTGACAAGTAACTCTGGAGAGGTAGAGCGCTTGAGGGCAGAATCTAACAGATGACCACGGAGCTTTCCTCTGCACACACTCTAAGGCAGGCCTCTCCTCCTCTAGCCTGGGGTGCCCCAATGCCAACAACCCCTGCCCCACCTAGCGCGAAGGCCCACCGCTCCAGCTGACTGGGCTGAGGGTGCTGTCACCCGAACTAACAAATGCCAAGATCACAGATGGGTCCTGTGAACGCATGTGGAATCGGAACACAGAGCAAGCGCAGTAATCAGTCATGACAGGCGTTCGAACTGGAAATAAATTCGCTGCAGCTGGAAGGAAAGGACACGCAGTCAGCTGGTGGGAGGCGCCATGAGCGGATGAGGCCACCACCCGTTCAGAGAAGCTGGAGAGCGGAGCACAGAGACGGGGCAAGAAACGTGCTTCACACGAAGAGGAGGGGGCGGCCAGGTCCCCCCATCTCCAGTTCAGGACCCCATACTGTTCTCCTCTTCCTCCTGCAGTTAGGTTGGATGAACCCCACATTACACAGTGTCCTGGGATAGAAGGAAAAGATGTAAAAAAAGATGACCCATACCAAAAAGAGCAAATGCTCAAAAGGCAGGCAGGTGGGGACAGAGCAGGGAATCGGCCACTGGTCACAGCAGAAAAAGTCGTTCAAGTGCCAGTTTAGACCCCGAAGTCAGATTATTAGGACAAAGAAGGAATACCAAAGAAATCAAGATACTGAATATAAAAAACTATTTAGGGGAGGGCCTCCCCAGTGGCTCAGCAGTTAAGCGCTGGGTTGCGAAGCTGCCCGCAGCCTCCGCAGCGCCAGTTCCATCCCCAGCTGCCGGGCGAGGGTCCCACATGGCGCGCAGACCTCTCCTGCCGCCCGCTGCTCCCCTCAGCAGTGTACTTCGTCAGTCTGCCTGTTCTGCTCCCCGCTCTGGCTCTGGTGAATCCTCTCACCCTCCTGCGTTTCTGACTGTACCCAGTGCTTGTGTAAATAATCTTTAAAAAAAAAAACTATTTGGGGGAGTTGGACAGTAAAATCAGAGGGCAAGTAAGGATGGGAGCTTCCAAAGAATGAGAAGTCGTGAAAACCTCAGCAGGTCTGGGAAGAGCTGGGCGTGAATGTGAGCGGCGAGAGGGCGCTGCCGGCGAGAAGGGATCGCCGAGGGCACACACAAGAAAGCAGGCAACCCCGGAGTTAGGGCGAGATGGGGTCAAGGACAGAATAAGAGATTACTTTATTTCTTAAGGGGAAAATCTAGATGAATTTATATGACAAATATTTATTCTTTCATACATTTGTTAAAAAGGGATTGGCTCAGCTCTTATCTACAGATTCAAAATAGCCCCAATGCAAATTCAAGGGGGACTTTCAGTCTATACCGACAAATTGAATTATAAAATGTACACAGAGAGGCAAAGAAACTAGAATAAACAAAACAATGTTGTGAAAGAAAAAAGCTGGAGGACTCATTCTGCCGGATTTTAAGACTTACTAGGGAGCTGCACTGATCAGGACAGCACAGCCTATGGAGACAGAGACATACAGGCAGGAGTGTTCGCTTGGTCCATTTTTTTTTTTCCATAAAGGTGCCAAAGGCAATTCAATGGAGAGTCAACAAGGATGCTGGAGTAATTCCACATGCAAAACCCACACCGCACACACACACTATATAACACACACAACCAACACACGTGTGTACCCCCCCCCCATGTCCATCTGTACCTCACACATTATATGACAGTTAATTCAAAATCTTTGTGACCATGGGTTATGCAAAGATTCCTCAGAGACAACACAAAGGTACAAGTTAACAAGAAAACACTGCTCTGAGAAAGACACTATTAAAAGAATGCAAAGAGAAAGTAGTGACTGGTGAAAATATCTGCAGATCATAAACCTACCGATAACGAATTTTATTTAGAATATAAAAAACTCTTGAAACTCTTAAGACAACCACCTAATAAAAATGATCAAAACATTAACAGGAATGAGCTGCTGAGACAATAATGTGGGTCCATGTCAAATTCCTGAAACTAAGTGACAGAGGCCAGGAAAGAGAAGACTGTAAGCACAGGAGACAGCGCGGGGCCACAGACACCTGCCTATTCTTTTTTTTTTTTTTTTACTGTTTTATTTTAAATTTTATTTATTTATTTATTTTATTTTTATATTCCCCATACAATTGCAACCCTCTTATTTTGACCCCAATCCCTCCTTTCCCTGCCCGCCCTCCCATAGTGACACCTCCCTCTTCTCACAGGAGCAACAGGAGCAACTTACCAAAGTAAATTGGGCTGAACACCCAAGGTTAGAAATGATACTGATGCTGTTCCTATTCCCCCTTCAAGACTGCGGAACACACACACACACACACACACAATGAGTTGCATGAAGCTTGTAGCCACAGTACAACATATCCAAGGACTGTTTAAGGGACAGGTCAGAGAACTAACCTTCTGGTCGGAAGGGAAAAACTCACTGTCTTGCTCAGATCCCAGATGCCGTGGCCGGGATCTGGGCAGTCGAGAGACAGAGGTGGCGGAGCCGACTGCTCTGCCGGTGCTTTTCTCCAAATTATCCAAACCAACCCGACTCCCACTTCTGGAGGAGAGTGGTGCTGCGCATTCTCCAGGAGCTTTGACAAGCCGCACATTTACTGGTTTTCCCTTTATTTCTGTTCCGTTCATTTCTTTCACAGCCACCTTTGCATCGCTGCCTTTTTTAAAAGCAAGAGATGCATATCTAAAGCAGGAGAGCAGAAAACCAAAAGGTTCTTTGTTAATCATTTAACACTGCTTCAAACTTTCGTAACTACTGGCTGAGATGCACCTTCACGATAGCCATTCTTAAAAACAGAAGTGACTCTATCCTGGGGTGTCATCTCAACTTGTATAAATATTTCACTCTTTACTAAGGATTTCTGTGGAGATGAACAATTCTGAATTTTTACCTAATTTTTTGAGGTCTTGCATTTTGTAAGAAAATAAATAAAATTTACTATACTTATCTTGGGATTAGGAAGTTTATTTAAATAAAAACAAATTAAAGATGGAAATAAAAGGTGTAAGCATTTCTTACAAATTGTCTCCTATTAATTTTATATTAAAATTGAATGCAGGGGCCTCCCTGGTGGCACAGGGGGTTAAGCACCACACTGTGATGCAATCCGAGGCCTCTTCAGCATGAATTCGATCCCTGGCCAGCCAGGGAACTACCCATGTGGTGCAGCAGACCTCTCCTGCCTCCCCCACTGCCCCCCTCAGCAGTGGATTTCAGTCCATCTGCCTGTTCTGCTCCCCACTCTGTTTCTGGTGAGTCCTCTCACCCCCTGTATCTCTGGCCTGAATTCCAGCTCTTGTATGTATAAATAAATCTTTTTAAAAAAATGAATGCAAAAGGTTTACAAAACTTTTAAATGACAAGGTTGAACAGATGAACAGTCTGGGTTATCCAAACTAAAAAATTTTTGATGAACCCTATACACAAATATAAACTTCAGATGTCTCAAAGGCTTAAAAATTTAAATGTAAAAGGAGGGCCTCCCTGGTGGTTCGAGGGGTTAAGCACCGCACTATGAAGCAATCCACAGCCTCTGTAGCGGCTGGCCAGGGAGAAACCCACATGGTGCAAGACCTCTCCTGACTTGCCTGCTGCTCCCCTCAGCAGTGGATTTCGTCAGTCTACCTGTTCTGTTCCCCACTCTGTCTCTGGTGAGTCCTCTCACCCCCCGCATCTCTGGCCTGTACCCCAGCTCTATGTATAAATAAATAAATCTTTAAAAAAAATGTAAAAGGGAAAATTTGAAAACATTTAGCAGAATATATGAAAACATCCTTATGACTTGTAGTGGAAAAATACGTAGGCCAGCAATAGTTGGGGAATCTCCAACTATTCTCTGGGCATCGTCACCAGAGAACTGAGCTAGCTGGGACAGGCTGCACCTCCGAGGGCACCAGCCCTAGGTGGTGGCCGTGAAAAAGACAGGCAGCAAATCTAAAAAGAGGGATTTTCTAAAAAATCTCGGGGATTACAAGTAAATTTTTATAACCTCCTTGTATTTTTATATCTATTTTCTAAGCTTCCACACATAATGTGCAAGACTTTGAGTAATTAAAAAAAACAAACTTGTATTGCATACTTTAAAGTGCTAAGAAAGTAGATTTTGAAGTTCTCACAAGAAAATTTTTAAAATGCTGTAACTTTGTATGCTGATAAATATTAACAGTACTATTATAATGAGCACTTTGCAATATATACAAAATACCTAATTTTTATGTTGAACACCTGAAAAAAAACACACAAACTTTTGAAGAACTTATCCCCAGACTGAAAGACTCTTTCAGTCAAGCCACTCTTAGGATCCCAACACTACTCTGCTATAATGAAATGCATTAGCATAGCAGCAGGACAAATAAAAAAGCATATGATCTTAAGTTACTCCATTTAACACAAAACGAAACATTTTTAATAAATTTCAATCCCAACTACAAATAGATTCCTTTTGAAATTAAGATTTTCATATCTGAAATAAACAGCTATCTAAACCAGCGAAACAAAGTCATTCCCACTAAGCTCTCGCCATCATTACTTGATACTGTCGAATGTTCTCGCAATGCTATGAAACAGGAAGTAGGAGCACACACGCTGACTACATGCAGATGATGAAGAAGCTATCATACATAAAAGCATCAACTAAGAAGTACTTAAAGTAAAAAAATAACAAGAGTTAAGTACAATTTTCCAGTGCCTACCATGTACCAGGCCTCATTTAACTAATAAAAGCGTCCCGGCTATGCATAAATAAATCTTTAAAAAAAAAAAAAAAACAATGCAAAAGCGACCATGAAGGGACCAGGATCCGCTGCCAAGGTGCAGACTTTTTCAGCAAGCATTGACGAAGCTGGCCCTGAACCCACGCCTCGGCTGTGGGCCTGTGCTCTCTACTGACGCACTCCACGTGCCCCTGCAAAACAGCATAGAGTGCACGGAGACCAGCTCCCCTAGATGTCATCAGCGAGGCAGAAGCCACGACAAAGGGCGAATCTGACCAGACGGCCCCCCTGAGCGACCGCGGCTCCCCACTGCTGCAGCTCTCTGCGGCGGGGCACCCCGGAGGGGACAGTCCGGGACAAAGTCTCTGGCACAGCAGATACCCAGGACATGTGTCTTTACTGACTTTGAGGAACATACCTGTAATTAGTAGCACCACCATAAACTGCAATTTCAGAAACATGGTATTTTTGGAAATGACACCTTAAATCAGCCTGGAAGAGAAGCGGGAAATGTAGCAAAATAACAATGACCCAAATAGACACAATCAGTAGATTCAAAGATGAAGCTAAACAAACAGCCCCGGCATACCTCAGACACGGAGGGGCAGAGGCCCCCCACATGTATCAGGTGGCCTTTCTCTCTGCGCAAGGGGTCAGCGGTCTTCGTTTCTGCGTGCGGTAAAACACAACACACAACTCATGACGACCTTCACAGAACTGATGATTTTTTGGAAAAATGGAAAATTATTTAATATTTCATTTTTTATCATCTCTAAGGTTATTAGCAAATACCAACATTAGACAGGAGAACAGAGCGTAACCTTTAGATTTCAGGGTCTTAATCACATCATCTTAAAAACGAAGCGGCTAGACTGGTAGCTCAAAAATGAATCAAAAGCATTATGAACAGAGCAATCAATTACATTGTAATTCGTTACATCCCATCTGTGAAAGTGTCTCCCTTTTGTCTCTGGCTCAGAGAACTGCTGGCTGAGGTGCAGGGTGCAGGCTTCACTCACATCAGCTGGCTCAGGCTTCCGAGCACACACTCCTGTGCTGGGAAACCACGAAACTGAGAAGCCTTGAATGAGAGGCATGAAGGCGCTGTTCCCAGCTCCATCAGGACTTACCTAATAAATCTGCACCTCAGGCGCTTCATCTATAAACTGAAGGTAAAATGGTACCTTCCCAGCACTGCCAGGACGCTTTGATTAATAAGGCCTGGGACAGTGTCAATGGCAGTGACAGAAATAACACAAGGGCAAAAAAGAAGGGCAGGCAAGCAGCTTGATTTAAACAGTGTATTTTGGAAATCACAAATATTAGGCTCATAGATGTATTTTTTTCTGTTTGATAAAATAATTCATAATTTGTAGACTATGTTTTCCTGGTCTCTGTTTTGACCAGAACCTGGTCTACAGTAACACAGGATTCACTACATTGACGGGCCTTCAAGTTACTATCAAAACCCGCAGCTTGGGCCTCCCTGGTGGCGCAGCAGGTTGAGCGCAGCGCTGTGAAGCTATCCACAGCCTCTGCAGCGAGGGGTCGATTCCCAGCCGGCCAGGGAGATCCCCACATGGTGCGGCAGACCTCTCCCGTTGGGCCCGCTGCTCCCCTCAGCAGTATTTTCAGTCTGTCTGCCTGTTTTGCTCCTTGCTCTGTCTCTGGTGAATCTTCTCACCCTCTTGTGCCTCTGGCCCGTACCTGAGTTCTTGTATAAATAAAAATGGATCTTAAAAACAACCCCCCCGGGCCTTCCCGGTGGCGTAGCGGTTGAGCTCTGGGTTGCGAAGCTGCCCGTGGCCTCTGCAGCACCGGTTCGATCCCCGGCTGCTCCCCAGCCACTGGAGGAGGGTCCCACATGGCGCGCAGACCTCTCCTGCTGCCCGCTGCTCCCCTCAGCAGTGTACTTCGGTCCTTCTGCCTGCTCTGCTCCCTGCTCTGGCTCTGGTGAATTCTCTCACCCTCCCGCGCTTCTGACTGTACCCAGTGCTTGTATAAACAAACAAACAAATAAATAAATAAAACATGCCTCTATTTAAAAAAAAAAAAAATTGCATTAAAAAACAAAACAAAACAAAAAAACCTCACCGCCCACAGCTGGCACAGGGGGTATGCCAAAAATAACTGCTGAATGAATTCCCAGAGCAGCTTTTATTAATGTTTTGTAATTTGTATATAATAACGGGATGTTTGTTACTTGTTGTCATTAGGTAATAGTGACAAAGGCCTAACGCCGAGCACTTCCCACGGCACGGGTTCCTTGTGCACATCATCCAGAGCGCCCACCACCGCCGTGGCGGGTGACTCAGCATTTCCGTTTGCCAGGTGAGGACACTGAGGTCTCACAGTGTAGGTCACAAGTCTAGTAAGCAGCGGTGCTGAGACTCGGGCAGAACCTTCATTCATCTCTGGACACCTGACCTTCTTCGTCAGCTTCATTTAACATGTTCATCTCCTTGGTTTAAAATATACTTCAGAAAAAACGGTAAAATTACTTACCTTTACAATTGGTATTTGTACCCTCGGGTAAGTGAGAAGGGAGCGGGAACTCCTACAGAGCTTAGAAGAGGGCAGGGAGTAAGAATCAAGAGCACAGGAGCTAAAGCTCCGGCCTCGTGGAGACGCATGAGCGCGGGGGGTGTCAGTGCACCACGGAAGCAGAATACACGGCATGTGAGATGGGGAAAAATAATGTACGGAAAAAGTAGTTACAATTAAGTCAGATGACATGCCATTTACTTAAAACTATGTGTATTAAATGTAAGGATAAAAAATACATCAAAGTGGTAAAAACTATTGAGAGTGGGGTTACTGCAGGTTGGAAGACACTTCATGTAATTTTAATTTTGTTAAAAACATCTAAGGATTGGGCCTCCCCAGTGGCGCAGCGGTTGAGTGCCGGGTTGCGAAGCTGCCCGCAGCCTCTGCAGCGCCGGTTCGATCCCCGGCTGCTCCCCGGCCACCGGAGGAGGGTCCCACATGGCGGGCAGACCTCTCCTGCCGCCCGCTGCTCCCCTCAGCAGTGTACTTCGGTCCTTCTGCCTGCTCTGCTCCCCGCTCTGGCTCTGGTGAATTCTCTCACCCTCCCACGCTTCCGACTGTACCCAGTGCTTGTGTAAATAAATAAATAAAAATAATAAATCTTAAAAAAAAAATCTAAGGATTATTTATGCAAGCGGGATAAACACCCCCACGAGACGACTGCTATCACGCAGGATAAAAGCCCACAGAAGCACACAGGAAGACAGGGAGGGAGGGGACCACAGGGGCTGGCAGAGGGCAATGATCACAGGTAACAGAGGAAATCCCAGGTACAAGAAGCAGTTAAAGACGATTTCAAGGTGAAAAACATCCCTAGAAGAGGCTGAATTCCTAAAGAGAGGGGAGCCAATCGGACGCAGTCCAGCTGCCTGACAGAAACTGGGGAGCTTGTTCCACCAGCCATGGACCCCACATCATGCCTCAGGCTGCTGCAGAGTAGAGGAGCCCCGAGGGAGCCTGGTGCCAGCCGTGGACTGGAGGAAGGAGCTGTGGGCCCCCACCGCTAACTAGGTCACGGGCGTGTGCACTCAGTAGGCAGCGTTATGAAGGAGAAACGAACATTTTTAAACTGATTTTTCATAAAGGGGCCCACAAACAGGAATACTGAGACAGTTCACTGGGTGCCCCCAAGTCACCCGGAAGACAGGATACGCTATTTCACAGATAAGCCAGTGACAATGGCCCAGCGGGCAGGCAGGAACTCACCGAGTGCAGACTCCGGGCCCTCTCTGTCCTGTCCCGTCTGACTTTCCTGGATTCCCGAGAGGCCGACCCCAGTCAGGTTCTCTTGAGCATCAAACCAGGCTTCACTCATTTCGGCACAGTTCTTGCCCTCTGAGAATGGAGCACAGGCACACAGGAATTACGTGTAAAGTTCAACTTCTGAGAAGTTAGCTAAAAAGCTTCTCAGAACAAATCAGTATGATGATTAATTTTACGTCTAAATCGGAAATTAATTATTAGCAAAATAAGAGAACCAAACACAGAAACTCTCATGAGCGGCCCAAGTAAAATTATTTCTCAGTCCCAGTGACATGCTGCCTATCATTCCCAGCTTCTTCTGTCTAGTTATCTATACATATATATATATATGTTTTATTCACTCTAGTTTTATATATATATATATATATATACACACACACACACACAAGACATCTATAGCATCTTTATGCACAGAAGGACAATGATTGTCTTTAAGGCGGGTCAAGCAGCGTTACACTCTCCCTGTCATCTAACATGGAATTATTTAAGAATGATGCTGTTTTTTTCATAGAGGATCAAACGAAGAGGAACTATACATAATTTATAAACACAAACTGGACAGAAGAATTTTCAGATTGGAAAACATGAATCAGAAGAGTGAAAGGCTATTATTATTTGCACTATCAGATATATTAAATACCCTTACGATGTCAAATAGATGTAATAAAATAACATTCACGATCAACATTACTCATATTCAGCCAGTTAAAAATGTTTGTTCTGGGGCCTCCCCTGGTGGCGCAGCGTTTGAGCGCTGGGCTGCGAAGCTGCCCGCAGCCTCTGCAGCGCCAGTTCAATCCCCGGCTACCGGGCGAGGGTCCCACATGGCGTGGCAGACCTCTCCTGTCATGCCTGCTGCTCCCCTCAGCAGTGTATTTCTTTGTCAGTCTGCCTGCTCTGTTCCCCGCTCTGGCTTTGGTGAATTCTCTCACCCTCCTGCACTTCTGACTGTCCCCAGTGCTTGTATAAATAAATAAATAAATCTTAAAAAAAAAAAAAAGTTTGTTCTGACTTGACGAATGGGCACTGGGATATTTTAAACCTTGTAATTTGTTTCCTGACAACGACACCCGGTAACACGTTCTCACACTGACCTCTATCGTCAAGTCTCATCTGATGCAGGTCCATGCTGATGTCGCCACCTTTCAGCCCTCCTCCCTCGGGGGAGGCGTGCCGTGCAGCGTGACCACTGTCAGACAGCCAGGACACCTGCGGGTTCCAACAACAGGACTAAGCGCGGTGGGACGCGCACTCCTCACTGCTGCTCAGCCCTCCCGCGTGGAGGTTCAGAGAGCAAAGCCATTCCCAGCCCGAATTTGCAGGGAGCGAGCTGAGTCTGCCAATAAATAACTTGTTGCTTTATGTCGGTCACAGAGTCTAGGAGAACCAGGACTGAGCAGAGTGTAGGGAAGAAAGGCTGGTGCTACCATCATTTAGCAGGCGTGGTGCACACAGGACGTGAAGTATTTGTTGGAGGAATACATATATTTTTCACATTAACATTTAACAGTTACATATTTATTTTAATGTGTGTTAATATGTGCCTTTTATTGATGGGGAGTAATACCGCTTTCCCAAACATAACAGTAAGTTACTTTACATACACATTTATTTCAAAAGAAAAAATATTTAAAGAAAAATAGAACAAATAACAACCTAGGTAGCACAGCTACAGAAAATGGTGAATTTGGCACAGAAATAGCTGTGACTCAGAAACACGCCACGCCACACTGGCTTTCATGCAGACCTGCCAATTTAGTTATTAAATGATATTACATGACATGTAATACAATGTAATCCCAACTTAAAATACTGTTTGATAGACAGAACTAAGGTCATAAAATTGTTTTATCCTGTATCTTTAAAAAATAATTTATTGTTCTCAGGTGAGTGGGTTCTACTATTGGTACCTATACAATAATGGGAAAAATAAGGCCTCCAGAACATTATACATTTTTAAATAGACAAGTGGTTTCTGCAAACTAAGTAAGAAACTTGAGGATATAAAAATCTGGTTTTAGATATGTTAATTCTTTTTGGATAACTTTTTTTTTTTTTTAAAGACTAGGAGGGCCTCCCTGGTGGCACAGGCAGTTGAGCGCAGCGCTGTGAATCTGTCCACAGCCTCTGCAGTGCTGGTTCGATCCCTGCTGGCCTCGGAGCAACCCACATGGCGAGCAGACCTCTCCTGTCTCCCCGCTGCTCTCCTCGGCAGTGCCTTCGGTCAGTCTGCCTGTTCTGCTCCCCGCTCTGTCTCTGGTGAATCCTCTCACCCTCCCGTGCCTCTTGCCTGTACCCCGGCTCTTGTATAAATAAAATAAATCTTAAAAAAAAAAAAAGTATAAAGGTTCTTTTTTTAAAAAAAAAAAAGAGTAGGAAATACAAAATGTTTTAGGGTGGTCATTTAGGTTAATAGAAAGGAATCAAAATCAATCAAATCTCACTTTTGGCTCTGAAACGGATCTTTTTCTTTTTTTTTTTTTTTAAAGATTTATTTTATTTATTTATTTATACATGCACTGGGTATAGTCAGAAGCGTGGGAGGGTGAGAATTCACCAGAGCCAGAGCGGGGAGCAGAGCAGGCAGAAGGACCGAAGACACTGCTGAGCGGAGCAGCGGGCGGCAGGAGAGGTCTGCGCGCCAAGCGGGACCCTCCTCTGGTGGCCGGGGAGCAGCCGGGGATCGAACCAGCGCTGCAGAGGCTGCGGGCAGCTTCGCAAACCAGCGCTCAACCGCTGTGCCACCGGGGAGGCCCTGAAACGGATCTTTCTTAAGACCAGCCAACACCACTACCTCAGGGTCACAGCCTAAGTCAGACAGCCTCCCTCGCACACGGCTCACCTGAGCCCGAGCTCTAACCTATGTTCTATGCCCTCTCACCCGTTAGCGCCCCCCCCCTCCCCGACTGTCACCTGACAAACACACTTCCTTGGGGCAATGAGAGATCAAGAAAACCTGATGCCAGGCATTTCAAAACTGTTGAGATCATTTCAACGGAGGAATTAAGACCCTGCCCTGCCAGCGAGTGGTGTTACTCTCTGCAGGAAGGGAAGGCGTACTAGTTGTAACCACAGGGGAGGGATATGCCGGGGAGGCCGTAAGTCACGTGACGTGCCCACACCCACCCTGACTTACACCTACTGGCACAGGGAACAGCATCACTAACTTTCATCTTCAAAAATCTCTTGGTTTGATGACAAATTATGCGTCACTCCACTTAGTATGTACCACTGACATCTGTTTCATCAGGACGTAATGCTCCTCCTAATCAGGGACAGCCCTCACGTGGTAGCAAAGTAAGCCAGTTGAGTTAAAAGAAGGATGAAATTTTGAAATTTTAAATTTACTTTAAGTCATAACATTAAAAATACACATTTAAGAATTACTTTTAAAAATCTCACTTGAGAGAGAATCTTTTTTAGGCTCGAAGAAACGTCAACATCACTTGTACTTTGATTATCTAGTTCAGAATCTGCTCCTGAAAAGCTGAAAAGATGAATATTACATTAGAGATTTATCAATGTTCTGTTCACTTAACTTAAAAGTTAAGTGAATTAGGCAATTTTAAGATCTAATGAGTCATAAATTAGATGAACCAGAACTTACGCACGGGCGTCTTCTTTTATTAGCTGTGAAGAGAGGAGGAGGAAAGGCCTTTTAGTTTAAAATGTTCCCTGTCCAAATGAAATAAGAAATTGCCCCTACACTATACCTACCCTGCACGCAAAGGCAGAGAAAGCAGAGAGCAACTTTGATTCCATGGACAGCGGGGGCAGCTCTTCCAGTGGCACGCCCTGGTCTATTTTTTCTTTCAAGCTCATGTATCTAACTTTTAAATCTCCCAGAACAGACAGCAGTGCTGATCCTAACTCCTTCTTAGCCGTGTTACTTGATAAATTCCTGTTTAAAAGGTAAGTTCACAAAGCTAAATTATTTAGACCCTAGTCATCCACTTAACAATCATATACTTCATTCTAACGCACCAAATCTTAAAATGTTTTCCTTTATAAAACTAGTGAAATAAAATCAACCACAAAGGCATGTCTTTCCAAGGACAGCACAGGCAACCTCTTATACAGAAACCAAAGAGGAGGTGGCAGAGTGGCAAGCAAAACCCTCCAGCTGACTTCATCTACACGTGAACTTTATAAAGGAACATCAAACCGGCCCTGTTACTGGCCCCACACCCCAGCACGCACTGCTGCCTCCCCATGAGATAAACGTATTTCCCCCAGTCCAGGACTCCTAGACCAGCTAACAAACCCTGTTAGTTCAAAAATGAAAATTAAAGTCATATTCTAGAATTAAAGCTAGCCACAAATTTCTAAGAGATTTTCCTGAATAAAAGATACAGATTTAAAATGAATAATCACCCTTTTAATCCGCCCCAGTTTTCCATTACAAGCGCGTATATGTCACCGCACTGGCGACGGCACATCTGGTAGTGAGCGTCCAGCAGCTGCAGCTCTGCCCTGGCGGCCCTCTGCACTGCGTGTGCACAGCAGCTCAGCGGCAGATTCTTCTCCGTCTCTTGGGAAAGTTGAAATTCCCTTTGAAATAAAAGATGGGATTAGGTACGGCTCTAAAGATTTTTTTGCATTAATGACATGGCTCTATGAACAAATTTTAAATTTCTTACATTTCCCTGTCAAGTTTAAATCATTTTTACTGAAGATGGAAAGGCCGTGGGAAGACAATATAGCTTCAGCAACCAATCATGTCCTAAGTCAAAGCTAAGTGCACTCTATTTAGAAGTCAAGGAAGCAGACAATTCTCAAAGTCATGTATTTTTTTTTTTTTTTACCAGAAAAGAACTTCAAAGTAAAGTACTGATTTTATTTATCCAGAATCAACAGGTTTTCAACCTAAATCAACTCTTGGCCAATATATTTTAATGTGATAAGTGTTGTATATAGAAATTGCTCTTGAGTTATCTTTTTAATAGAAAAGATAATTTACACTTCTCCCAAATAAGGATCATTATTAGAGGCAAGTGTTTTGTTGTGTTCTCTATAAAAAAGCTCCAATCACTACATTTTTTGGGTGTTAGGAGTCCTTGGTAAACAGCTTTTTCCTGGCGGTTACTTCCAGCTGTTACACTACTTCTGTCTCTGGAAACTAACTCTTCTATTTAATTTTATAGGGCTGGATACCAGATTAAACTCATTAGAAAAATGAAGACTAAAGGAAAACGCAAGTGACCTCAGAGCATTTTGACAAGGAACTTGAGTTCTCAGAGATTTCCTCTTTTGTCTCCCCTCCCCCACCTACCGCTTCTCCATGGGTTCTGAATTATAGTGGTCTTAATAAATACAATTATACAATGAATTAAAATCAAGATTAAAACATCCCAATGAAAGTAGCTATCTATTCCTTCAAATATATGAGATTTTTCAAAGATACTGTTTCGTTTGGTTTATGAGGGGATCACATGAAAGAAATGGAGAAATGAAGTTAGTAGGAATTTGGGCTGGATAAAGACGCCACGGGTTTCGGAAGGAATTGCTGATACTGAAGTCTCAGTGAGAGGTGTTTAACAGCCTATATGGTGTTAACATTTATCTGCCTGCAGGTGACTGGCTGAAGTCGGATGCTGCTTGAGGCCCTTGAAGCTGTTACTCTACATGGCTACACACGTTCATGAAAAGCAAATCACTACTTTCTTTTTTCCCCATGCGGATCTGCAAGCGTACATTTGACTTACCTTTCAGGATGTTTCTTTACGTCTACATTATCAAATGTGTTTCTTAAATCCAGGGACACCTGAAAATAGGATTTTAAGTCAAATTAGAAACAGGTACCCGCCGCGCCTAGCGCTGTGGACCGGCTTGGGAGTCGGTGCACTTTCCCTTCAGACAGAGCTTTTTCATAAAAGCCTCGGGAACCCGTTATAATTTAAAGAGTCAAAACATTTTTTATCAGCATATGCTTCTTCATAAAGTCAAATAAAATCTCAGTATTCATCCTAATGGTTTTACCTTATGGAGGACACCCCCATCGGGGTTCTCATTGTCCGCTGTGAGAGATTCTCCCAGGGGCCCCTCCGTCGTGGCTGCCAGCGCGTCTCTGTTCCCCGGGCCGCGCCGCCCGTCTGTGTTACAGGCCACGCTTCTTTCTTTCTTACTTTGCCACTCACCAGGCTGCTTTTTATTCATCATTGTTATCCTGGTGTTACTGGATGTGGAAACCACAGAAGGGCTGGCGCTCGTCGCTCTGCTGGTAGTGAAGCAAGCCCTGAAATCAGTGCTGGCGTCGACGGCCTGAGTGGCGGTGACTGTGCCACCCGCTGCCTCTGTCCGCACCCCACGGCACGTTCCATCCGCGCTCTGAAGGCAAGCTTCACTCTTGGTGTTGCCTTTAGCAGCTTTCAGGGAGGCCTCTTCGTCCACTGCCTGATCATGTCTGGTTGCAACTCTCGGTACAGTAACAGAAAAGCCCAAGGCTTGGTTAGGGGCGCTTTGCAGGCTTTCATAGAGGGAATATGCATCAGAAATTACCGAATCATCAAAAAGGGAGGAGTAGGAAGCCTGACAATCTTGACAGGGCTGGAGCGATGTTTTTAAGGCTTTGTCCTGTGGTAATACACTAGGATTTTCAAGGTCCTGTAACATTTTGTTCTCAAAAACTGCATTTCCGCGGAACTCTTTACTTTCAGGTACTGGAAGTTTCAGTCTGCCAGTACAAATTTTAGTTTTTAATGATGCTTGAGGGCTTAAGAAATCACTCTTAGATTGAGATTCCTGGCTTTCAAGAGGACTACTCCTTAGTACAGTCTCATCAAACGCTGTGTGGTACATTAAACTCGCCTCCTGCTCTTCACACTTGTCATGCACTGATTCGTGATACTCTCTTAGTATCATACAATTCTGAAACTCGGAGACACAAGGTGAATCTCCTTGTCCATCAACATCAACTGAATCTAACGAGGTGCTACAACTGCTCCCTGCCCTAGCACGGCTGCCTCCCAGCTTGCCAGCGCCCCCCACTTCATTACCCGACTCTGCAGATCTAACACCGTCCCGGCGGGGCGTGCTCACTGCCTGTGTCTGGCCGAGAGACAAGCGGCTGCTTCTCAGCTCTTGCTCTTCCGCACTGTGATACTCCTGCTGCGAGTCCTCGTCTAGGTCACCCCTGGGCGTGTCTTTGGCAGTTTCTTTATGCTTTTCATCTGAAACCCTGCAGATTCTGCCCAAATCAACAGTCTTATTGCCTTGATGTTTCAAAATATCAAAAAGCACCTCCTCTCCTTTCTGCATATCAGAATCTAACTCCGAGTTTAAATGAGTAAGATTTCCATCCTTTACTTCCGACTCTGAATAATGGATAAAGTATGTCTTATTCAGGAAAGGAAAGTCACCACTGTCTTCAAACTCACTTGACCGAGAGTGAGCGCTCTCTGAGCTCGCATCCGGGCTCGCGGTGAAAGATGGCTGCGACCCACCTACTCTGTCAGTGTCACTGATTTCTTTGCCATTTGCTCTTTGATCCAGTGCCAGGGAAACCCGAGGAAAGGTCAATTTGGCTTCATGACAATGATTGGAAAGTAAGAGATTTTCTTTCTTAGGACCGGAAGCTTCATCTGAAGAAAAAAAAAAAATGTTAGCAGTAAAATCACAGGATCTAGACATTAGGAAAGATGTCAGCTGTGACCTGGTCCAAGCCCTCCTCAATGGAGGCGCACCTCTCACATCACCCACATCAGACATCCCTGTAGTTGCTGCCACGAACTAGACTGTCTCCCCTCCCCCCAGAACTTGCATGTTGCCGGTAACATGACAGTGACTATAGATGGAAACGCTGGGAAGTAACCGGGGCCAGTCATGTCATGAGGGTGGGGTCCTGGGCTGGGGTCATTCCCCAAGCCAGAAGACACCGGTGAGCAAGCACCACGGGAGGGCGCCACGAGAAGGTGGCTGTCTGGACAGAGTACCAGAACCCACCCGTGCTTACGGCCTGATTCAGACTTCCAGCTCGAGCATTGCGGGGAAGACGGCCTAGAGTTTGAGTCACCAGCGTACGATGTTTTGTTAAGGTGGCCTCAGCCGACCACGCCAGTAGCCAAGATTATTCTCACTCTTTCAGTGGCAAGGTGGTTACCACTGATAAAGCAGCCACTGCGAGAGCTGGGTGCCTCCCACTGCGAGCCGTAGGCACTGCAGAAACAAAAACCGGCTCTGGACCTGAATACTCCCGGCTTTCAGAGTCAGAGACAAGAAAAGCACATAAATGTAAACAGGTAGAGAGTGCTCACTAAGCTGTGTCGAGCAAGTGAGTGCTTAAGAGCAGCAGATGTCAGAGAAAATTGACATTTAAAAAGTGTTTTAAAAAAGGTATTTTAGGAAATCCAGCAGCATATACAAAGCCAGCTGTGTGAAAGAACGTGGTGTTCTCAGGGAAGTGCAAGCTAGCGTGTCAGGAATGACAGGGCTGTGAGCAGAGAGGCCTTTCCTGAGGTGCTCAGGGAGTCTGGCTCCAGAAGGGCCGGGCGAGCGCAAGTGAGGGCAGATACCACCGGCAGGGCTAGACTGAAGGCTCGGAGGGAGACCAGAGGCAGACCGAGCGCGCAGAAGTGGAGCTGGAAAGGAAGTGACTGGTAGTAAGTTCCGTGGTGGATTAGAACTGTAGAGGAGGAAAGGAGAAATTAGTGGCTTTCAAATACTTTTTTCTGACCAAGAACACAATCAGGGCCATCTCAAGAAAATCCACTACACGTGTGTGTATGTGTATAAGTGAAACAAAAATTTTAAAGAACAGCAACTACCCCAACTATGTCCATTGTATTTGGTATTTTCTATTCTATTTAAAAAACTGGTCCAATCAGCGAAACTGATTTCACGGCTCACCAAGTGGTCACCACTTATTTAAACATCATTCGAAGACAGTGGTGAGGTTTACAACTTGGGATCACAGCTGAGTGGGGCAGATGGAGCTGAAGAGAGATTTTCTGAAGAGAAGACTTAGGGGAGGAAGGGGCGAGGGGAGGTGGAGAAGGGTGCTCAGTGCACTGCCGTGTTTCTGGGGGGAGGGTCACGGCGAGCTGCGTCATCTTCCACTCTGCACACAAGCGGGCTGGCTGCGTCGTCCTCGGTTTGCACTGGAGCGCCTTATAGATTGTGGATATAAATTCTTTGTTTTTCATATTTATGATGTAAGTGATTTTTCCTCATTTACTGCTTACCTTATCCCTCTGGGCATGGAGAGCCAGCTTATGCGGTGAATGATGACAGCAAACATCACCCGTCCCACGCTGGGACGGCGCGGGGACAGGCGGCCAGGAAGCCCCTGCGGAGCTGAGGGCACCCAGGGCTCAGGGCACACAGATGTGCCCGTAGCCACTCAGCTCCCTGCCGACGGGCTCATCACAGCTGACACAACCACTGCTCCTCGTGCCCTGCCACCCGCGTCTCTACTTCCTCCGTCGTCTTCTCACCCAGTGTGGGGATTTCAGCACCCATGGTGGTGCCGTTCCCTTCCTTGTCAACACCCAAAGGCCTTCCAAGTATTCCTTACAGGTGCCACAGTCTGCAGCGCAGGCAGGAAGTGCTCAAAGTACAACACCTCAACCTTCATCTCATCACCCTTGGGGTTCCCCAGAACCCTGAGCACCTTGGCAATGGTGGGGTTCTGACCCATCACATTCCCGAATAGGCTGTATAAGAGCTTGCCTCCCTGTTTGGTCAAACAGCTGGAAGGCCTCGAACTCTGCTTTGGTCCATGGTGAAAACATGCATCTTGACTGCTCAGCTCTGTGAGACCTCGCCTATTGCTTGTCTTTGAACTTTTTCTAATACCTTGTCATGCCATAATTTTCTTTCTTTCTTTTTTTTTAAGATTTATTTATTTACACAAGCACTGGGTACAGTCAGAAGTGCAGGAGGGCGAGAGAATTCACCAGAGCCAGAGCAGGGAACAGAACAGGCAGACTGATGAAATACACTGCTGAGGGGAGCAGCGGGTGGCAGGAGAAGTCTGCGCGCCATGTGGGACCCTCGCCGGTGGCCGGGGATTGAACTGGCGCTGCAGAGGCTGCGGGCAGCTTTGCAACCCAGCGCTCAACTGCTGCGCCATGAAGGAGGCCCTCATACCATAATTTTCAAGATTATTTAATCAGTCCTTTCTCCTCTGACATCTGGCTTTTGTATCTCTGCTATTCCAGACAGTAAAAAAGTACTCGAAAATTTATCCCAATCTTGTGTGCATACACGTGTATATGTACCACTTAGCCTTTTCACACTACTTAGTATAAACTTTCTCTTTTGCGTGATGTAGGAATCTAATTGTTCCCCCCTAACAGACAGTCAGTTGTCCTAATGTCATTTGCTGAATAATTCAGGGTTTCTGTTTTGACTTGACATAGTGTTTTTGTCATGCCCTGGAGTTCTAATTGCTTCTTTCTGCACATATTGTTTTGATTACTATAGCACTATAGGGTATTTTATATCTGATACACTGCTTCTTTCTTCCTTTATTATTAAATTTCTTTAAAATTTTTTCCCTTAATTATCTTTTCACAGTTTCTCCTCCAGATCAGTTTTTAAAATCTTTTTGTGTGTGTGTGTGTGTGTGTGTGTGTGTGTGGAACCTTTTGAATTGCATAATAAGTTCTATTGGGATTTACAGGAAGAGATAACTATTATAATCTCCAATCTCAGGTGGCCTTTCCCTAGGCTTCCAACCTTTAATGTATGAATAGAAATGCAAACACCAATATTTGGTCCTATAAGATTGAAAAGTGATGTTATAACTTTATCTTTTATTTGACTCTCTTTAACGTCTCACAAATGCTTTATACACCAATCCCACTCTATTAATACTATCATCCCCAACCTTCAAGTTCATCTGAATCTTAACTTGGACATCCTTTTACTTTTAATCGTCCTCTTCTATTTTAAACGTGTCTCATACTGGATGGGATTTTTGTTTTAATCTGGAATGTCACTAGTTAAAAACCACCTATGTTCACAAGCATATAAAGTTTAGTCATCTTGGTTTTTATGTTCTTGTTATTTTTATTTTCTCTTCTACTATTACCACGGAAAATAAAAATTTCAGTTGTATGTGAAGACAAAGCACCTACACCTGCCGGGGAACAGGGAGCAACCTGTCTACTTCCCACTTGGCACCCTGAAGGCAAATGGGCCTCTCAGCAGTTCCTCAAAGCCCAGCTAGATGCAAACCCTGCCTTCCTGCTCACCTCCTCTCCCACTCCCCGGGCCTAGGGTGCTCACAGCCACCAAAATCCACCTGGCGAGGACGCCAAGCTAACTGGCACACGTGTCTCGGGACAGAAGGCTCACAGAGTAGCAACAATGCAGGAGGGGCCAGCTGCTCCAGTTAAATTCAGTCCTTCTCTCCGCCCAGAACAAAAACAACAGGGCTGGGCCCTCACCTTTCTGGCAGTTCCTTCCATTACTGTGGTAGCCTTTACCAGACACTGTTCCCACCACTGCAGTAGCCTGCATTGCTCAAGGATGTATATTCTAGAAGAAATAAAAATATTGAACTATTATTATACTTGGCATTATATTTAAATGCTGTTAGAAAAACGAGAATTTGACTACGTGACAGCTGTGTCAGAAATTCTAATACCACACAGCTAATAAAACAGCAGAACTTGTGGAACATTTGAATAACTTAAAAAAAAATGAAATGACAGCTATATAAAAGACTGTATTTTAAACAAACAGACATTCTTTTAAAATTTCAAGGGAACATAGAAAAAAATCAACGTGTTAGATCACCAAAAAGTCTTAATACAAAAGAGACGATTAAAAGGCTATAATGTGACCCTATTTCATAATAAACCTGGATCAAAAATGTTTTCAAAACCAGTAAGTAAACTTACTAAAAAGCACTGACATGTTACAGACATAAATGGAATGTCTTTCTGCGATAAAAACGAACTACAGCTACATTGCCTCATCAAGAAGCCAGACAAAAGAAATCACATATTGAATGATTCCTTTTAAAATAAATGCACAGAAAAAGCAAATGTACAGATTTGTGGCTGCCTGCTGAGGAGATGGGAAGGGGTTAACTGTGAACAGGCACAGGGATCTTACTGGAGGGATTAAAATGCTCTAAAATTTGATTTACTGTGTGATGGCTGTAGCGCTCGACAGGCTTACTAAAATAATATAAGAGTACACTTGAAAGGAGTAAAATACCTCAATAAAATTACTTTTAAGGGCCTCCCCGGTGGCGCAGCGGTTGAGCGCTGGGTTGCGAAGCTGCCCGCAGCCTCTGCGGCGCTGGTTTGATCCCCAGCTGCTCCCCGGCCACTGGAGGAGGGTCCCGCATGGCGCGCAGACCTCTCCTGCAGCCCGCTGCTCCCCTCAGCAGTGTACTTCGGTCCTTCTGCCTGCTCTGCTCCCTGCTCTGGCTCTGGTGAATTCTCTCACCCTCCCGCACTTCTGACTGTATGTACCCAGTGCATGTATAAGCAAAAACAAACAACCAAATAAAATAAATAAATAAATAAAAACATGCCTCTATTAAAAAAAAAAATAAAAATAAAATAAAAGATATTGACATTGGTTCTTGGAGCAGCTGCCACACGAGGAAGCTGGTCCCTTGCAGGAAACCAAGGCACCCCATGGGCTCAGTGACCCCAGCCGAGAACAACGTCCAGTCAACCCACAAAATCATTTTGATCCTCTGGTTCCCGGTTACTTTCACTGTCTCTACCTTAAAAAACTGAGGTGTCTTCACTGGAACTCTGGGACCCAGGTCGTATAAAAGTTCTTGATTAACTTGAGGAAAAGAGGAATTAATTTTGTTCTAATTCTTGAACTATTTTAATCAACGCTCTTGAACAAACCATCCACGTTTGCTCTTCCTGCTCCGCGTGAGAAGAGCGCTAGCGTCAGCAGAGCTCCCAGGCGAGGCGGCCCGACAGCCTGTCTAGCTCTGAGCTGTGATGCAGCCACTTACTAAACAGCGTGAACTTCAACAACTGAAAAACAAAATTAAGGGCGAGAAGATGAGCTTTCAAAATATACAGGACCAACCAAAAGTCACGGTTTCAGAAAAAGAATTTTTTCATTGACTTCTTTTCCTTCACAACATTGTCGTCCCCACAGATACTTCTCATTTAATAAGGCTGAAAGAGAACCAGCAAGCAGTCACCTCAAGAATCTAGGAAAGAACTAAAATCTTTAGAAAATGCTGAGGCTACAATGTTAAGACAAAAGCAGAAACGGCCAAATTAAAAGTGACAGAAATAATAAGCCGAGAACCAGTCTTCGAAACGGTATTTACAATGAATAAATAGACACATTTCACTGAGAGAGAGAGATGGAAACAGAAGACAACGGGGAGAAAAGGAGTATTTTAACAAGAGTAAAAAGACACTTTTAAACACTGAGATCGCCTCACATGCCGTGAATGGATAATTTGAAAATTTAGCCAAAATAGGAAATTTTCCAGGAAAATAATTTTTTAAAATGACAGAAACAGTTCGACAGAGAACTACCAACAGAAAAAATTGAAAAGCCCATCAAAGATCTACTCTGTTCCTATCAAGCCTTCTTGGAGCAAAGAGAAACGACAGGCTCCCTTATTCAGCTTAACGCTTGCTCCCCAAATTGAACAGAACTAGAACAGCAGCAGCAGCAGCAGCAGCAGCATCCTACGGTGTCATCCACTCATAAAAGCTTCCTGAGCGGCCCCAGTGCCAGGCCTGGGCAGCGCAGAGGGGAGAGAAACGCTTGCCCCTGTGATGGTCACTGGCCTGCGGTGAGACCCGAGGAACAAGGGCAAGTAAGTAAATCCTGTCACACGGCAGATGCTGCCGCCATGGAGGTAAACGAAGCTCGCAAGACCCAGGAGACAGCTCTGCGGGCGTGTATTTATGTGGTGGAAAATCAAGCAGTCAAGAGGCCCTTTTCCTGTAGGGTGAAACTTGGAAACGCAGCTGCAGGAGCGGGACAGGGCCCTGCGGGCGTCTAGCCAGGCACTGCCGAGACCGCCACTGTCGTCCGGGGGCAGGGCTGCTTGATTTTTAATTCTAGGGCACAGCCCTCTGGGGTGGTCAGGACAATGAAAGGGACCATTTAGTGGTCGATGGACAAGGACTCGGACTCCTGTGCCTCCTACTGGGCTGGTAAAAACACAGCGTGGCCTCTCGGTCATTTCTTCTAAATTAGCGAACACTTGCAGGGGAAGCTGTTCTGACGCTGTCCTTATTCTTGGGGTTCCCTCCCTTTCCCGAGTTGTGGTCTGGGAATTCTTCCTTATCTAGTTAGTTCTTAGGTGCTTTTAAGATTAAAAAATGTTTTTCTAGATTTTAAAATTGCCTTCTATGGGCAGGAAAGTCAAACTACCTAGTCTGCCATTCTTCTTAACTTCTGAATTATAATTTTAATTTTTTTAAAGATTTGTTTATTTTTATACAAGAGCTGGGGTACAGGCCAGAGGCGCAGGAGGGTGAGAGGATTCACCAGAGACAGAGCGGGGAGCAGAACAGGCAGACGGACCGAAGACACTGCTGAGGGGAGCAGCGGGGAGACAGGAGAGGTCTGCTGCGCCCTGTGGGAATCTCCCTGGCCAGCCGGGAATCAAACCTGCGCTGCAGAGGCTGCGGACAGCTCCACAGCGCTGTGCTCAACCCACTGCACCACCAGGTTTTACTTACAAGGGCAACGAGAAAAGGGAGGACAGGGAAAGAGAAAGACTGGTGGACACACAAACCACCAGTAATACCATCTCCGCTGAGACACCGGTGAAGTCAAAAGCCAGAGCCATTTTTTGAAATTTAACTGCACTTCATGTGACATCGGTAAAATCTTTTGACTTATGGACAAACTTTGAAATGATCTGTTTTGTAACATTAACTTACCTGTAAGTGAGAAGCAGTTTTAGGGAAATTAAAAGGTACATCTTCCAACAATCTCACCAGCTGACAAACGTGTCAGTGTTGTGGAAGAAGAGCGGCGCTCATAAAACTTCTCTCTACTCTACCGTATTTTTCAAAACTCCTTGCAATGTGACTATTTCCACGTAGAATGTTCCGAGAAGACCGCATGTGTATTGGTTTCAAGTTCAAGCACGGACTAACCTCCTGAAACACCACCCGGATCTGACCAGTCTTGAGGGCACGGCGCTGTAGGCTTCTGGAATGTTGCTTCTGCATGTTTTCCCGTTCTCGGAATGCTGCCCTCTAATTCCCAACTGCCTTAGCTTTTCTGAACGCCACTCCCTGTCAACCCAGCACAATCCTCTGCTTTGCTTAAAACCCCAAGCTCCTTGCTCAGTGATCTGTCACGCGCTTCCTGGGCGGGAAGCCGAAAAGCTCCTACTGGACATTCCCTTCCTTTTATAAATCACAGCCCCGCCGCACCACCCACTGTCCCGTGTTTACACACAGTTGTTTCACACACAGGGCCTAGCTTTCCCGTTGTTTTATGGCAATGCATCAGGTTCAGGCTCTGTGATTCCGTCACAGCCAGATGTCGCGGCATACCTGGGAGGAGTTCCGACCCCGGCACCATGAAGAGTAAGGAAGACGACGGGCGACTTCCTCAAGATCTGGACGTTAAACAACAGGTGTGTAAATAATCCACAGATCAATTTTCATTCACACAGAAATTAGAAAAAAATTACTAAATGATTACAAAAATACAACCTATCAAATCTTGCGGGGGACGGGTAAGACGGTATTCAGAGAAATTACAGCTTTAAGGGCTTCTAACAGAAAAGAAGGTTTAAAATAAATGATCTTAAAAACCAAAACAATTAGAAAAAATTAAAGGAAAAAGAGCGTAAATAATAGAGGACAATGAACATAACAAAGTTATTTTAAAACGATGAATAAGAATTTATAAACCCTTCACAAAACTGACCTAACAAAAAGAAAAAACAGAAATTATTATATCATTTTTGACACAGGGGATGTCACTACAGAACCTACAGACATTAAAAGGAAAGAGGGACTGTACTACACAACAGCTGTTGAATTCTACAACTCAGATACGCTTCCTAGAAAACAACCTTCTAAAATGAATATAAGAAGAAATTATTTGGATAATCTTATCTCCTAAGAAAATTCACCTGTAATTAAAAGCTTTCCCTCAAAGAAAACTCCAGATGCAGACGGTGTCACAGACGAATTCTACAAATCAATTAAGGGAGAAGTAAAGCCAGAATCAGTCTCCGCCAAGGCGCCGCGAAGGACGCGTAAGGCTCTCACAGTGGAAACGAGAAAACCCACGGCGGGAGCCGAGCCGCAGCGAGTCAGACCCCCGGGCCCGGAGGAAGAGGGCGAGTATCAAGCCCTTTTCTTTACAAACTGAGCCACAGATTCAACACTATTGTAATGAAAATGGTAGGATTTTTTTTTCCTTTGCTGGACGGTGACCAGCGTGCCGAAAGAGGTGATTAGGAACTGGAGAAGAGAGTCCAGGGCCTCCCCGGCGGCGCGCCGGGTGAGCGCTGGGTAGGGGCTGCCCGCGGCCTCTGCAGCGCCGGTTTGTTCCCGCCGCTGGCGAGGGTCCGGCCCCCCCCCCCCCCCCAACACACAGGAGAAAAAAAAAAAAAAGAGCGTCCAGAAGGACAGCCAGGGAAACGAGGAGGACATGTCCCTGTCACCGGAGGAGGCAGACGTGTCTTAAACACAAAAGGTGTTAACGAGAAAATTAATTTGCACGTCAACAACATTCACAAACTGTTCATCAAAGGATGTTACCAAGAAAATTGAAAACTCAAGTCAAAGACGGGCAAACACGCACTCACTGTGTGCCAGGAGACGCGTGCGCACAACTTTAAAAAAGACCATCTGACAAAAAGGGACAAAAATCGCCACACCTGCTTCCCACACACAGCACGAGGCATGCGCGCCGCCCCGGAGGACACGGCCCCGGAGGACACGGCCCCGGAGGACACGGCCCCGAGGACACGGCCCCGAGGACACGGCCCCGGAGGACACGGCCCCGGAGGACACAGCCCCGGAGGACACAGCCCCAAGGACACAGCCCCGGGGGACACAGCCCCGAGGACACAGCCCCGGAGGACACAGCCCCGAGGACACAGGGACACAGCCCCGGGGGACACAGCCCTGAGGACACAGCCCCGGAGGACACAGCCCCGAGGACACAGGGACACAGCCCAGGAGGACACAGCCCCGAGGACACAGCCCCGGAGGACACAGCCCCGGAGGACACAGCCCCGAGGACACAGCCCCGGGGGACACAGCCCCGGGGGACACAGCCCTGGGGGACACAGCCCCAGGGGACACAGCCCCGAGGACACAGGGACACAGCCCTGAAGGACACAGCCCCGAGGACACAGGGACACAGCCCTGGAGGACACAGCCCCGGAGGACACAGCCCCGGAGGACACAGCCCCGAGGACACAGCCCCGGGGACACAGCCCCGGAGGACACAGCCCCGAGGACACAGGGACACAGCCCCGGAGGACACAGCCCCGAGGACACAGAGGACACAGCCGCGGAGGACACAGCCCCGGGGGACACAGCCCTGAGGACACAGCCCCGAGGACACAGCCCCGGGGGACACAGCCCCGGGGGACACAGCCCCGGGGGACACAGCCCCGGAGGACACAGCCCCGAGGACACAGCCCCGGAGGACACAGCCCCGGGGGACACAGCCCCGAGGACACAGCCCCGGGGGACACAGCCCCGGGGGACACAGCCCCGAGGACACGGCCCCGGGGGACACGGCCCCGGGGGACACGGCCCCGGGGGACACGGCCCCGGAGGACACGAACCCGAGGACACGAACCCGAGGACACGGCCCCGGAGGACACGGCCCCGAGGACACGGCCCCGGAGGACACGGCCCCGGAGGACACAGCCGGGGCCCGGCGGGCGGGGCCGTCCCCGCGCCATGGCGCTGCAGCCGAGCCCGAGCCCGGCCGGAGCGGCCCCCGCGGCGCGGCCGACCCTGCCGCACCCCCACCCCGCACCCCCCGCCGCGGGTGTCGGTGGATCCGCCTGCTCTGCCCCCCGCGCTGTCTCCGGGGAGTCCTCTCGCCCCCCACTCTGGCCTGCGCCCCAGCGCTTATTTGCACAATCTTAAAAAAACCAAATGAAATAAAATGAAGAGTGAAACGAAAAGGGCTCGTTCCTCACGGCAGGCCACGGGACGCGAGAAAGCGTCAGGCTTAAGACAACACTGCGGCCCCCCGGGATCCCGCCCGACGTAAAAGGAAACAGGGAACATCAGTGACCACAGCGGCCGGAGGCCCCGCGGGAGGCGCGGGGAGGGCGGGAAGGGCCGCGACGGGCGCCCACCGGCTTCCGGGCTCCGGGGGACCCGCCCCCCGCCCCCCGCCCCGGAGGACGAAGACCCTCCCGGCGAGGCGGAGGCCCTGCGGGACCCCCGGCGGCCAAACCAGGACGCGAGCCCGCCGGGCCTGCAGCGGAGCCCCCCCCCCCCCCGTCCCCCCCCGTCCCCCCCCTCCCCCGCTCCCCCCACGGCTGCCGCCAAGCCCCGCCCCGGCGCCGGCCCCCGAACGCCCGCCCGCCCGCCCGCCCGCGCCTCGCAAGGGGCCGTCGTCGCGCTCGGGTGAAGGGGCATCTCGCCGGGGCTCCCCCACGCCGGGCCGGGGCCCCCGAAACGCCACCCACGCCCGCGGGCACGCGGCCACCCCCCCGCCCCGCCTCGCCCGTCTCCGGCCCGCGGGGGCACCTTCGCCGCCGGGTCGGCCCGCGGCCCCCGCCGGCTGCGGCCCCCACGACGGCGCGGCCCGCCGGGAGCGAGGCCCAGGGCACCAAGGGGGCTTCCGGGGCGTCAGGGCTCCCCGCCCGGCGCCCCGTCGGGAGAAGCCCGGCAGCCCCGACCCCGCCGCCCGCCCGCCCGTCGCACCTCAGAGCCGCCGCCTCACGTGAGCCGCCGCCCCAGCCAGGCGTTGGGCCGGGCCGCGGAGCGCGTCGGGTAACGCCCGCCCAAGGCCCGCCCACCGGCCGGCGCGGCGCTCCCATTGGGCGGCGCGGACCGGGCGGCGTCGTGATTGGCCAGGCGGGCGGCGCGCCGCGGGAGCCTCCGGGAGGTGGCGGAGACGGCGCCCTCTGGGGGCGCCCCGGCCTGGCCACCCGAGGTCCGCGTCTGGGGGAGCCCCTGCTTGTGTCGCCCCGCCCCGGACTGGGGCCAAGAGTGACCGTGGCTGCTGCGGTGGTTTAGGAAAAAAGAAGCAGAGGGGCCCCCTTGGTGGCGCAAGCGGTTGAGACGCGGCCTGTGGCGCATCCGCGGCCTCCGCGAGTTCGATCCCCGGCCAGGGAGCTGCCCACAGGGCGCGGCAGACTCTCCTGTCTCCCCGCTGCTCCCCCAGCAGCGTGTTTCAGTCAGTCCGCCTTTCTGCTCCCCGCTCTGTCTCTGGGGAATCCTCTCACCCCCACACTTCTGGCCCGCACCCCAGTTCTTGTAGCATAAATAATCTTTTAAAAAATTACTAAAAACAGGAAGCGCCCCCGAGGCTGGGCACGCCCCATCCCCAAGCTCCCCCCCGGCGCCCAGGACCCTAGGGTGCCCAGGTTTGCCTTCCCTGTGCTGAGCAGCACGGGGCGCGCTGTGCCTGCACCGGCCGGGTTTGAAGATTTACTGCGAAGAAAGAACGAAATAGCTCCGTAACTGCAGAAGATTTGTGACGTGGTGAAATGATAACATTTCCAGTACACCGGGCTCGGCATAGTTATTCTAATACATTTCGCCTGCTTGGTTTTTGGAGCGTAGCTCCTAGAACTAAATTTAAATTACATATTTAAATGTAATTTAATGTGGCTCATATTTCGGTTGCACGGCACTGCTCGGGGCGTGCCCATGGCCAAGACCTTTTCCTGGTTCAGGTTTTGGCTTAAATGCCACTTCCTCCATGAAGCCTTCCCTGACTGCCTGGCTTACTTAAGCAGTTGCCTCCCCAGGTGCTCACTCCCGATAACTTTCACACCAGGGCACCCTATCTCGTTGCCTGGTTTTCCTTTGCTTTCACAGCCTCTTTCATTCCCTGAAATGTTGCTTGCCGTCTGCACGCTTACTGCCTGCATTACCGCTGGAAGAGAACTGTTAGACCCCCGCACGTGAATACGAACTTGATAATGTTTAGTGAATTATGACGATCTCCAGAGAGGTCATCTCCCAGAAAATGTGCAGGCCTTTGTGATAAAATCATGGTCTCTCTCTCCCTTTCTCTCTCTCCTGCTGATCTTGTGACACCGTCTGCCGATTTCTTCTCGGTACCGTGTTGGGCTCTCCAGGGAGACCAGACGGAGGCCAGGCTACCGGCTGAGGCCCGGAGGCAGGGACGCCGAGCCTAACAGAGTCACCGGCCCACGCGGGGTGGGGCAGGCAGCGCCAACTGTTAGCCAGTGCAGTCGGCAGCCTGTCTCAGGTTTCCACGCTGGGGCACAGGCGCCTGCACGAGTCTGTGACAATGTTTAGTGAGTTATGACGAACTCCAGAGATTCTAGTTGTTCGGAAGCTGTCCAGCAGCTCCATCTTGTCTTGCCCCAGCTCCCAGCCCTCTGAGACGAGAGGGTCGCGGTGGACCAGCTTCCCATGGTCTCTGTGTACACACTGGCCTTCGCTGCGGCGATACTAGCGCTTGCCCCTGTATTCTTCTGCGCTGCTCTCTGCTGAATCTTAACTGCTAGATCCAGGCAACTTTTTCTGGATCTGTCTTCTCTATTACCTGTCCTTTGGTGTGCAGGGACCAGCCCCCTCTTCACATTACCTCGACATTGCCCAAATGGGCCGTGGGGGTGGGGCCGCCGTTGTTTTGTTCTATGACAGCCCCTGAACCCAATTAGAAATAGATTTTTAAGGTAGCAGAATAAAAATTTTTGATATGGGGTATCAAGCCACTTTTCTTTAAACCACATTTAGCAAATTAGGGGGTGTGAAGAGCCATCCTTCCTAGGAGCTACAGCATTCCAGCTCGTTCAGCAGGCTGAGGAAATCCATCCCGAAAGCCCAAGCCGGCCTCCAAGAGCTGGGGGGGAGGTGCTGGGAGGGAGGTGGAGTAGCCAGGCGAGGAGCTTGGGAGGGTACTCAGCACCCTTGAATGGGGGGGGTGTGTGTGGAGCCACAGAGCAGCAGGCATGGTGCTGTCTTCTTCTGAAGGCAGAGCTTAGTCCCCCCCAGTGTGGTGGTGGTGGGCCCAGTGGGCTGGTGGCAAGGGGTACATGCAAACCTTCCCCCCCACTGTCCCCGCCACCCGCATCCATACACAGGGCAGGAGCCCTTGGGATGCAGAGAGTGTTAATAAAGAACTTGAAATCTTTCCAGTTTGGGTCTCTTTCCCGCAGACCCTGGTGTTCTTGTTACTGAGTTGTCAGGGAGGCACCCCCAGCACCTGGCCCTTGGCACTAGGGAGGAGCCATCGGCAAGGGCTGGGCTATTGTGACAGAGGCGAGAAAGGGGCAGGTCAAGGGTGCTGGGGCCAGCCATACACCCCACCCAGCAGGTGGCAGTGGCATCAGGGCATGCTGCAGCAAGCGTGGGCAGGGCCTGGGGCCTAGTTCTGGGGGCTCCTGGGCCCAGTGCAGCCCTGCACTGAGGTCCTCAAGGCCCCCGGGGTCCTCCGTGCCTCTGGGAGGGGACCGGGTGCTCCTTACTGTGGCTGCAGCTCCAGCCAGCGCAGTAGACAGCGGCTCTGCCACCCTCAGACGCACATGCAGACTCGTGCAGGTGCCTGTGCCCCAGTGTGGAAACCTGAGACAGGCTGCCGACTGCACTGGCTAATAGCTGGCGCTGCCTGCCCCACCCCGCATGGGCTGGTGGCTCTGTGTAGGCCCGGCGTCCCTGCCTCTGGGCCTCAGCCCGTAGCCTGGCCTCCATCTGGTCTCCCCCGAGAGCCCAGCACAGTACAGAGAAGAAATCTGCGGACGTTGTCACAAATCAGCAGGTGCTTGGTTCTTGGCTTGCAGGCTGGCTGTTCCAACAGGACATGTAAACCCAGGGAAATGTTTTACGGCAATTCCGAGCTGCGCCCCGTCAGTGCTGTCCAGCTACGCCGTCCTCTGAGCAGCTGGCTCTGTGTCCTAAATGCCACTTCATCTCTAAAGAAGGATCGATTTGCAGGAAACACAGCAGGGGTCCTGGCCCCGGTTCCCACCACCTCTCCTCCCAGGCTCCTGATGCGGCTGGGCAGGGCCCGCTGCATCCCACTGCAGGGACCCTTAGTTTGTCCGTCACCCCTGGGGGCAGAGATCAGGGAAGCTGCTCAGTCGCCCCCGGCGCCCAGGCCAGTGTGAGGTGGTGGCTCCAGGCTGAGGGGTGCGGGAGCACGATAGGCCCTGAGCAGCCCCAGAGGAAGCTGCGAATCCCGCCTCTCCTCTGGGTTAAGGGACAGGTGCACGGCATGGCCTTGCTGCTCCAGCCGGGGTGGGTGGGGAGAGGGAGCGGGGACGAGACCTCCTGAAAGCCCCGCGGCGGGGACGGCCACCTTCCCAGGGCTGCTGAGGGGTTAGACTGCTCCTTCAGGGCCCTCCGCTCTTCAGCCACTAGACTCCAGCCCACGGACCCCGGGGCCCCGGCTTCCTCATCTGTGATATGAATTTAACAACATCGACCTCACAGTGGTCGTGGAACCCATGACCGCGGGCACAGCTGAGTGTTTGCTGTTAGCAGGACTTGAAGCTATTGGCTGTTGGGATGGTCGAATAGGTTTGTAGCCAGATGAAGGGAAGAGAGTTTAGGGACGACAGTGAAGCTGACATCTCTCCGGGCCCCGTGTGGTCAGGAGGCGGCTTCCTTCTTCCTTTTCACAGGGCATCTGTGGGTGCGGTACACGTCACCCAGTCGTGCCCACTTCCAGCAATACTGCTGGCTGGCTCTGCCCACAGTTTCCTGCCTGCTGGCGTCAGCCCCGGCCCCCCTCAAGCCCTGCAGGGGGTGGTGGCCCCAATCTCTCCAGTGAGGCCTTCATCCCACATTGTCCCTTTCCTAGGACTCTTCAGTGCTAGAATGTTCTTTAGAGTTCTCTTTCATCTGCACTAGGGAAAGCCCTAGCACAGATGAATTGTTTTTTTTTTTTTTTTTATGGTGCATTTTCTCTGTTCAAAGCCCTGCGTGGTTTCCGTTCTCAGACTGGACCCTGATCCATTTCTCGCAGTTTTGAAAGAAACTGGAACCCTCAGGGCTCATTAAGTAGATTTCAACTTTAAAAATCTTTTGAAACTAATTATCCTAAGATTTGGTCTGACAAAGAAATACAAAAGCTACATTTCTGCAACGAGTCAGTTTCTATGGGATCAACGGAGTGGGTTTCTGTGCAGAAATGCTTGTTCTGCATACACAGCAGTCAGAGCCGCCCGGGGGCAGACATGCTGGATTGGCCACTGGTGACTCATCTGTGCAGTCCTCAAGCAAAGAGTTTAACTGTGAGACAGTCTTGGTACAGACACACAAGCCTCTCTCACACCTAATGCAATGCACCTCGCCTGGCCTGGCTATTGGGGGATGGGCCCTCAGGCCCTCTAACACTGTTGAAGCCTCTTCTTAATTACCTACACCCAACTCATGTCCCCCAAACCAGCGCTCTCCGAGTGCCCACACCAGAGTTTGGGATGATACTGTCTTGATTTGTATTTGCTCATCTCTTGAGAAGCAGTCCTAGTCAACCAACCTTATTTGAAACACAACATATACAAAGAGTAACTAAAAATCAACAACTAGCTAAACTTTCTTTACTTGGTCCTTGGAGCTCCCGTACCTAACTTCAGTTTACTTTTGATTCTAAGAGCGATAACCCTTGTAAGTGCACAGTTCTTACCCTTCATCAATATACCTCTTTTTTTTCTTTAAATAGGGAGAGCAAAATGAATTGACCTGGTGTGCTTGTGAAACAAAAAGATGACGCAAACTATGCAGAACAGTCACTGTGAAAGTACTTAAAGATCTTTGTGGGAAAACATAAAGCACCACCATTAATGTCTCTTAACATTTCATTTTTTTTTTATTTTTCTAATAGTACATTCTTTAAAAGAAGTTAACAACTTCGATTTCAAATATAAGGATTAAATAACGCAAATGAAAAGCTGTCATCATCGGTGAAGCTATTGCCTAATTACCCTGGAAAAAAGGATTCGTATGACTGAACAGATGCAAAAATCCCTTAGAAAAGCTTCGTTTGTTGCCTGTAGAGTCTTCTTAAGGTCACTTTTGCTTGTAGACCACCCCCTGTTGCCGTAAGGAGTCCTGCTTGGAAATGGCTTGTGATTCCACAGTGTTTTGTGTGTGAAAAGCGCAGACTAAGAGACACTACCGCAGCCGCTCGAGTGGCCGATGCCGCCACTAACGGAAGTCCCGACACTGACACATTCCCCGTAACTTCAGCAAGACACGTGAAAAGAAACTCAAGTCCCCTTATCCTTAGCTTTGACCGCTCCGGCCCCCGGGCTCTGTGCTGCGGGGCCGCGGGCCCATGTGCTTATGGAAACACGGCCGTTTTGGCGTGGCGTCCGGTCCGGGTGCTGGCCTCTGGCGCGGCTGGGGCTCCGGGAGAGCCACTGGGCAGCAGGTGCGCCTGGGCATCCCAGCGGCAGGCACCAGGCAGAGCGCAGGGGACAGCGCTGTAGGTGCCGCGCCCGCTCCATCCCGTCCCGTCCCGGGCATCACTGCTGGGACAGGAGGGCGCTCCGGTTGGCTTTCATCTTCTCCAGACGCTTCACCAAGTGGCCGTTGCTCACCTCCAGCTCTTCTGTCTTGTCCAGCGCAGAGCGGAGCTGGAACAGAGGGCAGTGCGTGAGCTGGGGGCTGGGATCCCAGACAGGGCAGCAGGGCCGAGCTTCTGACCCCACTGCAAAATACGGGGTGACTGGACCCACTGAGGCCTGACATGCACACGTGCATCTGCATGGGTGTGGGCAGGCCCAGCTCGATGTCACAGCTGCGCAGGGTGCCAGGCGCCAGCCTCGCGAGCACAGGGAAGCTTCCCAGGCATGGCACAGCTGTGGATCTTGATGGCCTCACAGAACACCAATGAGGCACAAACAAGCCAGTGGGAGCTGCTGGCACCTACTGGAGGGGGTGGCCGTGCCTGGACAGCAAGAAGCACGTTTCTGTGGCCAGAAGCCAAGCAGGAGGGTCTGAGGCCAAGAGGGACACACGGGGGCCAGGGCCATGAGCCCGGGAGTCAGAGGGAGCCACATGGGCTGGGGCTGGCTGGACCCAAAGGTGGGGTCATCAGAACTGTCCTCAGCGCTGCTTCCAGCCCAGAGCCCTCAAGAGGGTGGTGGGGCTCCTGGGCCAGCTTCACCCCCAGCCATGTGCCTCACCAGCAGAGGCTGGAGCAGACGTAAAGCAGGCCCTCTCTGCAGGCAAGGCCCAAGTCAGGCCTGGGTGGGCGGGGCACGGAAATCAAACCAAACCCCAGGACCCCACAAGCCCCTGGAGGACGGGGCCTCTGAGGCAGCGGGAGCCATAAATGACAGAATTAGACTCCCAAGGTCTGGGCACGTTCCGGCTGTTGGAGGCGGAAGAGCTGTGTGTGAAGTTGTGAAAGAAGCAAGGAAGGCCACAGCTAAGAGAGGGCAGGCCCGGCCTGCCCGCGTGGGAGGGGGCTGGGCACTTGTTAAGGGAAGCAAAGGGAGGCGAACAGAAGATCCGCTGGAAACGCAGACTTCATGCGGCACACACACGCACACACCCACACACGCGCGCACACACGCGCATGCACAGGCGAGGAGATGGGAAATAGAAAAGTCAGCGTTCAGACATGAGGGGTGTGCACCGAGGCACCCCTGATCAGAGTCCCAGCGGGGAAGCGGAAAGACAGGGGAGGAGTCGTGGAGCGCAGCTGGGATGTTCCCAACAGGGGCTTAGAGAAAGGCCTCCGGACCCCAGAAACCGCACCCCGGCAGAGGGCGCCGCGGCCGCTGCAGCACATGGCGCCAGACGCGAGGACCAGCCTCAGAGGGCCAGGCTGAGCCGCAGGCTCCCGGGGAGGCAGGGTGGCGCCTGCACGAAGGCGCCAACTGGCGATTCTCCTTTCTGAGGGGGCTGGGTCCTCCCCGGTGGTCTGGGGTGGCTGGAGGGGTGCCTGGGGGCAGACTCCCCGCAAGCCCTCCCCCTCCCCCCTCCCACCTGGAGCGCCCGGGGCCGCTCTTTGTGGAGACACGTCACCTCTCTTTGGAGTTTCCGTTTTTCAGCCTTGAGCTCATCCTCTATCTTCTCCGCGCTTTCAGCAGCCGATTTATACCGCGACACCTGGCTCTCTAACCTCATCACCTGGAGGGAAGGGCGAACCAGCCGCGTCAGCCCCCGGCCTGCTTTCTTTCTCCAGATGTTGGCTCTGCCCGAGGCCTGGGCAGAGAGGAGACCCCACCAGACCTGGCGCTTTGCCTGTCACAGAGCCCCGGACCAGCCAGCTGCGTCCCACTGCCCCAGCCCGAGCCTGCCAGGGACCGGCTTCCTCTCCACCCCGGCTGGGAGGCTGGCCCCAGGGGCACTACGAGGCCGCACTCCTGCTCGTGGGGCCGTTCTGTGGGGTAACGGACGGGCGGGAGCAGAATGGTGGCTTCAGGCCTCAGTGGGGTCCCTTCTCTCCGGGGGTGGTGGGGCGGGGAGGTGGGGAGGGGGAAGGACAAGCGAGGGACACCAGAGAGGAGTAAGAGGTGGCAGCTTTGGGGTGACATGCCTCGGCCAGGCCTGAGCGAAGGCAGGAAGGAGCAACTGAGGCCTGGCAGACCTGCGAGGGCTGAGGTTGGTGCCTGCTGCAAAGAACATGTCACTTTGGAGGTGTGCTGCTCTTGGCCTGGTTTCTGCAAATGTTCCAGAAAGTTCCAGCCATGGGAGCCAACAACCGAGGGGAAAAGGGCCTGCTTTCACGTCACCTTTAGTGAGGACAGTCTGCTGGAGGGTGGGTGCCCTGCTCCAGACACCGGGAGAGGAGGCCCGGCTGGGGAGGCCGCCGGGAAGGGAGTCAGAGGGCCCTCGGCAGGACGGGCTTCGGCTTTTAGAGAACACAGAAGCTTAAAACTCCCGAGCCACGTAGCTGCTTTCTGCGACCAGACCCCGTTCATAAAAGGTGCAGCGCCAGCCTCAGCCCCTCCGTAGACATCGGCCTCTCTCGCGGCAGGAAACCTGCGGAGACGCGCTGCCCCCCCACCCCCGGACCTTCTTCGGTTCTAAACCCCCTGCTTCTTTTCGTCCTCAGCTAGTGCTGGCAGCGCGCACCCCCAGGCGCGAGGCCGGCCGCCGCGGGGCTGGGGGCGCACGTACATTTTGTTCTAATGCAGCTATCTCTTGCTCGGATTTTGCAAGTTTAAATTTGAGGTCGCTGATCTGTCTGTTGGCATCCCCTAAAGGTTGAAAGAGAAGGAAAATTTGTTAAGCTCGTAGGCTTTTAAAGTGTTCAAGCAGCAGCTCCTGGGAAGCAGCCCTCATTCCACAGATCTCGCAGATCTGTCCTAGGGGCTGCGGCCCCTCAGCAGCCGGAGCTGGGGAGGGGAAGCGCTGTCTCCGGGAGGTGCTGGAGCCCTGCAGGAGGGCAGGAGCCGGGGAAGGAGCGCCAAGAGTGAAGAAGACAGAAACGGTTGGAGGGGGCTGGGAAAGGTGGGGAGAGACCGGGCATCATTTTATCTCCCTCCTGCCTCCTTCCAGCTTCCCGGCATCGGGAAACCCTCCCAGCTCTCCTGCGGGACCAGCAGCGGGAAGGCCGCTGTCCAGAACTGGTGTTTCTCGTTCGCCCGTCACCCCTGCTCTGCTTCCCTGCCCGTCCTTTTCACCCCACAAAGAAACATGTTTGTGCTTTTGTACACGGGCGTTTGGGGGCGTCCCTCGCTGGGGCAGATCCCCCCAGGACCATAACGCAGTGAGGCCTGGCCCGGCCCAGCCCCGCGGGGGATTTACTTTGCAGGTCCACGACGTGCACGTCCGTCCCGTTCTCCAGGACGGCCTCGCCCGGGAGCGCGCGGTGCGGCTGGCTGTTCTTCTGTCCCTCTTCCAGCTGCCCCTTTAGCTTCCTGACCTGGAAACAGCCACCGACAAAGCAAGCTAGTAGCTCAGCTGCAGGAGGCCGAGAAGCGGCTGAGTGTGAAGGCGCACGGGAGCCCGCGGCGTCCAGGCTCCAGCCAGAGGCGGGGGTGGCGCAGCTGACTGAGGGCCGGGCTAGAGCGGCTGCACGACGCGTGGCGGGGGCCGTGCACGATCCCCGGTGAAGACGGGGCCTCCCCTCCAACAAAGAAACCCACCCAGACAGTAAGTGGCAGCCGAGCGGCTGGCACAGCAGGTGAAGCAGGGTCGCTTCCACCACCCGGCACCAGCTGTTTGCGGCTCCCGGCAGGGGCCAGCCCAGCGGCCGCCGCCGCAGAGACTGCACGAGAAGTGTGAGTGCTCATGCGGGCGGCCGCTCACCTGGGCCTCATTCACTAGGAAGCTGGGGCGGGGCCACTGGGTGCCCCGTGGGCACCGCAGCGCTGGGAGTTGGTGCACGCGTCTCCCCACTCCAGGAGAGAGAAACACCGGGGCTGCAGCCCCAGCCGGCACGGCAGGGTTTTCCTGGGGGATCTCCTGGCCCGTCCTGTTGACCTCCAGGGCCTGGGGACTTGGTGAGTCCCAGCCAGAGCTCAGGAGGGACAGCCCCCCACCTCCCCAGCACACACAGAGGCCGGTGCCGGCCGCTTTGAGGAGGTAAGCACAGGAATCCGAGGCAAATGTGTGTTTAAAGGACCGCAAGGACTTCGAGACTCTCCCAGCACAGCGATGGGGCACGAGAGTTGTGTGCGCCTCTGGTGGACTTGAGGAAGGGGAATGCCTTAGCTTAGGTGGAGGAGGGCCTGGGGTTGAGTTCCTGCTGGAGGTGAGTACAGGCGCTTGGTCCTATCCTGTGGGCAGAGGCCGGGCAGGCCCAGCGCCTGGGGCTGGTCAGGTGGAAGAGGACAGACTATACAGGAGAGAGCGGTCAGCTTCTCACCAGAAACCCCTGCTGGGAGGGCCTGGTCTCTGAGGGGGCAGAGGCCAGAGAGACGGCATCCGGAGGGTCGCCCCCACACACCAGGCCTGCCGCAGCTCGGCTGTCACTGCGCCCTCTCACCCCCACAACGTGGGATGCTCTGTTTGGACAAAACGGCTAAGAACGCCGGGCGCAGAATGCGGGAAGCCCCAGAGGAAGCAAAGCGTAAGGACGGAGGGCGCCGCCTCAGGCGCCTGCTCGAAAACCCGTGAGTGATCAGAAGGTGGTTACCTGTTCCAGTAAGTGCTCCCGTTCCTCGACCAGCTTTTTCAACCTAATATCTGAAGAGAAGAGAAAGACACGGGTTAGGGGCCCATGAGCTGCTCCCACACACATGGCCAAAATGAACACGGGCACGGGGTTAGTGAACGGATGATGAGGGATTATACACGTACCACAGCGAATGAGGCCACACACGGGGCTGGGGAGGAGCTCAGCCAGGGTGGGTCAGCGCCCAGAACATGCTTGTCTCGTCCGGGCAGCTCCGACCGCATGCAAACTGGCTACGCCGCTACGTGGGGTTAGCATGCAAGGCGCTATGGCCAACCACTGCAACACAAGAGCTCACAGGCCTCACGGTTAAGGTCAGCGCAAGGTCGAGCACGCCCGGGGTGCCACAGGGCGTTCCCGACATTGCCATTAGCTCGTTTGCCCAGGCTGCACCTGGCTCGTGAGCACCGCCGGCCTGGAGTTCTGACCACCTGCTCGTGAGTCTCAAGTCAGCTGAGAGCCTGCTCGCCCGATTGTGGGGGGTGGGGGTGGGGGCGGAAACAGCTCCTGCCTGGACCCCGCCTCGGCCAGGCAGCACGGAGGCGCGACACACGCACCGGGGAGCCCGGAGGAGCTTCCTGAAGGGATGTCGTGGAACAACGGTCTTTGGTGTCCAGAGGGGGGCCGAGGCCTGGGGAGGGCACAGGGGTTGGGGCAAAATCCTACAGCAGGAACGGGATGGCGACGGGGCATGGGCGACGGTGAACTGGCCCAAGCTGCCGGGAAGCTCCGCGGGGGCTGTTGTCACATCCCTCCTCACGGAAGGCCCAGCCTCGGTGCACCCGGACCACTGCTCTCCCCACTGTCCTCCAGGTGAAAACCTGGGCCCCGGGGCAGGACCCAGATTCCTCTCTCCTGGGGGGTCCCCCACGCCTAGCTTGTGACCGGCCTGTGAGGCGGGTAATTCAGTGCACCTTTGTTTTCGTGTGGAACATCAGAGGCGTGTTTGTCTGTTTTTTTCCCGGCACCCTCAGGTGCTACTTCGACAGGCAGAACCACAAAACCACAGGACCAGGGAAGGCCAGTGTGACACGCGCTGTGGTGCCCGCGCCCCGGCTGCCTCTGCAGACAGTCAAACCGCTTCTCATGGTGTATTATTTATCCCCTCTGTGCATTCACCCAACACGCACCATCTTTCTTCATGGTTATAAACCCAGCTCTCTTTTTCAATGTTGCTTTTTGTCTCACGTGCTTTCTCTCTCTCCCAGCCCCAGGGCATCGTAAGAAATACTGACTGTCACACAGGGGCCTCGAGCCCTCCCAGCCGGCGCACAATGTCACTGGTTTCTTCTGCGGACAAGAGAGTGAGCACGGAAGAGGCTCAGCTGCGACAACAGTGCCACCAACCCCCTTGGAGTTAGGGCGATCTGAACTTTCGTGTTGTGGCGAGAACTTGAAAAACAGAAGTGGAATTTCTAAGGAAGAGAAATTTTAAAGCAGAATCGGCGAAGATTAAAAGCAGTTTTAAGGAAGTAGAAAAAAGAAAGCAGCACAAGCCTGTGCTATAAAGAAGGCGAGCACTGCATTGTCATAACTTTAAAAATCAACCATTTATTGAGTAACACGGGCGCAGCATCGCAGACCCGCTGCCACGCTCCGGAGTGTCCCAGCCCCATCTACTGAACAGCATGAAACACCCACGGTGCGCGCGATCAGGGCGGTGAGCGCAGCTTTCAGAAACCAGGCATCAGAGAAGATCAAGCCACACCGTCTCGGCTCACGAGCGTTCTTGTGCACCATGAAGCTACAAGGAACTGCCTATAGTGTTAGCCATACTGTGAAGGGCTGATGTTTAAAATGAGACGATAAGGCCGCGGCCAGGCCTGAGAGACTGCCACGTCAGGACAGGCCCTGGGGCCCGGAGCGGCTCTACTGGCCGTCCAGGTCCCCTGGCCTGTCCGTGCTGCTCCTGGACTGCTCCTCGCCGCAACTCTTACAAGGCAGGTTCCTCCCTGCCTCAGATAGGCGTCGTGCCCCGGCAGGTGCTCCGGGGCAGTGTCCTCCTTCTGGGTGTCATCTTGGTCTTCTGGACCTCAGGGCCCCTCTTGCCATCACAGACAATTTGCAAAGATGAGGGGAGACTGAGGTCTCAAGAAGTCTCCCCCTTCCCCACTCTGACTCAGCCTGTAGTGAAGGCAGGTCCGGGGCCTTCCTGCAGAAGACAGAGCTGGGGTGGGGGGTGGGGTCGTAAGATGGCTCTTCCGCCTGTGTCCAGCACCCGAGTCTGTCCCCCTGGGAACTGGGTCCCTCCACCCGCCACCCTGGCTTCAGGTCAGCTGACCAGCCGGAGTCATCCACTGAGAACACATAACGCTTTTCCCTAAGGCCGGCCTCGGGCCAGTGAAAGGACTTTTCTCCTGAAGACAGGCTTCCCACCTATGGCCACCAAGGGACACCTTCCCTGCAGGGGCCTGGATGCTGCCGTATCCCTGTCTCGCTGGCCGTGGCAGCAGGCTGTGCCACAGGCCTCTCAGGAGAGGCTCTATCAGTGGGAGATAGGAGCCCCAGGCCGAGGGAACCCCAGGAGGGGCACTCCAGGCGCTGTGGACGTCCAGGATTTCTGCTAACTAGCCACACTAAGCATTTCAGAAAGTCATCAACGCATGCATCTTGTTCTTAAAAACTCTTTAAAAACTTCACTGCTTCCCAACTTCTGCCTTCGATAAAATACCAACCTGTCATTCAAAGTCCTCAGCTAGTGTTCCCTGTGTTCACCTGCACCCCTAATCACACTCAAAGCGTGTCCAGCGGTCATGGTCAGGTCTGAGGTCTTTGATATAAGGCCTCTGTGATCGCTGGTTTCTCTGGCCTGATCCTGATGAAGCCTCAGTGGCCCCCCTCTGCGCATGGACAGATGACCTCTCCATGCAGCTCATCGAGAACTGTCCACACGGCCTTGTTTGTTTCCACACCCTAAACGGAACAGACCTAGGAGCAGCGTTTCCTGATAGAGAAGGGCCCCTGACCCCCGCCTCGGCCCCTGCGCTAGGCTGTGGCATCAGGCCCCGCCAGGTGCGTCCGGCGTCCCCACTATGGCCTGGCCTTCAGAGGCCTTTCTTCTTTGCTCACTTCCTGATGCCCAGATGTCCCCTCCTCCCAGAGCTGACTGCTGCCCGCCCTCACTGGCACGGAGCCTCCATGGCCACAGTGACCGACCATGTTTATGAGCTAAGCTAATGAGTGACGAGCTGAGCTGGCGGCCGGCCGAGGGGTGGGGAGCCATACCCCAATATCCTTACACGTGCTGTTGCATAACAGCAACGCAGGCAAGAGCTGAAAAAACAGGTCGATAATCTCACCTTTTAGTGGGGTTGGCTTTTGCATCATTCCTCAGAAGCCTTTCACAATAGGAATGAGAAAGATTTGCTCTTGTGCGTTCCAGCCGGAAGGCAGCTCTGCTGAAGTTAAAGACATCAGTAGAGGCCCAGCGAGCCTGGATGTGGCTCTCCAGAAGCTTGTCCTGTCCAGGCACAAGTTGGGGGACCGCCACCCCCAGCCCTCCACCGCATTGCCCTCGGCACAAGCTGGAACACTGACTGACTTGCCATTTTCATCATCTGCCTCAGAACATTCTAGGTGTCGGCACACGTCAGCACAGCGACAGGGCGGAGACCCTTCTTGACTATGGACCCCACTCACGGGAGATCTACCAGGGGAGAGCGTCTTGAGCCTCCCCTGCTCAGACCACCACCAGCCCCAGCCCTGACTCCAGAAGAGAGGTTCAGCTGCTGCCCACAAGGGTCGCAGGCGAGGCCTCTGGACCCCACCTGGGGCGCAGCACCCGGAGCAGGGGCCGCTGTGAAGCAGCACCGCACACAGGACAGACGCCGTGTGCAACAGCCACACTCAGAAGGGGAGTCACAGACGCGTGAGCTTAGGAAATGTTTATTTAATGACATAATAACACTCGTGCCTCAGAGCCAGGCTCCGGCGCTTTTGCACTCAACCGTATCTTGTAACAGTAACAGGACACCCCGCGACCTCGGGAAGTGTCAACAGCACGTGTGAGGCACATTCTCTCGTGATTTTAATGTTTTATGATCTTGTATTTAACTTTACAATTATTTTTAAGTGCTTCTTTATATAGAAAAAATATATTTTCTGCTGGAAAGCCGAGACAAAACATTCCCAATACGAATATACAGACACACACAAACGGGTGACATTTACACCAAAATACCAGAGGTGGGTTGAACATTCCTGCCAGAGCTTGTTAGAGTCTAAATGGCTATTTGCACAACAACAGTTTCCTTTCGTCCTGCCCTTAAGAAAAAGTGATTAGACAAACAGAGAGAAGTAATTTCAAGGCTAAAAAAATAAATTTTTAGAAACAATTCTCCTTCCGAAGTACTTCAGTAGGAAATGCAATTTCAGTGTATCTCTTCGGGGAAAAAACCTTATTAAAAAATCTTCGCATCAAATGCATCTGGTACATAATTAGCATGAAGTAAAGTTGAAATCTTCTCTATAATCGTCTCTATAATAAATTCAGATATCCAAAAAGCAAGTGAGCCCTGGAGCTTGGCCATGAGCCCCAGCCCGAAACATGCTGTCCTGAGGCGCGGGCTGATCACTCAGCGGCCTGGAAGTTGCTTGGTCATTTAGCTTTTTAAATAAAATGCCACATGGGTTACAACACACCTCTGAAAGTCAAATATGAAAGAACATACATTTGAGGGGATGGTCTAAGAGTCCAGCTTTTTCGGGGCGGGGCGCGGGCCCCGCTTGGTCCTTCCGATCGTTTGCTCAGGGGTCTCCGCTTTCAGCCCGGCAGCCCCGGTGAGGTCACTTCGCTTTGACTGTAGGCGCAACGTGAAGTGTGCAGTGTGGTCTGACGGTACTGGAATGCTCTCGGTTGGCACTTGGACAATAAATGCGTCCCTCTAGCCTGGGTGACAAGCTTGCTGATGAAACACACCTTCGAGTAACAGTCTGTGACTCAGAGCGGTAAATGACGTGGTGAGGATGGGCCTATGCAGCGAAGGATCTAGAACATCAGGGGAATCTCCTTGGTGGAGACGAGACCAGAGCCTCCTGCACGGGCCTCCTGGGCCCCGCCCCGCCTCCGCCCCGGCCTCCCTAGGACAAGGCACAGTCCTCCTTGCCTCTGCCCGTGCCGCCCCCTGCACTGGTGCCCCCTGTGCTCTCGGCATCCAAGTCCCCCAGCTCTCCGTCCGGGGCCAGCGCGTCGCTCTCCAAGCCCTTCTCGGCCCCCTGACTCGGACACCCAGGCGCCACAGGCCCCTCGGTGCTCTCTGCCGGGGCGGCGTCCTGGCGGCCCCTCACGGGGCTTCCGTGGTCCTGCTGGCCACTGCCGGCCTCTTCCCCCACCCCTGGGGCTGCTGCACGGCTCCGGGGGCTGCCATCCTGGTCGCCGAGATCTTCCCTCACACCTCCCTGGACAGCCTCATCTGCGGCACAGGGGCCTGCCGGCGGGACCGAGCTGTCTGCAGTCGCCGAGGCGTCTCCGCCAGCCCGCGCGTCCGCGCCATCCTCCTCCTGGCGCGGCGCCCCGGCCGGCTCAGTGGGGTTTTCTGGACAGCCAACGTGGCGGCTGCTCCCCGTGGCGATGCCCTGTCCGGGGCTCTCGGCCGCCTCGTCCTGCGCTTCCTCTGCTGACTCGCCGCCCGTGGGCGGGGCCTGCTCCTCCTTTTCCTCACTGAAATCCGCGCTCTGCGAGGTCAGCTCCTCCTCGGCATCTTTAGGGGGCTCTAGGGGCGCCGGGGGCTTTTTCTTCTTGTTTTTCTTTTTCCTGTTCTTCGCCTTCTTTGGGGACGCCTCCAGGGCCTTCTCTTCTCCCCTCCTCTCCTGCGGGTCGGGGTCGGCACCTGCTGCCTCAGGACGGCTTGCCGCGGAGGGAGAGCCCGGAGCGGCCTGGCCTTCCCCGGGGACCGGCCGCTCGGCCCTCGGCTCTCCGTCTTCATCCTCCCCTTTGCCCCCCTCCCTGCCTCCTTCTGAGCTCTGAACCGGGCCAGCCTCGGGCTCAGCCGCCTCCTGGTCAGCACGTTCTTCAACCACGCCAAGCCCAGTGCTGGGGGCCAGCTCTTCACCACAAGGCACAGGGCCAGCCCTGTCCTCCGGAGCCCCTGAGGCCTCTGCGTCCACTCGCTGGCCGAATCCAGTTCCCTGTGCCTCTGCTCGGCCCGCGCTGGGCTTCTCACATCCAGCTCCGGGCCCCTGCTGAGAAGCAGCTTCCAGGCCCGCCTGCACGCTAGCCGCCCCCTGGCTGCCATTCAAGTCTTGCTCTCCGTGGTCCCGCTCCCCTGAGGATTCATCTCTTTGGAGTTTGATGTTTGGGGCCTGGTGACTGCCCTGTGGGGTCACGGGGCCTGGGGCCTCGCTGTCTGATTCACTCAAGCCTCTGGGTCGCTGTGCAGCAGCCCCAGGGTCGGCGCCCAGTGTGCCTGTGGCCTCGCCCGACCCGGCCTGCCCCACGCGCTCCGGGAGGCAAACGCTTTCTGGGACTGGCCCCCCACGCGGGGCGTCCACCGCGGCTCCAGGGGTGGGGGCGCTGTCTCCAGAGGCTCGCGGGTGCTCGGCCTGGCTCCCAGCATGCAGCCCCCGATCGAGCATGCTGGCCTGCCTTGGGTCCTCCTTGTGCTGCTCTTGCTCAGTGTTCTGCAAGATCTCGCCTTTCCCCACATTGGCTTTTCCTAAAAGACCGTGGAGAAAATTGAAGGGACCCTATGATGCAGCAGCACTTAATATACATTACAACAGAGACACAGGGTCTCACACCCGCCCCTCCCCTCTCCTGAAGCGCCGCCAGAGTCGCAGGAAAGAGAAGCCTGGTGGCTCTGGGCACAGGAGCCATGGCATTAGCGAGTCCCAGGCCAGCAAAGGTGGCCGCCACCACCTCCCGGGTGAGAGCGGCTGCCGGTGCCACCGCGTGACAGATGCTTTTTCTGGTGAATTCAAGCTCTGACCGACAGAGAGAGCTCTGGACCCAGCAACCAATGGCTCAAACAGGGGGTGCAAGATGGACTCAAGGCCCTTTAGTCCTGCTCTTGTTCCCAAGCGCACAGCTGGACTTCCCGCGCGCAACAAAGGGCACTTTGGAGTAACAGGCGAAAGAAGCCGTAAGAGACTCAGCCTCAAGGAAAGGGCTTTTGGAAATAGCTCAGTCAGCGTAAGAAGAGACCCCCTCCAGCTGCCGGCCACCTCGCGCTGCCTGGAGCCCCGTGGACACCTCTGCTCCCTCCCTCAGGAAGGGGCAGTAGGAGGCAGAGGTATAAGCGGGGGATGACCCCTCAGTTGAATAATAAATGACTTGTCAATCCCAGAACAAGCTGCTAAGGGAACAGAGCCCCAGCGCATCTGACACCACATGACAGCACCCAGGTCAGAGGTGACGGTGTCAGGTGTGGCGCTTGCGGGCAAGCTCCCCAGGACTGGCCAGGAGCAGGCACCTCGTTTCAGCCCCGAGACGTTTCTATGACTGGTTGTTTCAGGCCTTGCACGTCACACTGAAGAGACAGCCCTTGCACATGGGGGCCGGGGCTACCGGGGTCCCGCCACGGCCTGCTGCTGGACCATGGCCCAGAGTGCGTGGTACCTGCTGGCGTCCCGGCGCTGCAGGTCTGTGCACAGCGGTCATGCGAGGTGCACGCAGCGGCATGAGAGCACGTGAGCAAGTTCTGAGCTGCTCAAGCTGCAGCAGAAAGTGGAAGAGAAATCAACCCACGGGTTTCCTCAGCAGCCTTCACACGACAAAGAAAGTGGCGTTTCTTCGTGAAGATGGCGAGGTGCCGCCTGGGAAGCGCGTTCTGAGCCCCAAGCCCACCACCTGTGCATCCCCATGAACAGTCACCGGAAGCTGCTGGGGATAACTGGACTTTGGGACTAACAAGTGCAGCCATCGGCATCAAGGTCACGGTGCCGACCTTGCTCCAGCCTCACTGTCCAGAGCCGGAAAGCAACTGTGGCCCGTGAGTAGGGAGCCCTTCCTGGGGGCTGCCACCCAAGCCGCGCCAGCCCCGAAAGCTTACCCCGTAGCCAGGTGCTAAGGAGACAGACACAGCCCAGACCCTGCCAGCTGCATGGCCCAGGCTACGTCCAGTGGTTGCCCGGCTGACGCGCTCCCGGAGCCAGCGCGTGATGCAGACAGGCTCTTACGGACGAGGGCCGGCTCTCCACTCCTCCTGAGCAGCCCCTGCATCTCCCTGTCCACCAAGGGCCCTGGCCACCTCTGCCCGGGCCCAGCGTCGGGGCAGCCTGCTCCTCCAGCCCTGGAGCCGATGGCAGGCACCCTCGGGATGTGCCCCGGCTGCAGCGCGGCCCCGCCCGCCTGGCAGTAACCCCCGCCCCAGCTCTGATCCCCCCCCCACTTCTGCGACAGGACAGGCTGGACCCCCCCCCGGCCCTCATCTGAGGAAAACCTCACAGCCCTGCCAATGCCGCCCCTTAGACGCTCCTCCGCGCTTCCCAGCCTCACGCGGCACCTTGGAAAAGCAAACGAGACGTGGTCAAAGCCGTGGGGGAGCGTGGTGTGGACAGTGGCCAGACAGCGGCATGCGTGACAGTGACCTGGGGTGGACAGCTCACTCCAACAACGCGTGGGGTCGCCCTGCGGGAGGGCAGCACTCACCGAGGGCACCGGGCCCGGTCGCCGTGAGGGCGTTCAGCTCCTCCTTGGTCATCTTGGTGGGAGCCGCGAGCCCCGTGCTGTTCAGGGCGTGGGGAGTCTCCCCATTGGCAGCGACTTCTGGATTGAAGATGATTCCGTGTTTCTGGGAACAAACACAGGCTTGCTGTGACACTCAGCGACACCAGGGTCCGCTCCCTTTTGTAAATAATAATTAAAAAGGCCATTTCCCCGCATTTGAGGGAAACACTACGGAGGCAGAGAAGCCTCCCGGGGCCTGGCACCGCACATGGCGGGGCCTTCTCCTCCGGCGCCGCCTCAGCCTCGGCCTCCTCTGGACAAAGCTCTGTCAGGAGCTCCCCTTTTTTGTTTTTTGTGTTTTTTAAATAGGCCAAGGGTTCTCCTCACCTAAGAACCATCTGGGGGAAACCATTAAAAAGCAGAAAAACGGGCTCGCCCCTAAAATTCTCACTCAGCGGGCGTGGGGTGTGGCCACGAACCTCCATTTTAATAAGCACCCCGGGGTCCGGAATCAGTGATGCAGATTGAGAAGCACCTCAATGCGTCAGGAACATGTAACAGGGAAGAGAGGAACATGCTTGGGTCCCTTTTTGGAATCAAGGGGCTCAAACCCCCTGAGGGAGGAGGCCCCCAGGGCCACAGGGCTGTGCTGGGGCCGGGAGAGCTCGCCCGAGCCGCATGCCCCACGGGGCCGACGTTTGCTGGGAGCCAGCGGGTGCCCATTAACCGAAACTTGAACTTATTGACAGAACTACAGCCAGCGACACCAAATCCGGGGCCACCACTGGGCGACCTCACAGACTCACGGGCCTGTGGTGCCCCCTTCTCCTGGGCTGTCTTTAGCTTCATACCTTCAACGCCTCTTTCAGCGTGACTACTTCTTCTCTAAGGTCATCTCGTTCACTCCTCACGGAATCAAAGAACTCTTTCTGCCTCTCTAGAGCCTGCGCGTGCGGCGGGGTGGAGAGAGAGGCCAGTGAGCAGAGCCGGGCTGCGAGAGGCGGGCACCGGGCAGAAGGTGCTGGAGGCTGCCACCCGGGTGCCTCCTGGCCGTGCGGGGCCAGGGGCCGCTCCCACGGCGAGGCAGGTGGGCGGCGTCTCATCCCCAGCGTTCCCAAGCTTGGCCCTGGGCTCACGCACGGCAGGGGCCAGCGCGAGCCGCCCATTGAGCGAGGGAGAAACAGAGCGAGAGGAGGGTGACAGCGCTGAGCGAGCTAGACTGTTTCCTACGCTCATTCTTGTCTGCCGCCACAGAGCAACTTGCATGCACGTGCACCCCAAATCCTAAAGCTCGGCAAGGGGGAAAAAGCAGCTCCCCCACGCTGCAGCTACAGGGGACACCCAGAGGCAGCCCTCTGCGCCGTGCACGGCGGTCACCGTCTGGACACCACGTGACGGCAGGTAGGTGACGGCAGGTGCTTTGGCTCCCTGCTCGGAGCCATCGCCCCCGCCACAGGCGGGGGCCTCTCTCGTGGACGGACAGGGGCTGAGTGGGGATGCTGTTGGGGCGGGGGGCTGTGTGGGGCTCCACACAGGGCTCCCCAGAAGTCTGCATGCCCAGCCCTGACCTGGGGGCATCCCTCACACCGCTTGCACAGCAGGGCTGTCCGGTGAGGGGCCCGGCTCAGGGCTGTCTCCACGAGGGAGCCGGCCTCGAGCTCACGGTTGACATCGACGCGGGCAGGTCAGTGTGCGCACGCGGGTTAACTTCAATTTTGCATCACAAGGTCTCGACTGTATTGTTAACGTGGGGGCTGCATGCAAGACCACACAGGGGCTTCTGCAGACTCCAGGCTGGGAGGGCACCCGCCAGGCACTGCCCGCCCGTCGCGGAGAGGCCTACCCCTATCTTTTTGTCTTTCCACTCTACTGTTTCCTGAAGATCGGAAATCTCCCTGATAAAGCTCGCCTGTTTCTGCTGTAGCTGTCGGATTTCCTGAAGGACAGGAGCAGGCGGAAAGAAAGCAGAGAGAGGGTTAGCGGGAGGAGCGCCCAGTGCTGGAACGAGGGCGCCCAAGGGCCGTGCTGTGAGCTCACAGCGCAAGCCGATGTCTGTCCTGTCCTAGCCCCGGCCCCGGCCCCCACGCCCGCCAGTGCAGGAACAAGCCCCACTTGGGGCGACGCCTCACAGGATCCGACCCAGCTGCCGCCGTGATGGAGAGCACGAGGGCTGGGCCTCAGGGGGTCTCCGCCTCGTGTTTCAGCTCCCAGCAGCGCCCACAGCCCTCGCCTCATGGCCCCATCCTCACAGCACCCCGGCCCCTGCGTCCCCTCCCAAGGACCCAGCGGGCCCAGGGCCACCCCGGTCGACTCCTGTCACAAGACCTGAGCTCCGTCACGCCCACTATGTCCCTTTGGCCGAGAAAGGTGACCCGTTCGGGGTGGTCAAGGTGGGACACCTTCCCGGCTGCTGCTCCGTCTGCCCCAGACAGATCCCAGCCAGCACAGTGGGGGCTGGGCAGGGGCCTCAACTGCCAGTTTTCAAGGAACCTGGCTATATTTTAATTTGTTTTTACTTTGTGAAATGGATTATTATTATGACTCGCTTGCACTGACGTAATGCTAGGACACCCCCATCGAGGATCACCAGCAGAGTGCTCCCAGCACCACAATCAGTCCTCCACCAGTCACGGTGCTCCCTCCCCCGCGCGCCCTCCTGTGCCCCCCCCCGAGGCGTCAGGTCACGGTCAGCTTTCAAGGGTGGGCTCCTGAGCACGTCTTCCTCCGGCCCTTGGGCGGCTTCTCTGCGCTCCACAGGTAGGTGACACCCCCTGGGACGGATCTTTCTCCTCTGACTCATTTCACTTTGCATCGTCCCTTCCCGAACCGGTTCTTTTGGTAATGAGCCAAGAAACTGCTCCCAAGTCACAGAGAAAAAGGAGGACAGGACCAGGTCACGTACCTCGAGCATCTCTTCTCTCTGCCTCAGGGCCTCCTTCACCTCGGCGAACTGGAACTGCAGCACGCTGTGGGCATGCCGCTCCCTCTCGAACTCCTGGGGAGGAGGCGGGGGTCACGGCTTTCGGCCATTCCCGCTCCCGTCCCCATGACCTATGTCCATCTCGAAACAGATGACCTGTTTCTACATCGCCACCTTCAAGGCCTTTTTAGTAACACAAACCCGTTTCCCCAGACTTTCTGGAAAATGCCCCTTTGATTTGCTGCAGAATTAACCCGAGAACAAGGGTCTCCTGGCCTCGGAACAAAAGCGAGGTCCCAGGGACCGTCCCTGCAGGGGCCCTGCTGTGTCCCCAGGGCTCTGTGCTGAGGGCTGGATGAAATGATCCCTGATTCTGAAACATGACAAGAAGTACTCTGGGGAAAAAGGGGACTAAGCCCAGTCTACTCTGACAAGTTTATCTAACAGCAGACGGTGGGCCCCTGCTCCTGGCCCTCATCCCTGGAGTAAACAGGAGCAGGAGGGGCAGCAGAAGGACTCGCAGGCAGAGCCCCAAGCCGACCTTCTGCTGCGGGATGCCCCCAGGGCCCGAGTGTGCGGCTCCTCTGGCCTCCAGCTCAGCCAGGCCAAGGGTCATGGCCTGATGATGTTTGTGCCCTGGTTAAGTGCTGAGGGCTTAGGGGGCAGCAGGGGACACCTTGCTTGGATCTGTTTGAAGGGGTCTGACCTCAGCTCTTGTTCCCCTACTCACCCCCTGGAATTCCCTGCTCATCCTCTTCCTGAAGTCTGGGGGTGACTCGTGTCCTCTCCGCTGTGACAAGGATCTGCCTTGGGCTGTGCTTGGCCCATGGCCCCCACCTTGGGACAATATTTCAGATCCCCCAACTTCTCTGCAACTAGTCTTGGGTATTCTACTTATCTCATGCCTAAACGAGAACATTCTAGAATTATTTAGAAGGCGCTACAGTGCCCTTCCACCGGGGGTGCTGGGGGAGTGCTCCCTGTGCCTGTGCTCCAACATGACACTGGGGCATCTGGGACGATCCTCCTTTTCAGATTTCAGGCTTCACAGATAAGGAGAAAATTCTCTCGCTTCTAACTCAATCTCTGTGGGTCAAAGAAGGTGGCCTTTGAGCTGCTGATAGGACCGCGGGGTGGCCTCGTGTCACGGCATACAGCCAGCCAGGGTAAAAAGAAGATAATGACTCAAGTTAAAATTCCTGTTTGTCTCAGCAGTCCGGGTGCTGGACGGCACCCTGGGCATCTCATCGGCTCCGTAACTCGCGACGACTGGGCGTCCCTCACCATCTCTGCAGAGCCAGAGCCCCGAGCCCAGGGCCCGCGCCCCACCGCCCGGCCCGTCTGCAGCGTCAGTCCTGACACTCTGCGCTCTGCACTGGATCACAGGCTAACCTGGATCTGGGTTCTTAACAAAGCTCAGGTCAGACCCCAGCCTCCGCTGAGCTCTGCCGAGGGCGTCTGCTTCTTACACGGGCCGTGTCTTTTCCCAACCGGCAGGAAATAGGTGAACAGAATTTTCTTAAAATCTGTGATACATGGAACTGCCTCTCTCTATGCAGCCAGGAGACAACCAAATAACCACCAGGAGCTGCAGGCCAGCGGGACGACTCCGAAGCACACAGTCGCGCCGCGGGCGGGCAGGTGCGTCTGAGTTTCCTGCACGTGCAAGCACAGGCGTCCTCCAGGAGCATCGCATGGGGAAGCGTGTGCAGCGGTTCTCACACCCCAGCAGTGAGTGTGCGCTCTCACTTGCTGCTGTGGGGTGCCCAAGGCAGGTGGAGGAAACTGTTTCCTCACATGTGTGCACATCTGTGCACAGACACACGCACCCGCATACCTGCTGCACGCGCACCTACCAGTACATGTGCATGTGTGGCAACACACAATATGTGCCTGAGTGCATGCCCCTCTGCCCCTGCACCCCTCTGCCCCTGTGCCCCTCTGCGCCTATGCTCCTGCATCCCTGCACCCCACCGTCCCTGCGCCCCACCGCCCCTGCGCCCCCGCACCTTGCCCTTCTCCTCGCACTGCCGCCGGCTCTCCGCCAGCTGCTCTTCCAGCTCCAGCAGCGTGTCCTTGAGCGTGTCCACCTGGTACATGAAGAGTGTCTTCTCGTTGTCCAGCTGCGCGTTGGAGACCATGGCCTTCCTGTACTTCTCCTCGGCCTCCGCGAGCGAGTCCTGGCGTGACAGTTTTGAAGCCGCGGTGAGAACGAGAGTGGACGCGCCCAGCGCCCTTGCACGACCACACTCAGCTCCACGCACGGACTTCCTTCCCGCAGCCAGGGAGTGGCCGGAGGCGCGCGGCCGCCTCATGGGAGCCCAGACGCCCTTGCCTGCGAGGTCGGTGCGGCCCCCGGGGCCTGGGGCGGCGGTGGGGGCGGCGGCACTGGCGGTTACTGGGGCGCGGCGGGGCAGACGCATCAGGGCCGCGAGGAGGGGCAGCGCCAACAGAGGAGCGCGGCCTGTGCACCGGGCCCCTGAGGACGAGTGACCGGGGCAGGTGGCCACCCTCCCTGCCCTGGCCTGGGACGTGGGAAAGGCGAGCGAGCTGCAGCCTCCCACCTGGGGGCACGCTCTGGAAGGGGGCCCGGGGAGGGCTGGCCTCCAGGGCCCCTGCTTCAGGGCCGGCGACGGGCGAGGGGCACGTTAAGAGCGAACAGACGCCGGGGCAGGCCCCGCGAGCAGACCAGCCGTGCTGAAGCAAGCGGGCATGTCTGGTCGGTGCGCCGGGGCTCCCAGGAGGCGCCCAGGAGGCGGCCTTCACCCCACCCGCAGGCAGGGCGCTGTTTGGGGGGACCAAGCGTCCTGAGTTGGTTCAGAGGCTCCTTTTTCAACTCCAGAAACGAGTTCAAAGCCACCATCTTAATTCCCTCCCTTTAAAAAGAGGTGACGGTCACGGGACTTGTCACTGCCTCTCGATCTGGCGTCCCTGAAGTCAGACCATTTGGGGACCTTCTGGAGAGGTCTGTGGTCTGCGATGAGCTGCCTGGTGAGGACAGCGCCCCCGGCCCCGCCCCCTGCAGGGAGAGGGAGCCCTGTGTCCCGGGTGGAAGGTGGCCCACAGGACACGCAGTGCTTCCACACGCGAGGGGCCCAGAATCGCCCAACCAGGAACGCTCACGGGATGCAAACCATCTGCATGTTCCAAAGCACCACAACCCGGGCCCTCACAGTGACGCCAGGCCTCGGGGAAGTGAGCCGGCGGAGCACGCGTGCGTGTCCCTGCGGTGGGGCGCCGGGGCCCAGCCCGTGTCGGGGCGGGATGCTCCCTGGGAGGAGAGTCTGCTCCCAAGCCGGGGGGCGGGGCGGATGCGTGTCAGAGGTTAGTGACGGGCCCGGAGGGAGCAGGTGGGCGTCCGGCGCGGTGGGCAGGCGCAGGCCCGCGCGCCATGGCCGGGTCTGGGCACGTTTACTGCATGCAGGCCGCGTCTGCAGGGGCTGGGTTAAGCTGGTTACGGCGTGAGCCACACCCGCGTCAGCTGGTACCTTCATCTCTTTCAGGCCCTGCATGTATTTGCCTTCTACGTCCTGAATCTGGTCCTTCAGCTCAGAGAGCTCCTGGGGAGGCAGCCGCGCGTGTCGGGGAGAAAAGGGGTGAGGCCAGAGGAAGGACGCCCCGCCCCCCTCCCGCTGCTGGGAAGCGCCTCTTATTTGGGTCATTTGAGCAGCAGCTGATTTTACTTTCTTAAAGTGTTAAAGAAAATGAAATGAACTTTAATGTGACAAAAGTGAAAATTCAAGTGTCTCGAGTTTTACACATCAGGCGGAGGCCCTGGGACAAGGTGCTTTACCACAGGTGTTCACTCCTGCCTGCGTCCCTGCGCTGGGCCCCGGGTTCGGCCACGCGCCCCGGCTCGCGTGCAGGCTCCGGGCCCCGCCTGCCTGTCAGGTGCGTCACCACACTTGGGGTGGGGGTGGCCCCCGAAGTCACCCTGACCTCGATGGTGTCTACTGAGCAAATGCCTCTCCCAGCCCTGAGCGCAGCAGCCTCACACATGCCGCGGTGCCTGGGACAGCGCCCGTTCTTAGACGGCACGGAGGTGGGGGCCCCTTCAGGGGAGCCAGGTCCCTATGGCTGCCCTGCTGAGGGTCAGACGTGCCTGCAGCCAGTTCCCGGCTACCAGCTCTCGCGCCAGAAAGCTCTTGCAGAGAGGAGGTCAGGCCTGGCCTTGACTCCAGCTCCCAGGCCGCACCGGCCCCTGGATACTGTGGTGCTCGCCCCACACTGGGTGTGAGGCCCGCTTCCCCCAGGGACTCAAGACCACTCGGGGCAGTGACGAGGTGCACCGCCAGCAGGACGGGGCACGCTGCGCAGAGGGCTGGGATGCGGCTGGGGACTGAAAGTGACAGGCTGCTCCACCCCTTCCCAAATTCTCGACCGTCTCTGCGAGCTGGGTGCGGGGCCGCGGGGGTGCAGAGGGCACAGGCCTGCCCAGCCCCACGGAGACCTTACTTGAGCCGGGTCCGCATGTGGGGGAGGTGGGGGGTGGCACAGGGGAGAAGTGTCGGGGCCGTCACCAGCCGCCTGGTCTAAACGAGGCTGATGTGCAGAGCGGCGGGCTGGGCCTTACCTTCATCTCTCGGAGGGACGCCTCGGTGTCCACGGAGAGGGAGGTGTCGCCGCTGCCCCTCCGGGAGGACGTGCCACCCAGTGAGGCCAGGGCGGCGGCGGACAAGCCTGGCAGGCTCCGAGGCCCCTAGAGCGGTTGCGAGGCCAAAGGTGACGTTAGACACTGAAGTCGCCCCTGGGCCCAGCACTGGGCGCCTCCACCCCGACTCCATCTCCAGCGGGGTGCTCCTCCCTGGCGGGGGGCTAGGAGGGAGCACTCTGAGGGGCCTCAGGGACGCTTTGGAGTTTGCCCGGGTCGGCTGTCAGCTCCCCGGTCAGCCCGTCTCCAGCCCCTCCCCTGGGCTGCAGGGGGGACCCCCAGGAGCCCTCTGAAGGGGCGACGCCGGCTGCTGCACCCCCGATAAAGGCTGGGGCATGTTTTCTCGTTAGTGCCGGCCATAGCTCCGGGACCCACTAGGCTTAGAACCGCGTTGGGCCCGACAGAGAACCCTTACCTTCTCGGTGAAATCCTTCTCCGGTCTCTCTTCCACCTGTGGAGTAAGATGGACGAGTGTGAGACACTTAGAAACACTAAACGGGCACCTGGACACGGGGACGAGACCAACATGGACACTAGCCACGCTGGGGGCGCAGACATGTGCGTGGCCTGGCTCGGAGGTGCCCCGGGGCCGCGACATCTAGCGGAGGGGACACGGCCCACAGCTCCCTGACCGGGCGGCCTATGTCCTGAATTCAATAGCTTATGGATCTCCAGAGCTCTGCATGTGGGTACCCCCAAACCTGCATGGTAAGGGGGGGTCAGGCCCGGCTCGGAGTCGCGAGACGCCACCAGAGTTTTCATCTCCACGTCAGTAAACCTGGCTGCAGAGTGAGAGGAGTGGAGCTGGGGCGCCCGTCCCCACCCCAAGTGGCTGAGCCCCCATGAAATCCTGGGGCGGGTCCCAGCAGGGGCTGGTGGGGTGAAGCACAGGAGACCCGGCCAAGTGACAAGTGGGACCCCAAGAATTTGGCTTTTGGATGTGCCTGTGGCCCTCGCTTCTCCCTCTCTCTCAAGGGGGCCTCCGGGGACCCCAGGCGGGCACCGGCCTCGGCCCAGGGAGACGCCGACCGCGTTGTGGGGGCGCCGAGGGGCGGGGCCGAGGCCGGCGCTGCTCAGATCCCACGCGAGGCGGACTCGCTCTCCACGGTCTCTCCTTCCCTCCTGGCCCACAGACGGCTCCTCCCCGCGGCCCTCGGGAAGGTCGCGGAGGTCAGAAAACCCCGTGCTCGGCTGTTTCCAGACCCCTGGGAAAACCCGCCGTGTGTCACGCAGTCCTCGATGAGATGCCAGGGGACCCCAGGAGGTGGGCAGGCCCAGCGCCGGTCAGCTTGGTCCAGGACGCGGGGCTGGGCCCTGGGACTCGCGGCTGGCGCCCCGCGAGGAGGGAAAGCTGTCTGGCCCTGGAGCGCCCTCACCCGCCCTCCCGCACCCCGGCCTCCGCCCCGGAACAGCGGTCTGCAGGACAGACACCCCGGGGCGGGCCACAGGGCGGCTGCGGGGGAGGCGACGCCCGGACCCAGGGCCCGCGCTGCGCTGGCCGCTCCTCGGGCAACGGCACCTCCCAGCCGGTCGCTGTCGTGTATAGAGATCACCTCGAGACCGGGGGCGCCCCCCAGGGAGAAGCCATGTCGTTTGTCTTTTTTTTTCAAGAAAGACGAGAAAAAACACAAACGGACCAAAAAACACGGGGCTTGGGGCTGCGCTAACACAGCTCGCTCTGCGCCGCCTCGCCTGACGCTGGAGCCGCGGGGCCTTTCAAAATGGTTATAAAAAGCACCTTTGCCCCGAAACACGCAGGGGATGGGAAGGCGAAGACTGAGGATAATTTTTAATTAAAGACCGCGCTAGACACAAGGAAAAGTAGGCTCCTGACCAAGGCTGCAGCCAGCGAGACCCGCGCTGTCTCGGCGTCAGGGGGCGTCGGGGTAAGCGCCCCGGTTCTCTCCTCACCTCCAACAGCAAGTCCGGGGTGCAGAGGGGCCCAGGCTGCCGCAGGGCCGCGACCTCCCGCTAGAGGGCGGCAGCACCTGCTGGGGGAGCGCCCCCACCCCGCCCCAGGGGACGGCTCGCAGGCGCGCTGGGCCTCAGGGTGACGCACCACAGCGCCTGATCTCCAGAAACACAGGACGCAACAGGGCAGGAGAAAGGGTTGTAAACTGGGGGGACGCCCGGGGGGGGGGTGAAGCCGCCGCGGGGGTGGGGGATGCGGGTGGGGGGCCCAGGGTGCTTGTGCTCCGGGACTCCCCCCCCCCGCTCATCACGGCACCTGGAAGCAACGCCGTGCTCCCGTCCCTCCTCCCAGGAGGGGGCAGCGCCCACGGTCTGGTTCCTCCCGCTGTCTGAGCAACACCGGACATGCTGGGGCAACAGGGAAACCTGGGGCCGGCCAGCAGGGCCCTTGACGCGCCTCCTCATCTCAGGATCACACCGAGAAAACACACAGACATCTTGACAACTTTCGAGCAACAGGCACTGCCAAAACGTCTCTGAAATTTTAGATTCTGCAACTCTTTCTTTCAGAAACAAACGCCTACGACGACACAGCCCATCTTGCTCCGAGCTCCCGGCCATCCCGGCTCGGCCTGGCCGGGCGCCCGCGAGGCCTGCGCTGCTGCTCCGTGCCGGCAGCCGGGCGCCTCCCAGGGGCAGCGGGACCTGGGCACGCGGGGACCCCGGCCGGGGGCAGGGGCTTGTCCTCTCAGAAATAGCGGAGGGCCGCGCAGCCTCGGGGGACTTTCCTTCAAACACAAACAGGGCGGAGCCAACCGTGGCAGAGACTTTGGCCTGACATGCTGGAACCTTTACAGTTTCCCGGATGACAGTCCCCGTCTTGTGTTCGTAATCCCAGACCCGCCTGGCCCGGGCCCAGCCTCCTCACACGGCGGGCATCGGGAGCGGGCGTCAGCCTGGCTCAGGCAGGCCCCGGCTCGCTCGAGCCTGCGGGGCTAGAGGCCAGGAGCCTCGCCGGTTCCCGGCTGGTTCCCGGCGGGATCCCGAGGCCTGGATGGTCCCGGCGGGGTGCCGCTGGGTGAACTCCCCGTCGAACACGATTCCAACCTCTCGGAGCTGCCGGGAGCCCTCGGCTGAGTTCCGGGGACACCTGTGCCCTCCCTGGGCACCATCTCCCATGCCCATGCCTGTGAGGGCAGGTGCAGCACGTGGTCTGCCACTCCAGCCCTGGACATACCCCAAACACCTCTGAACGAGGGGTGACCCTGCCTTCCCCAAGAGGACAACCCCGGACTCCTAGCAGAGAGCTGAGGGGGTAACAGTGCAGGTTCCTCGTAGATGGGGCGGGGCCCCCCGTGTTCCGATCTGCAGGCCTGGGCGAGGGTCCCGCCGTCCACGCAACAGGCTTTTGTTTCAGTCACGCTGGTCCCTTTTGCTCTGGAGCACCTCTCCTCCTCCCACCCGGGCACTGGCCGTCCTTCCGCACCCAGGGGGGGCGTCTGCAGGGCCTGCGGGGAGCCCTAGGCCCCGGCACTCCCGCTACCCGGCACCACATTCCCGATGATTCACCAGGACAGGTGACACCGGCCCCGGCACCCGACGGCTCCACCCGGGAGAAGCAAGCGCCGACGCCCGACTTGTTACTGGTTCTCAAGGTGGGTTAGCCCGGCTTTCCAGGTGACGCTGGAGAAGCTGACGTGACGGGTCAGGTGTCCCCAGGCAGGAAGGAGACAGTCCACTCAGGTTTCACAGCTCCCCCCTCCCACTCCTTTGCATGCTGAGAGGGGCCGGGCGGGGCAGGCCTTCCGCGCCCGCACTGCCTCGCCCACCACGCCTCCCGGGCAGGACTGGGCCTGGACACAGCTTCCCACTCCAACTCTCCCCCAGGCCCTCCTGCTGGCCTACAAGGCCCCGGTGCAAACGCCCAATCCCTCCCAACGGTGGGAGTTCCCAAGACTCGGAAATCTGATGGGCAGATGCCATGGGAGGGGAGAGGACTGGAGTTTGGGGGAGCACAAAGTGGTCAGCTCAGCTCAGCCTTCAGGCTCTGTGGCCTCTGCTTGCTCAGACACTGCAGCCTGTCCCCAAGGACCCGCCCACAGGCAACGTAGACGTCCCTGCGGTTCCGGGCACCACCCACAGAGGCGCCCTCAGCTCTGAGGCCCCCCACCTGGGAGAGACGCCTGGGGGGCGGAGGCCAGCAGGCCCACCCGCCTGGGATGCTGCCCTTTGCTCAGGGCGCCAACCACGTGGGGATCCATCGGCCTCTGGGTGAGTGCTGACTCAGGAGAGGACGGGCCATCGCCGGGAAGTAGCCGTCCCGCTGGCCTGCCACCCTCAGAGCCACACGCCCGGCCTGCGCAGAACTCGGCAGCGGCGCTGGCCAGCTGGGGCGGGTCTCCCGCCAGCGCCTCGGAGGAGCAGAAGGGAGGGAGCCTCGGCCTCGGAGGGGCCCGGAGCTGCTGCCAGGGCTGTCCCCACGACGGGCTGGAGAGACAGAGTGGGGGGTGCCCAGCCTCGGGACGGGGCTTGGGCCTCAGCACAGATGCCACCAGGGCCCCAGTTACAAGGGCCCGCCTCTCGCCACCACGACTGGGCCCCTGGGCCCCTTTCCGCCCCCTTCCCGCTCATATTATCTCCTGAGCCCCTCTGGGCGAAGGAGTCCGCTCTGGCGCGGACGAGGGTCTCTGTCCTGCACCCTGGGATGGCATCACGGTGCTTGACAACCCCCAAGGAGATGCTTAACAGCAACGAGTAATCACAGGATGTAAGTCCCACGCGTCCTCGAGCCCCCGGGCCGAGCACGGGGTGCCCGGAAGTCACGCGGAGCCTCCTGTGAACTGGGGACACTTCCATCTTCCCCTCAAACCCGAGCCATAAGGAAGAACGCTCTGCCCTGCAGGGAGTGTGGAAAGTGCTGTCCCAGGTCGGCCGGGTCTCCCAGAGGCTGTGGGCAGCCAGGTGGGGGCGCACCCCGGGGGGCACGGCTGGCCCTGGGGCCCAGGGCTGATCTCAGGCAGCAGGGATTCCGACAGCACTGCCCGTCACCCCGGGCTGGTCCTGCTGGGCGGGTCGGGGTGGGGCCTCCCTCTCAGGATCCAGTGGCCCCGGCATTCCGGGTGCCCCCATTCTGCCCCTGAGCCCTCGGGGCTGGGACCCCATTCCTCTGCTGCGGGTGCGGGGGGTGGGGGCTCAAAGGGCGCTGAGGGCAGAGGCCAGTCTGCGGCTAACAGTGTGGGGGGGGTCTCCATTTCCAAAGAGACAGGCTCCCCACTCTCACACTCGCCCTCGGCCACTTCCTGTGGGCATCGTGAGGAACACCTCCACCGCAAGGGGAACAGCAGGACAAGTGGGGGGAGCGGGCTGGACGCGGGCTGTGTGGTCCGGGCAGCAGGTGGGGGTGGGGGGCACCCCCTCGGCTCGCGTTCAGAACCTGGGTCCCTTTGTTGGCGTCCCCAAGCCCCGCACTTGGTCTGACGCCCCAAAGCAGTAAGACAGCATCTCACGCGTAACCCGGATGGCCGGCACCGGCGAGCCTGTGAGGCGGAGGCCAGGAGCAGCGTGAAACGCCCGGCCGTGCGGGTGGCGCTAGAGGCCAGCCTCCCCCGAGGCGGCGGCGCACGTCCCTCCTCCGCTGGGGTCACCAGGAGGCGGCTGGCCCGACAGCTCAGTGTCCCTCCCGCCCCGACCATATGCCGTCCGCCCCACTCACAAATGTCCCCCAACAAACACTCCTGAACGCGCAGGGCCCCACAGAGGCGGCGAAGCTCGGACACTCCAAGGTCCTGGGAAAATGCACAAGAGCAGGCCCTGGGCAGGCAGGAGTGCCGGGGAGCCCCTGCACGCTGAGTGATGCCCACAGCTTGGGGGACGGGCACAGGGCCGGGGGGCAGAGCTGGACATAGGGCTGTGGGACGTGGCCGGGCCCCACTGCACTCACTGGCACCAGCAACGCCAGACTCAGCCCCCCACTGGCTCAGGCAGCAACACACCAGGGCTGTGGCCACTCCTCCGACGTGCACATGCAAGTCCCCCCAGAACCCCAAGGCTTCCCCAGGGCTACAAGCAAAGGATCTAGGCGATTCTGAGACTCTAAAATGGGGCATTCCCCCAGTTGTTTCCACTTGGGCCTGAATGAAGGGTGCCCAGGCGCTCCCCAGCTCCGGGGCTGCTGTACGGGACAGAGAGGAACAGAGACAGACAAGGAAGGGCAGGAGCAGGCGGGAGGGGAGCAGGCGGGAGGGGAGCTGGCGTGCAGAGAGGAAGGCACTTACCACGGGGCTGGCCCGTGCCGAGCTGGCCCTGGAGGAGGCCCGGGAGCTGGAGTTGAGGTGGCCGCCGTGCTCCGAGGGCTGTCCACACAGCCGCCGCCGGACACGCAGACAGAGAGAGAGGACAGGTCAGCAGGGTACAGCGAGGACGCGCCCAGCACGGGGTGAGCCCCAGGGGGCCCGCGGACAGAGAAGGGCCCAGCAGCCAGAGAACACAGCGTTGGTGCGGGAGGGTGGCACAAGCCTGGTCCCGGGTGCCTGGTGCCCCCCCACGGCGCATACCCCCTCCACGTGGAGACACCCCGAGAGGGACATGGGTCTCCGGGCAGGGGCCGCGGGGTCGGGGCTCTCCCCTGCGCTCTCCAAGCCAGAGGACGGAGCTGCGGGCGCTCACGCCCGTCTGGTCCGTCTGGGTGCGTCACCTGCCCTCCGCCTGGCTGCTGCCCGTGCCGGCGCGGCTGCTCTCGCCTCTCTCCCGGTAAAGAGAAGCGCCTCAGCTGCTTCATCCGGAAGCACACCTTCCTGGTTGAGGTTAACGCTGCCATGTGCTCCAGCCCCAGATTTTTTTTAGATTTTTAAAAAAAATTCTGACTTTCCTGCCTAGCAGGGTGGGCGGGGGCTGGGGGAGTCTCCCCTGCTCAGGACACAGCCCTCAGCACCTCCACCTGGGCTCGAGGGCCAGGAGACCCCGAGGCAGCATCCCAGGGGCCAGCCCTCGGGGGAGCTGGTCTCACCTGAGTGGCCAGCAGAGGTCATCCCCTGAGCCCCTGAGGGCGGGATCTGTAGCTACTCGGTCCCCTGCTGAGCACTCCAGGGCCTAGGGCCAGCACTGCCCACCCGCACCCTCTCCTGAGAACCTCCCCGCCCAAGCCCCTGCCGCGGGGGGTCGCTGCGGATGGCCACACTGGCGTGCCTGGCCTCCAGCATGACCGTCCAGCATTGGGGCACAGGGACCCTGCAGTTGGGCCACTGACAAGCAGATAAAGGCTACTGCGTTCCATGTCACTCACAGCCTGGCAGAGGCGCGGACGGGCCCACAGCACCCCATGCCCCCGGCCCTGGCACCCGAGACGGTTGCTCCAGGGGTCCCGCCTGCCAGGTGCCCCCTGTGCCCCCAAGCCAGCGCGGCTCGGCTGGTCAGGCCTCGTCTCTCCTGGTCAGGAGCCAGGGCAGCGGCCGAGCTGTGGGTGGAGGTGAGCACGCCTCGCACAGGGCAAGTGTGTCCCCAGTTTTCTTGTCTGCCAGCATCAGCGCTTGGGTCTCTGGCCCCTCATTGATGCTCTCGGCTCACCACGGCAAGGCTGCAGGGCAGGGGAGCAACCTCGCTGCACCCTACTTTATCGTTTGCCAGTCACAAGTTTCTGCGGTGGGGCCGGGACTGTCCCGGGCAGCTGTCCAGGGGTCAGCGTGGACCCGCAGCGCAGCACCTGGGCAGCGTCCCAGGGCGGGAGCCGGGGGCTGCCCTGTTCCGGGCCTGAGGGCAGGCTGGCACCCCGGCTCCCGCCAGCTAACCGGGGGATGGATCTGCCAGTGGCCTCATCCCTGAAGGCGAGAGTAGCCCAGCCCACGCCATGCCTGTCTCCGCGGTCACATGCGTGTTCAGAGGTTCCGCCCACCCACCAGCCCTGCCGTTGTCAGTAGCGTGGCCTTCACGGATGCTCAAGTGCTTGATTGCCAGAGCATTTGTTCTCATCCGCATCTGAGCACACGCCCGTTGGTTGCACGGTGCACACCTGGCTCTAGTGGCGGCCACGGCACCCACTGGGGGGGCCTCCCACGCAGCCACTGGGGGGCTGCCCACGCAGAGCTGGCCCCAGGGTCTCTCCAGGATCGTACGCCAGGTTCAATCTGTCCAAGTTAAATCACCAGCAAGCCACCCGGTGCCGGGGGCCGCGCCGCCTCTTAGGGAGCTGGCTTGCCCGCTGGCCAAGTACATCATTCGGCTGCATCTTCACCAACACGCGCAGTCAGGGCCCCTGCGCGGCCCACAGGGGTGCGAGCAAACCGGGAAGAGAGGTGGTGCCGTGGCCGCCACTAGAGCCAGGTGTGCACCGTGCAACCAACGGGCGTGAGCTCAGATGCGGATGAGAACAAACGCCCTGGCAATCAAGCACTTGAGCATCCGTGAAGCCCACGCTACGGACAACGGCAGGGCTGGCGGGAGGGCGGAACCTCTGAACACGCGTGTGACCGCGGAGACAGGCGTGGCGTGGGTTGGGCTACTCAGTGAGAGAACGGCAGCCAGCCAGCTGCGAGGGCAGCCTTAGAAAGCCGTCCCAGAGCTTCTCAGTCAACGGCTGCACCTTGTGTGGGGTGGGCGCCGCGGCAGCCGGGGGCAGGGAGCGTCTCCCGCGGCCGTGAGGGGCTGACCGGTCAGCCTGCCCCTGCGCCCGGCCTGCGCCGTCTCCTGTCTACCCTGGCCGCTCATCACGCCTGGGCTTGCTCGTCCCACGCGCGTTCACCTGCACAGGTGTCCCGTGGCGTCAGGCCTGGAGGGGACTCGTGTGTGAGGCCCAGAGGCTTCAAATTTGTTCACCCTCTCGAGTAGCCAGAGGTGCGGCTAGTGTGAGGGCTGGCACGTTCCCCTTTTCCTCCTTTGGATCCGAGGCTACGGGCCGGGAGGCCAGTGCACTGCAGGGAAAGTGCCCGGACTCTGGGCGGGTCTGAACACGCCGCCGGCGGGAACACCAGCCAACCCCCGAGGCCCTCTGGGTCCGTGTCCATGGCCCGATTCCAGGGGGAGACAGGACGCATCCATCCCAGGACTCCGGTCCCTTCTCTCTCAGGGCGGGGCTGTGCCGGGCGGACACCCTGGGGCCGTGGGCTGCGTCTCCCCCTCCCCCCGCGGGCAACCGACCTGCTCCCTGTCCCAACTGGAACACGGCGGAGTCAGCTCCGCGGGACGGCAAGCAGGCAAGACCCGGAGCGCCAGGCCAGCCGCGTTCAGGGAGCCCCTTGCGGAGAGCGGGGCCAGGTGGGGAGCGAGCGCTGCCAGCCCCGGCTGTGCGGACCCCAATCCATTCTCACGTCTATTTTCTGCGTGCATTTCCACGTGCACGCAGAGCTGTGACCCAGCCTCACAGAGAGCCGGAGCTCCGCACCCTGGTGTGGCCACGGTGCCTCCTGCCCGGTGAGGCCACGGCCAGGCCGCAGCTTTGGGAAGCGTGATCACGGTCAGGATTTAAGATTCTTCCAAACCTGCCGCCTAGGAAACAGACTGTCCGCTGACCACGGGGAGCCTGTGTGAGTGCTCACGGGGGACGGGCCACGGCGCCACGGAGGGTGCTCACCCCGGGGCCCCGACTTCCCGTGAGCACACAGGCGCCTGCCAGCGGGTGACCTAAGCCATCGGCGTGCGAGCCGAGGGGCGTCCAGGAAGCATCTGTCAACACAGCACCACCCTCGCATCTACTTCTCGCCAGGCGCAAGTGCCTCCTGCTGAAAGCTAGAAACTTCCCGAGGAATACATGGCAGCCGAGCGCTGCCCGTTCGGGTGATCAGAGCCACGGCTTATCTGCTTCCTGCCGGCAGGTAAGTGGCCTCTGCCCCGGTTCTGCCTCACAATCCCGGCAGACACATGTCCTCCCGGAGACAGCCTCAGTCCCGCAGCTGCCGGAGGGTCCAGGGGATTGACGGGGCGGCGCCTCCGTCCAGGGCCACCGCCGCGCGCACTGGGGGCAGGGCCCAGGGCCACAGCGGCCGGGCGGGGGGGTCGTGCCCGTGGGGCAGGGGACAGGCACCCGTGGCTCCCCACCGGCCGGCTGTCCAGACGAGGGCGGCCGGACAACGCGAGCGGCAGGTTGTTAGAGTTTGGGAGAACAGCAGCGGCTAACAGTGACCAGGTGACGTCACGGCAGGGCTTGCGAGAGCCGAGCCACCACCCGCGGAGGGGGGATGCGGGCGGAGGGGGGGACGCAGGTGGACACCCCAGTGCGTGTCCAGATGCACGAGGAGGCCCAGCGCAGGAGGATCCCGGACTTTTCAAACCTCCCCAGCACCCCAGAAGCGGGACTACCTTCTAGTCATTTCTCTTCAGGGACTCCCGGGAGAAGGGCTGGGGGCGAGCAGGACGGTGGTGCGGCCGACGCAAGCCACACGCAGCCGAGCAGCAACCCAAGGCCCAGGGGAGGAGAGCAGGTGGGGGTGTCGGTGCTCGCAGAGGGGACCGCGTGGGGCGGGGGAAGAGCACGCGGGGGTGACGCGGTCTCCGCCACAGGCGCGGCCCAGAGCTCTGCGCCGCCCGCCCCCCGGGGAGGGTGGACCGGGCTGGGAGGCCCCGCGCCGCGCCGGCAGGACCCGCCTCAAGGAAACAGGAAACAGACGGAAGCCCAGCCAAAGAAACAAGCTGCCCGCCCCACTTTCCAAAGATGGGGGGTCAGGTTAGTCTTGTACAACAGCCTTCCAAATTGCTTCCTGGACACATTTACAAGAAAAAATATTTTTAAAAAACACAAATGAAACCCCAATTGGGGAACAATTGCAGGAAGAGGAGGAGAGACCCGAGAGACCAATATTTTTGGACTTGAGCTTTGGAAAATATACATTGGGTCGCTCCCCCGCCCCAGAGTCCCTATTTCCCATATAAGGGCCTTAATTATTTTGGTACTTTCCAGAAGGCTGGGAGAAGTCTAACCGGGTGTTCAGACCAGCTGAGCCACCAACTGGGCCCCACCGCGTGCTTCGTGGCGGGGGGGGGGGGCACAGTGGGGCAGCAGCCCAGGCGCATGCAGGCAGGAGGCTGTGGGGGCACAGACCCAGTTTCCACTCAGGGCAGACAGGGGCCTGGGAGCCAGGCTGCTTCTGGAGGCGCTGAGGTCGCAGCAGGGGAGGCCCTGGAATCAGAGAGAAGGGGGGGGGCTCGCTGTGCTCCCTACGCCAGGGCCCAGGCACCTTGACTCACACCACGCAGAGGACGACGCTCCAGGCCGTGCACACATGGGAGGGGAGGGGGGGGCGGGGGGAGGGACAAGGAGTCAGGCAGGTAACGAGAAGGCCACACACTGGGGCGGAACCGCGGAGAGCAGAACCAGGCGGGGAGAACAGAACCAGCCGAGAGCGGAATCAGCCGAGAGCGGAACGGGCCGAGAGCGGAACAGGCCGAGAGCGGAACCGGCCGAGAGCGGAATGGGCCCAGAGCAGCAGACGGCAAGGCGGGGGGCTTAGGGGGCTTTGCAGTCTGAGTTCTAATGTTTACGGTTTGGTGCAGAAAACTCGGAACCAAGGACTGGAGGAAACTCGGCGTCCTCCAGGGAGTGAAACGCTGCCCTGGCACCACTCTGGGCCTCCAGGCGAGAACCTGCCTGAGGGTTCCCAGGGCTGCGGGACTCGGTGGCGAATCCTGAGACCGTCCACACAGCACTTCTGGGGTAAACGCTTTCCCAAGGGAGGGGCTCCTGAGGAGGCGTCAGGCTCTGGGGCTGGACAGCAGGGCAGGCAGGCCTGGACACATGCCCCAGCCCACAGGCTCCCACGCTGTGCCCGTCTCTGGCCTGGGCACTGGCAGGTGGAACGCTCGGTGGATGCGGAGACGCTTCCTCGTGTCTAACCCACAGGCAGTGCCAGCCACAGCGAGGCCGGAGGGCAGAGGCCATCACTGTCCTGCATCCACAGTGCTGTCCCAGCTCACCTGCTTACCCAGGTAACGTCCCACCTGAGCTCTGAGTGTTTGCTGAGTGAGAACTTGCTGGGACGCACATGAGGGTCCTAACCGACCCAGTCTCTGCCTGTCAGGACGGGCCCGTTATCAGCAGAGGAAGGGATCTTGCTGTGTAGACATGTGAGTTTGGATTGGATTTGACTTTCAAGTCCAGTCCTTCCCCCAAGAACTGTCACAGGGTCCCTCATCAGCTACAGAGCCATTCTGTTTTCAGGAAGGAGTTTTAAGGCTTTTAGAATCCCCCCCAGCCCCATGGTTGGTCCTGGCGCCACACGGGCTGCGGACGTCGCTCCTCTGCAGGCGCCAGAACCTCATTCACGCCCCTTGCGTGGACGCACGTGGATGGCGGGACAGCGGGGTGGGGTGGGGGGGGGTGTCTGAGTTAGATCAAGGCTGTAATCCATGCTCGAAAGCAGCCTCTCCCCAAAGGACGGCCGTCCAGCAGCCCCACTGCGAGCAGCTGAAGCGGCACAAAACCTGCAGCTCCCGGGGGCGCGAAGGGCCAAACGGGACCAACCCACGAGTCCTCTCCGGGCGGCACAGTGGAGAAGCTGGCGTCGCCGCCACAGCTGGAGCTCTGGACAGCAGAGGAGACAGGGTCAGCGCCGGCCTCGTGCTCACGCCCGGCACACCGCCCGTCACAGGTGGCTCGGACACAGGCCCAGGACGCGTGCCCAGGCCGGTGTGAGGGGGTCGCTCCGCTGTGCTCCCTGGCCATGCCCTGTCACCCCGTTCTCCCCTGTTCTTGGGATTTCCTCTTCTCTAGCGTTGCCCGTAATCACTACTTCATCCAAGTCGCTGGGTTTATTACTCCCAAAACGCAGCGGGCGTGAGGCTGATTCTCTCTGCTGAGTCACAGCAGGTCGTGGACGTCAATTAAAATGCGTGCGCTCGAGCCTTCAGCCCTTGGGTGCCTGGCCTCCTCGGTGCGCCCGCCCACCTCCCGCAGGCTCTCCGTGGGTGCCCCCCAGGGAGTGTCCCTCTGCCCCTCCCCCTCCCCCGGATGGTGGCGTCTGAGCATCAGGCCGGTCAGCGCCTCTTGTCTCCTTTCTTCCTCCCCAGGAAAAAAACAGCCCTCAGCACAGGCTTCTTTGACATGGCAAATGAGAGTAGCGGAGAAGAGGAGAAACAGCAAACTGAACTTTGCCGGAGAGCTGAGTATTTAACACGCACAGGCACACCACGCTTGCACATGTGCACACGCGGCCATGGCATGAGACAGGCCGCCTTCCACGCCGGATCTTTTCAAACACAGATTCTTGTCAGCACTGATCCGGACACTGACACCCAAATGTTAGAGGACAAACACTCACAGGATTTGCTAGTTAGATGACATGAGCTGTCGCTGTCGTGGGCTAGAATAATAAAAAGAAAGCTGGGCCTCCCTGGTGGCGTAAGGGGTTAAGTCTCAGCACGATGAGCTATCTCCAGAACCTGCAGCACGAGGTCGAGGTCGAGGTCGAGGTCGAGGTCGACGCCAGCCAGGGAGCTGCCCACGTGGCGCAGCCGACCCCTCCTGTCTCCCTGCTCTCCCCTCAGTAGTGGATTTCAGTCAGTCTGCCTGTTCTGCTCCCCACTCTCTCTGGTAAATCCTCTCACCTCCCCGCCACCCCACACCTCTGGCATGCACCCCAGCTCTTGTATGCATAAATAAATAAAACAAATCTTCAAAAAAAAAAGAAAAGAAACCCACTACAACAGGAAAGAAAGCAAAGCGGCTAGACTTAGTCTTTTTAAGGGGGGAGCCCTCGCAGCCACAGCGTCACAGTACTGACCCTGCCAGATCTCCTGCTCGGGGCCTGGAGGTCTCCGTCATAGCCATTTGTCTGTCCAGTGGAAGAAAGAAAAACTGACATCAGTGTAGAGAAGACGACGCAGACGGGACTCAGCGGGGACGGAGGGCGCTTCTTAGTGGGAGGGGCGAATGGCAGGCCCGGGGGCAGACCCTGACCTTCCCCCAAAGCCTCTCTGTGCCCCGCAGCAGTCAGGCCAATGCCCAGAGCTCACGGGGTGCCCCTGTCACCCCAGACCCCTCCTGCGAGGCACAGAGCCTGGGTGCAGCCGCCTTTCTGGGGGTTTCCTCACTTCCGTGTTTGGGGCATGGCTGCAGGAGTCCTGGCTGGGGAGCGGGGTGGGGGGTGGCGCGGCCCAGTGACGGGTCTCGCTCTCGGCTCAGGGTGAATCCCGGCGGTCAGAGGCGCGACGGGCCCGCACCGGAGACCCAGAGAATCCTCCAGGCCCCTCGGGGAGCAGAGAGGGCCCTCTCTGTAGGCCCTTCACTCGCCAGTCTCACGCCTCCACGTTACAAAGTGGATTCTGGTACCTCCTGACCTGTCCGCTCAGACACAGTGGCCGAGGGCTCTGTACCCTTGTCTGCGCCGGCCACGGGCTTTCGAGGTGCCCCGTCCACCTGTGGAACTTCTGCTGACTCGAGAGAAACGCTGCCTGGAACAGCGAGGGATGCTCTCCGGCAGGAGGAGGGCGAGGGCCCCACAGTGACCCAGCGTGGCAGGGACCCAGCGGGCATGGACAAGTCCAGAGCCCAGGGAAGGGCTGCGTCACTCCAGGGCCCGGCTGTGCGGACGTGGGACACGCTCCCCGGCCCCAGGGATGAGCGTCAAGCACTGGGCCAGCCCACGCCAGGAGAGGAAGGCGCCCCTCCCGAGGGGCCAGGCGTGTGCCACCATTTAGAGGGTCTGGCGGGGGCGGCGGCCCGGCCTGGGGGCGGCCGTGACATCAGTGGAGAACCAGCAAGTGACTTCCAGACAGACCATAGACCCAGATTCACGAAATGCGGATTCATGTGACTGAGTCACATGGTGCCTGCTGCCACCCCAGACACGAGGGAACAGGCCGGAGCTCCGGGAGCAGCCGGGCAGGGTTGCTACAGAGCCCCAGACAGAGAAGGCGGCTGCGGTGACACGGCCGGAGTGAGTGCGCCGCCCGCCCCGCGTGCCCGGCAGCCACCAGGCAGGGCCGGCAGCGCCGCCCAGAGAAGTCGCCGGTGACCTCTGTCGGGGCACGGTTCACTGAGTCAAAGGACAGATGCCCCAAGGGCATGAGGGGCAGGACTCCTGGGAAAGGCAAAGGAAGCCCCAGCTCCGCGCACGAGGCCTCAGGCAGTCTGAAGGCTGGAAGGAAACAAGCTCCAAAGCAAGCGCCTGGGGTGGCCACATCCCGTCCACTCCCCCGGCAGGGGCAGCCCTCGGCCACGCCTGACCTTGAGTTTAACACAAACAGCTGGGAAAGCGCCAGCTGCGGGGCAAATGCGTCCCCCGACAGGAGGGACCGCGGAGCAGCCAGCCTGGGGATGCCAGCTCGGAGGCTGGGCTGCTAGGACGCTCCCCGGGGGCACTTCCTGGTCTCGTGTCCAGATGTCCACAGTGGCCACTCCTCACCAGTGACGTGTCCAGCCCTGGGCTCCGCCCTGTCCCTGCTGGTCAGGACTATGGCAGCCCGGCCAGGAGGCCCATGGCCACGTGTGGGGAGCTGGTAACTGTCATCTTAAAAGGTAAAACACATTTTAAGAAAAACCCAGAAATTTGCTGAGTAGTTCTGAGGTGCCACGGAATGAATGAAGCACAAACACTTGACCTTGAGGTCAGAAAAAGTCCTCGAAGGGGAGAAGTCGTTAAAAATCAGCCAGAGTCGGGCCTCCCTGGTGGCGCAAGGGGTTAAGATGCAACATATGAAGCTCAAAGCAGTCACTGCACCACGAGTTCCATCCGCGGCTGACCAGGGAGCTACCCACACGGTGCAGCAGACCTCTCCTGTCCCCCCGCTGCTCCCCTCAGCAGTGTGTTTCGGTCCACCTGCCTGCTCTGCTCCCCACTCTGTCTCTGGTGAATCCTCTCACCCCCCACAACTCTGGCCTGTACCCCAGTTCTTGTATGCATAAGTAAATAAATATAAAAAAAAAAAACAGCCAGAGTGACTCCAGCACTGACGGCTTTAAGCTGCGAGACAAAATGGTCGTCTTTGGTGTCGTGGGAGTGACGGTCTCTGTTCTGGGCTGGAGCTGGGTCCCTCTCAAAGAGCACTTTCTGGCCACGAGTCAGCTTGGAAACTTAGTTAGAATGGACACACGTGAGAAAATAATGCATTTTTCATGAGGAAAAATGACTCTAAGTGTAACCTTTCAAAGGAAGTTCAGCAGTGCCGGGAACTGGTCCGACCGGAGGTGCTGGAGACTCGACACCCCACCTGTATGCCTGGGGCTGGGGGGGGCAGGTGTGGGCTGGGGCCCCGGAGCAGGGCCAGAGGTGCGGTGGCAGGGGCTGCTTCCTGAGGAGCGGGTGGGTGCCCCGCCCCACTGGTGGGTGACACGTGTGCCTTTTTTTTTTTTAAGATTTATTTATTTATGCATACAAGAACTGGGGTACAGGCCAGAGAGGACTCACCAGAGACAGAGCAGGGAACAGAACAGGCAGACTAAAAAAGAAAAATACTGGATGGTCTCACTCATAGCAGGAATTTAGAAAACCTAAATAAGGGACCAGGAAAAAGACTAATTAATACAAAGTAAAAATCAAAATCAACAGGCAGCTATAAACCAGAGACACACGGGGGGGCAGGGAGGGAAGGGGAGAGGAAGTTCTAGGGTCAAAATAAGGGGGGGGGCGCAATTGTATGGGGAATATAACCAAAATGAAAATGCACACATTGTGCAAAAACGAAAATGATATAAGAATTATATAAAATAAAGTATTATTTAAAAAAAAAAAAGAACAGGCAGACTGAAATGCACTGCTGAGGGGAGCAGCGGGGAGACAGGAGAGGTCTGCTGCGCCACGTGGGTAGCTCCCTGGTCAGCCGGGGATCGAACTCGTGCTGCAGAGGCTGCAGATTGCTTCACAGGTTGCGTCTTAACCGTTTGCGCCACCCGGGAGGCCCAGGGGCGCCTTTCTGGATGAAGATGCACTTGGCGTTTTGGAAAACTCCCCACAGTGGGTCCCAGGTTAGGCTCTGTCACACCACAGAGGGTCCCAGGGCAAAATTTCTCCGCGATCTCACCCAGGCGGAGGCCCTGCACCCCAGTCAGGCTGGGACAGGGAAGGAGGGGCAGCGGGAGGGACAGAGGCCTAAATCGAGGAGCGAAGTGAAGCAGAACAAAACCCAAGCACTCCAGAAACCTCGGCGCTGGGCCTTGTGGGAGCCCCCAGGCACTCACGCGTGTCCCCAGGAGCCGCAGCAGAGCGGGGTGTGAGCGCTGCGCCCCCCACGGCCGCCGCCTCTCCTGCAGACGGGAGCCACGGGCAACGCACTTCTTCCTGGAAACCCATCCCGGTATTGCAGGCAAAGGTGGACACATTGGTCACTGTCCACTTCTAACAAGGAAGATGCAAAGATCACATTGTCTAAAATGAGACCCTCCGAGCCCTTCCAAACACGCTCGGAAGGCAGGGGCCTCCCCCAAGGGTCTGCGCACCACCGCCGGCTGAACGGAGGGGCCTGCGACGTGGAAAAGACAAGAAAGACGGGAGCTTCTACCAGAACTGCGCAAACCACAGATTCCAGAATATTAAAGAGCGCATCTGCTGCTGGCAGAGGGGGGAGACCCGCTCAGCGGGACAGTGGGGCTGCCCTGCCCGGTGCCGCCAGAGAGGCCAGGCTGAGGGTGGGCTTGAGGTGGAGGCAGCGCTGACCAAAACTGTGCCCCTGGCAGGCCTTGAACGGCCCCTGGGCACTCACACGATGCCCACCGGGAGGAGAATCCCCAGGATCGCGCGATCGCGGCTTCTGCAGGCAGCTCCTCCGGAGCACAGGAGAGTGGCAGGGCGGGTCGCCGGCTTCCGGGGCTTCCACATCCTCCCGCCCTTCCCGCTCCTAGCATGGGCTGCTCTGTGAAAGATTCCTGGAAACGGACGCTTGGCACCTTGCCGAGAGCGCGTCCCGCGGGGAAATGCAGCCATCTCCAGCTCAGCTCGTGGAGACCGGAAGGCAGGCCGGCCTGTCACCCGAACTCACTAACACCGCCGTTCAAAGCTCTCTGGGGGCAGGACACGCTCTGAACATCTTAAGAAGGCGACAAATTCTTTCCCCAGAAAAACGCAGGCGCACAAGAGCTTGCTCGGGGTTTCGGGGTCACGGTTCAGAGGCATCCCGGGGTGAGTCGGGCGAGGTCTCTGCTGCCATGTCCCTCTCGAGCCGTGTTAGTCAGGCGCGGCCCTCACCATTCCAGCCCAAGGCTGTCCGTCAGGGTCGCCGCGGCCCCCGGGCTGCGAGGCCAGCGCCAGCGCCAGCCCAGGCCTGGCTCACTGGACGCCTCTCGCCCCCTGACATGGCACCAGCCTTACTTGGGCTCTGAGCCCACCCTGCTCTGGGCCAGCCCGGCAGCTGTCTGAGGCTCTGCACGCTGGGCCTGGCACTTACAGTGTTTGCTCGCACAAACCTCACTTGCTCCTCGCCCATCTGTGAGGGGCATCTGTGAGGAGGTCACTATGGCTGCCGACGGGGTCCCCACGGAAGGCGGCTCTTTGGCCGACTTCACCTGTGGGTGTCACTTCCTGGCAAACTCCCCCCCGTGGCTCTGCTTTTAGCGCTGCAAGTTCCACAGCGAGGTGGGGGAGGCGTCAGACCACAGGCGCCGTCTGGGGGCCTAGGGAGGCTGGGTGGAGGCGGCCCAGCCCGGCCTCGGCCACGCAGCTCCACCAGCACGCCTGTGCGTGGGTCAGCAAGATGCCCGTCTGGCTGGCACCCCAGGGTGGGCTGACCCAACACACTGAGTTTCCTGGCCCCACGCCTCATGCAGAGCGCAGCCTCTGCTTTACCTGCCACTGTGCTTTTGGGGGAACCTGAATATCTGGGGACTGTTTAAAGAAAAGTGCATTTGGGCTGGTTGACCTCCAGCCGCCGGCTACCGGGGCTCCACCATGGAGGGAGGCGGCGGCTGGTGGGGGATGGCTGTTCCCACGTCCAGCGGGCAGTCGGCGGTGGTCAGGGGAGCACACCGCTGCCCACCGGCCTCGACTATGGCTACTTTCCTGGGGCTCAGAGTAGCTGGGGAGCGGGTCTGGGCTCAGGCCTGCAGCCTGACGGGAGGCTGAGCAAGGGGTGCCGTCCGCGATGGGGGGGACGGCCGCATCCTGGCGGGTGTTCTGCACGTGGACACTGTGCGGGGCTGGGGTCCCACTCGGGAGAAGACCCCGCAAGGGCGCCTCTGCCCTCTGCACCTGACTGCAGAGGCGCCCGGTGCGAGGACGGCGGGGCGGGGCGGGGCTGGGGCCGGGGCCACTGCTCACTGACCCTCCGGCTTCCGCGGCTGCCCACCGACGCACGCTCGTCTTCGTCAGACGCCTAGTGGGAGAAGAGAAGGCGGTGAGGGCGCGCGAAGCTGCAGCCACGGCCGAGCAGCCGTCCTCGGGCTGTTTCTCCATCATCCAGGTCAACATGGGCCGGGGACACGGCTCCGCGGGGGGCCCCGCAGCACCCCAGCCAGTCGAGCAAGCCCCGGGGCCACCCAACAGTCACCGTGAACCGCCGCCTGGGGGCACCGGGGCCGGCGTCTGGGTGGAGGGGGCACCGGCAGGAGCCCCCTCACTCGGCTAACGCGAGAGCGCGAGTTTCGGCCCCGCAAACACAAACCAGGGGCCGCCCGAGGACGGAGAGGTACTGACCGAGGTGCTCCTCCGGGGCCGGCGGGAGCAGCGCTCGCTGTCCTCCTGCCAAAGCAACGCAAACAGTGTGAAAGGTCGGCGCACCCCGGGACTCGGCGTTGCTGCCACGAAAGTCAGGCCGGACAAATATTTACTCTGCTGAGAGGCTTCCATTAAACCTCGGGGGAGGGTTTTCTCTGAGGGGCAGCAGACACGCGAGCACAGGAGTCCTGCTCTGGGCGGTGGGGGGAGGCTGTCTTCCCGCTCAGACCCCGTCTGGCCCTGGGCTCAGGCTACCCGCACCCCACCTGAGCCCACCCCTCCGGGAGCCAGGGCCCCATGGGGAGACCCGCTGCTCTGTGGATGGGGGGCGCTCCGGGGTGCACACCTCGGGGGGCATGTCAGCGCCGCTGTGCTACCTCCTGAAGGCGCTTCGGGCACTAAATCCACCCACCTGCCCCCACCGGCGCTGTGTGAGCCTAAAGCGGCGGCTGCACACAGGGAGGTTTGCAGGGGGCGTGCGCGCTGCATGTATCAGCACCCCCTCGTTTACTCACACAGCCGCCCCCGGGGCCAGGGCCAAGCTTACGCTCCCTTAGGTGACTTTACGGGTAGAGGCACTGACCAGGATGTTTCAGTAGGGCTGAGGGCTGGAGGGCGCTCGGGACAGGCTGATGAGAGGAGAGAGCTGTGTCTCTGGGGGCCGGGGGGCCGGCGAGTGCTGCCCCTCCAGAGCTTCAGGGTGGGGGCCCATGTCCGCCCGAAGGACAGGAAGGCCGGGCGCCCACGGGGAAGCCAGCTCCTGACTGACATGCGAGTTGCTCTAGGAAGCTGGCTGGGGAGGTGAAAGGGTTTTTCCACCAAAGGGCAGAGGCTCCGGGGCCAGTGGCCAGGGAGGAGGGGCCACGTGGGGTGGGGAAGGTGGGAGTGAGAGAGACCAGCAGCTGACCGTGCTTGTGAGGGGGGGACGCAGCACGACCAGCCCTGGGTGCACTGGGGCTTGGCCGGGTCGTGGCAGCGAGGAGGCCGTCAGCCGAGTGTGCGTCACAGAAGGCTGAGGGGACCGGGGAGGCGGGGCGGGGACCTCCAGGCTGTTACTCCAGAGACCCCGGGGGCAGTCACCCCAACACAGCCGTCAGCAATGCCTGGCCAGGCCCATCTCTAACCAGGTTTCTCCCAGGATGTAAACAATCAGGCCGGAGGGAGGAAATCTCCTTATTAAATTAGGGTGCAACAGAAATCTGTCTCAATAATTAAACCACATAAAAATCACATCATAAACCATTTAAATTTCTTAAAAGCAGATGCAGGCCTACCATCCACCGCTCGATGTCACCCCATTTTGTTTCCAGCCCATAATATTTCTATAGACAGAAGGGAAAGAAAATTAGGCAAGAAGTGAAGTGGTAACTCAGAAGGAGCTGTTCCAACATGCACGTCACAGCTGCTGCCAGCCACTCGGGGTGGGGGGTGGGGGGTGGCATGCCAAGGCAAAGCGGCAAATCACAGGGCAGTGGGTGCAGCCTGGAGCCCGGGCAGAGCCTGCCTGCCCCCTCCCCACCGGCCAGGCAGAGACCAGGACAAAGCCCTCCCAGGAAGCGGCTAAACTCAGCCCAGCAGAGCTGCAGTCCCCTGGGAAGCTGTTGCTGCCTCCCGGCCAATCACCAAAGGAGCAGCTGAGGGCCGCTCCAGGGGTGAGAGGCCCGGGAGGCAGGCAGAGGAAGGGCGGCCTGTCCCAGCCACCTGACACGCCGGCTAGCTTCAGGCCACCATCCCCTGCGCCCTTGGCTTGTCTCGGGGCACGCACGGGTGCGGAGGCACCTGGCGGCCTGCAGTTCAGCGTCAGGTACAAGGAGCACATCCCCACCCAAGTCTGCAGGCTTTTAGCTAACCCCTCCAAGCTTTGGCTTGCTTGTCGAAACTCAGAGTTAGGGAAGTAGATTCGAAGTCGCTGCTACTGCCTCTCGGCTCTGGGATTCCACAGTGGCCACCAGGGAGAGCCTCAGGTTCCCGGTCCCAACTTTTCTTTCCTGTTCACTCTTGGAAATCTAGGCACAGCTGCCACGCCTCCCGGCCACAGGGCAGCAGGGAGGGGGGTGGGGGGAAGCCCCTCTTTGCACATCACAATCTTATCCCTGGGAGGGAAAGACGGTGCTGGGAGCACAGGTGCTGTCCCCGGGGTGACACCCCAAGGCGCTGCTCTGCTTGCTGGCGGGCGACCCCGGGCCTGCTTCTTCTCTTCGAGGCGGCAGTCAGAGGGACGGAGGGGAGCACGCGTGGGGAGGCAGAATTCAGCAATGCTTTAGAAGTTCAACCCACACAGCTCCCCACTATCAGAGCTGCAGGATCGGCCTTTCTCTGGAGGTTATTTCCCTTCCACTATTTTGTCTGGAAAGCGACAAAAGTAAACGCTTCTGAAAGTCTGAGTCTATCCTCGGCTTAAGGGAAAGGCAACCGCTGAGGCTGTTCTGCGCTCAGGTCACGTCGGCCTGTCACTGTCACATTCCAGATCTCCCCCACAGCAGCGTGACGTCGTCAGCCCTCCTTTATCTCGTGGTTTAATTACAAAGATAGAAGGAAAACATGGCTTTCTTTTTTTTTCTTTAGGGAGGGGGCTCTATATAAATTCCCAAGAGATTATTTAGATTCCGAGAGTCAGTGTTCCCAGCGTCCTATCTGCCGGCTCCCTGCCCACAGTGAAAGCCGCTGCTCTTCTGGACAAAAGCAAGAATCCCTCCTTCAGCTCCACGGGGGAGAAGCCCAGACAGGGGTGCGGTCCGCGGTGTCAGCAAGCAGCATCACGGCCAGCTCGGGGAAGCGATTCCAGATGGAAACGTCTGTGAGCAGCCGGTGAGTCATGCAGGGAAGCCGGAGGCACGGCACGCCGGTGCGGAAGGTGCTGGACTTTCAGAAGCAGCTTTGACTCGACAGAGAAGCCGAGAAGGAGACCAGCCAAGCGGACTGGGGGGCAGGTTCGCTCCTGCTCGTGTCTCAGAGCTGGTGACGGGATCGCCGCCTCCGCCGGACACGCCTCCGCAGAGCCACGCGGACGGTCCCCTCCTGGGCTCGCTCCGGCCGGGGTGTGTGTGCACACCAGCACCCTGCCAGTGTCGGATGCTGTCGCTGGCGAGATGTGAACAGAAGGTGGTGGGGGTCCGGCAAGAAAAGGAGCGAGTTGGGGGGCGGTGTGGAGGGCCCTCCACACCCCGAGGCCCAGCCGGCCTCTCCCTGGCAATGGCTTGCGGGCGCCTGGACCCCCAAGCGCTGGGGTCAGCGCCCACGCCCACCTGGGCCGGGGAAGCCGGCAGCGTGCAGGTGGAGCCTGGGGCTACTTCCCTGAGGCCTCGGGCCAGGCAGGCCAGCAGCTGCGCCCCGGGGGGGCCGGAAAGGAAAGGACCTGGGACGGGGCTGGCAAGGGGGCCCGGAGGCGGGACCTGGGTCTCACTGACAGCTTAGGGGCTGCGTTCCAACTCCTGAAATGAAGTTACCTCGCCCACACTTTCTTAGCCGTTTTAAAAGGAACATCAAGCTGTTCTTTCTGCAGAAACCAAATAAATGTATAAAAAGAAACTTTCAAAGGATTGTAAGTGACTAAATTCGCTTACGGGCAAGACCCGCGTCTACGGACCCCCAGCGCTGAGCCCGGCAGCCTCACCCCTGCCTGCGGCTTCTCGCAGGCCAGAAAAGCTGCGTCCCAACTGCCCAGGTTTCTCTCTTTCCCGCGGCCGCCCTGCTAGCGCATTTACTCTACTCCTCGGCGGCTGGACGAGGCCCCGGGGCAGGGACAGGCACGCTGGACCCTGCGCCTGAGCATCGGGGACAGAGGACGGGTTTATTTTGAGCTGTCAGGCTCACGCTGCCCCCGCCGTGCCCGTCAGAACGTCCTGCGCTTTCCAAGGAAGCTCTATGGCAGGTTATTGTCTTCAAAATGGGATTTCAAAAGCTCTCCCAAATTCTGAGATGTGCGCTGGTTTTGTTTCAGAATTCTTTTCTTCTCAGAAATGATGAGGCAAATGGGGGAGAGACGTGAGGTGCTGTCAGCTCATAAAATGGTGTCTGACGGGCGGTCGCGCTGGGGGTGCGGCGGGGCCCTAAGCATTCGCGTCCAAACCCATTCAAAATCAAGGCAGCGGCAGCGGCAGGGAGAACGTGCCACCCTGCAGGGAAAGCGTGACTCTGAGGGGAGCGGCCGGGCAGGGACAAGCCGGTCCATGCAAAGGCGGAGGGGAGGCGCCTACCTTTTGAACCTGATAGATCTAGAGAGAAGGGAAGAGAAAGAAAAGACATGATTTAAGGTGACAGACACATCCGGAGGCTCTCAAGTACCCGGACCGGGAGTAAAAGCCACGCTGGGGAACCAGCCAGGCCCGAGCACGGTGACGTGCACATGGAGAAGCTTTCGGGTCTCGGGAAGAACTGGGCTCCCCGGCTCGTCTGGCGTGTTTCAGACCCGGGGCGGCGGGCCCGGCACGGGGCTCGGCCCCGCCCCGCCAACAGCCCAGGGTCAGCCTCAAGCTTCTCTTCGCAGCCGTGACGTCACCAGGGTCACCGGATCCACGCGGGCACGTGCAGACACGGTGGGGAAAGGTGGTTTCGTGCCCTCCCTCGAGCAGACGCCAGAGCTGCCAGGAGGACTCCGGTGCAGGCGCGTGAGCGCGGGAGCAGGGCGGAAACGCGCGGTTCTGAGGCTTAGGATCACGCCCCGACACACTATTTTGCTTTCGAGGGGTTTCCTCACTCTCGCTAGGGGAGCCTGAGACACCCACCTCTCGCGCTCACTCAGCGATCATTCACCGAGTCAGTCTCTGTCCAAGGCAAAGCCAAAGCCGTAGGATTAGAAACTTGGGGTTTCTATTTCATACGCGTGAGCACGGGTGGATACAGGCGACATCAGGACATGCTGTATGAAACGGCCCTCCAGCACAACGGTGCCAAGGTCGCAGCAGTGAGAGAGACGCCCCTCCGCGCCCCGGTCTCCGCGCCCCGGTCTCCTTCCAGCTCAGGTTCTCACTGGACGTGGAAAGGTCACTGCCTTCCCTGAAGAATCTCCAGATCTGTCTTTCCTCAAAAATTTCATTAAAACGTGACTCAGCCCTTTACAACAGCCCCACAGCACAGCTAACAAGGGCTGCACTGGTTCTCAGCGTCTGCCCTTGGAGGGGGCACCACGAGGGGAGGAGAGTGGGTTGCTCAGGAGGGCGGGGCCGGCCTGGTCTGGGCGATTCCGCAGCCGGTTCCCAGCACAGTCTGCCGGGCTTGAGGCAGATCGGCCCGCACGCTCGAGCTCTGCACCCATGTCTCTGTCTTGTGCCCCGTCCAGGCCCACCTTGGAGGGCCCCAGGCCCCAGTGTGGCTTCCACCACCCACCTCTAATCCCCCCAACCTCGGGGAGTTTCCAGCTCCCCAGGCCCCCCCAAGTCGGTCCACTGCTGCCCCGCAGGCACTCACAGGTTCAGCCTGCCCCGAGCTGTCCCACCTCCTTCAGGGAGCCCTCGGCTCCACTCAGAAGCACCTGCGCAGGGGTGTGCCGGCTTGCCGCCAGATGACAAGATGGAGAACATTCTTAATTTTGACATCCAAGTATCAACCCTGCGAGCTAAACACTGATCCTCCAAAGTAAATTCATTTCTGCTTAATCAACATCTTGAAATGCCAGGGCCCTGGGCTATTAGATTGTGCGACTGAAACTGTGTTAGCTGCTTCCAAAAATAGCAAGGCCCGGAGATGTGATATGCCAAGGGAGGTTGTGGAGGCGCTGCCTAAGCACCCTCCGAAATCCTGTCCCGGACCCGTGAGTTACCTCGTCCAGGTCGGGGGGGGCTCAGGTGGGTCAAGGCGAGAAACAGCGAGGCCAACCGTGGTGCTTCCGGGCCCTCTCACTAAGAAAATTACCTATTTTGTGCTTGTTACACAGTTCTTTGAATTCAGCACTAAGGGGGAAAAAAAAACTTGCTTTGGAAGGTATGTTCCCACCTGCAGGGACGGGCTGAGGCCGCGCCTCTGCCCCTTGGCTGCGCCGCCAGCCACACACGGTCACCCCGAATTCCACAGCTGACAGACTGCCTCGGCCTTTGTTTTTGTTTGTTTTTATTGTAGCCTGTGTGCGTGGCTTTGTGGCAGGGGGTGCAGGAAGGCGGCCAGCTTCGCAGCTTTTTCAGACCTAGACTTGAGTCTTGGCCTTCTTAGTTTTGGGGAGAACTCTAGTCTCTAAGAAGGTCCAGTTTCCTCACCTGTAAATGACACATGGGCTGCAAGTGACAGTGCAGGCCCCGCACTGCCACATGCCCGGGCTCTGGGGCGTCGGCCTCTCCCCCCGCCCAGCTCGCCTGGCCGAGTAGTCACAGGTGCACCTATTTTATCTGCCCTCTCCAGCCCCTCTGTGGAGAAGCAGACTCAGACTCCCCATAGGGGTGGTTTCGTATTTAAAGACCCTCCGTTCCCGACGGCAGGCCTGTCCCCTGTGTCAGTCAGTGCCGGGGCCGGTTGGGCGCCCTCCCCGCTCCTCCCTTGCCTGGCCCGGCTGTCCCTCCCAAGGGCAGCTTCTGCAGGCCTGCCTTTCCCGCTGCAGCTGCTTCCTGTGGCGTCTGCGCCAGCCAAGTGGGCCAGAGGTAGGGACACTGCAGCTTCCTCCCCGACAACGCCACTCCCCTGTCGCTCTCAGCCTGGGGCCGGGGCTCTGGCGTGGGACTTGCCCCAGCAGGAGTCTGCTTCGGCCCAGAAGGACTACGAAGAGGCTGACAGTCTGCCTGTCCATGGGGGATGGGGGGTGAGCACAGACAAACCACCACAGACAGGCAGCAGACGGCCACGCTCCCCGGGGGGTCACCCCCCAGCCTCCCACATGGAGGCACCTGTTCCCAGGTCTGGAAGCCCCTCGAATGCGGGGAGGACCCCCGAGGCCACTGTCCTCGTGGGAGACCCTCCACACCCAGGCATGACGAGCAGCTGGAGCCCTGGCCACCACTTAAATGCCTCACAGACAAGTGAACGTTGGGAGGAGAAGCCCGAATCGGAACGCCGCCTTCTAGGCGAGGACACTCGTGTGCACGAGGACGGGAAACCGCCAAGTTTTTAACGGAAGGGCCCAGCTTTCACCGCATTTTCTCCGCAAAGCCAGGCCGCTTGCGTGTGGGTGCAGGGGCCTAGTGCCCAGGCTCGGTCCCACCACCCAGCGGCCAGGCTGGTCACTTGGGCTCCCATGCCCCTGCGTGCGGCGGGGGCTCCCCAGTGCCCAGGCTCCATGAGGGGCAGCAGGAGCTCCTGATGCTGCCTGGCGGTGGCCTCCTGGCTCGCCGGCTCCCACCCGTGTCCTTCCCGCCTTTGGAAGGCCACCGCTTTCTGGGTTCACCTCTGCGTCTGAAACGGAGCACCTGATGTGAGGGCGCCGTGGCAGAGCCCCAGGCCGCAGTGGCGCTGGGATATCACGAGCTCCTGCGGCTCCGGGAGAGCGGGGCGCCGGCGGGTGGGAGGGCGGGCAGGAGACGGCAGGGGTTGAATCCCTCTTCACGTTTACTTGCTAAATCAGGAGCTTCTGCGCGAGAGCTCTGCGGGGCACGAGCTGCCATGTCACCACATGCATGCACCCGGCGCACCTGCGCCCGGGAGGTGGAGCGTGTGGACACCCGGCGGCAGGGCCGGGTCTGCTCCTGGTGAAAGTGACTTTCCTTGGATCCGAGCTACGTGACTGACCACCGACCCCACGGAGAAAGCGCTGGACCTCCCAGGCCACCCTGCTTTCCCTGAGCGTGCCGGCGACTCCAGCAAGGAGCTGAGACGCGGCACCCCCATGGATGACGGGCTGACGAGGGGTGAGGGCGCAGAGCTGAGACCAGCCAGCAGTGGCAGAACCTGCCAACCCACAAAGTCTGGGCGATTCCTTCCAGAACTCTTTTACCACCTTAACACGATAAGGACGGGCTGCCGGAGACCAGGGAAGCAGAGGGAGCAGATGAAAACAGACAACCCGAGAGGCTGGGGTTCCGCCTGGCACGCCTTCTGAGAAAGGCGGCCCAGTCCCCAACCTGCGGCCCGAGGAGGGGGGACTCGCAGGGGTTGCGCAGGAAGGGCCGGAGGCCCTGGGGGTGCAGGGCAGCTAAAGGGAAATTGGTATCAGATGGTCTGAAAGAGCAATTTGTCACCTAGAATATCTATTTTTAAAGTCCAGTCCGGGCTTGAAGGTGCGCGTGGGGCCTCCAGGATCCTGTCTCCTGCCCGCGGCTGGGAAGCTGGTGGCACTGACCCAGGCGCCGCGGCCACCGGATGTGACAAAGGCCACAGCGCGACGCGATTATCCCGTCTGGCCACCTCCCAGCACCAGCCCGCTCAGGAGACTTCCCTGAAAGTGATTCTTTGAGGGAGTTTCAGTAATGGCTGCAGGTCAGGCCCCACCCCGGGGCTTGGGGCCGGTCGCCTGACAGGCTCCAATCCCAGCTGGAGCCCCCCAGTCCCGAGGGCGACACGGGCAGGGAGGGCCCCTCACCGTCACAGCCCCTCAGGGTCAACTCGTGAAAACTCAGGAGTGTCCACTTCCAATTTTAAAATTACACATGCACGCCCAGGGGAGGAGGGGCAGAGGACACGCTACGCCCCGGCTTCTTGGGCTAAATGGATAGGAAAAGTGTCAAAACATGAGGTTCTAAAAGAATTCTAGAGGTAAAACAAAAACTGGGCCTTGCGCCTGCATTTGCGCCTCCACGGTGCGGGCTGTGGGGATCCACCCCCGTCCTGTAAACACAGGTGCTCCTGGAGAGCCGCCCGCCCGAGCACTCGTCCGGGGCTCCTCCCGGCCACGCTGGTTCTCAGGAATGTCCCTGCCGACCTCACCGCCTGGGGGGCGCAGGCGCCTGCCCGTGGGCACCGGCCCAGTGTGAGTCTCCTGACCACCCCCCTTCCCCGATTCCAGCCTGGCCCAGTCGACGAGCTCCGGGGCAGGGCCCGGCCTCCGCGGGAACGTGACCTTGGGACTTGGCAGTGCTGCTCAGAGAACCCGGAAATCCAGATTCTATCTGCAACGCCACAAGCTGCGCCACACGGGTACACTTCAGACACCAGGCGGCCTGCACCCGGGAAGCCGCGGGTGGGAACAGTCCCTGGGGGGCAGTGGGCCCCTCAACACTGTCATCCCAGACGCCCCCAGGAGGAGCCTGGAGTACCGCGGTCAGGCCCACACAGGGTGCGTCCCAGCGGGGCACTGGGAGGGCTCCACCATGCCCTGTGCCAGGCCAGCAAGGCCCGGGGCTGTGCCTGCTGGCCCCAGAGCCCTCCCTGCCCCCGCGACCCGGCTCCCCTCAAGGCCCCAGGGGCGTAGCCAGGGCTGACCCGGCCACCTCGCCGGCGTCCGCCCTGCCCGGCATCACCTGCCACTCAGGCACCTCGAAACCCACCTGCAAGTGTGGAAGCCGCAGGGACGCGCATAAACGAACAGTCTGGCCGGCTTGCCCGCAAAGCCAGCAATAACCTGCTTTTCTTTGGCATTTCAAAGGCGGTCAGGGCTCGAGCGCAACAGGACGCTCAGGTCGGGCCGGTGCCCGGCGAGGGGGGCGGGGGGCGGCGGGCACCCGAGCCACGCGCCCTGCCCGGCCTTGAGCGGGGTCCGGGCCGCGCGCCGCGGGGGCCTAGGCCGGGCGCGGGGGGCCGGGGAGGGGGCGCGGGGTCCGCGTTACCTCCTTCTGCTGCCGCTCCAGCTCCTTCATGCGGATCTCGCGGGCTTCGGCGCGGGCCGCGCGCTTGGCCGCCAGCCGGGCCTCCGCCTGCAACAGAGGACACGGGTTACGGGCTGCGAGCGGGCGCGGGGGGCGTGGGGGGCGCAGGATTCGCGGCGCCGGAGGCCGGGACCACCCCGGGCCTCGCTGCGCGCCGCTCTGAGACCCCCGTGTCCCCCTGTCCAGCGCTGTGGGGGACACGCGGTGGTCACGGGGGGGGGGGGCCGCGGGAGGGAGGCCCCGGGCACTGCGGCGCCACCCCACCCTCCCTTCGGGGCAGGACGCTGAGGCCTGCGTGGAGGGGGCGCCGGGGAGGGCGGAGGAGCCCCGGCACCCCAGCCCCGGCACCTATCGCGCGCCTGGGCCCTCGTGGGCCTCACGGCCCCGGCCAGGGCAGAAGGGCTGTCCCAGCTTTGGGGGCCCCTGCGCGGACCATGCGCTCCTGGGGCGCTGCCTGGCGCGGGCATCAAGGCGCAAGCCCCGCTTTTGCTTTCCAGGCGACTCTGCCCGCCAGGGGCACAGGGCACGAGCCCCAGGATTCCGCCTCCCGTGTCAGAGGTGCCACCTCTGGCCACCTGCTCCTTTGGGGGGTTCCAGGCCGCTCTTCCCCGGCAGTTGCGCAGACACAATTCTCAAGGCCTCACTGTTCCCGAGATAATCTTTAAATGTTAAAAGTCGCCCGTGAGGCCTCTGGTGTGAAGGTGGGGGCACCGGGCGGGGGGCAGGCAGGGGCACCCCGCGCCACCTCGTGGGGAACCAGTGCCCCAGCCAGGTCGAGCTGCGCTCCCTGAAGGGCTTAACTCCTGCAGAGACTCGGGCCTGCCGGGCCAAGCAGCGCATATGGTGGGGGGCCCCGCGCCCCCCCCTTGTGGCTCCTCACACCCGAGAGTCAAGAGGTGCAATCACAGCTGCACCTGAACCGTGACACCTGCTTGCGCTTTTATTTTCTCCTCCCGTCACACGGCGTGAAGGGCCGGGCTGTGAAAGGTCCAGCAGAGGACATCCGGCCACACCGACTTCCTCCCGCACCCTGGCACCCGAGGGTGATGTTCACCAGGGGCGCCGGCTGCCCCTAAGCGGCACAGACCAGGCTCCCGGCCTGGGGGGTGGGCAGGGGAGGAAGAGGGGGTAGGTGAGGGGAGCAGAGGCGCGAGGAGGAGCAGGGGGGCTGGCAGGGTCAGGGCAGAGGCAAGTGAGCCGGAGGTGGGGTAAGGGGGACGGCCTCTGAGTGGGGACAGTCCAGGGGGCCGGAGGCCAAGGGGGCACTGGGAGGCTGCAGGAAGAGCCCCACCCACGCTGTGGGGACCCTGCGTCGGGAAGTGAGGTGTCTCCAGCCTCGGGGGCCTGTGGTCTAGCCTCTCAGGGCACCTCTGGGAGAGAGACGGGGGTGAGGCTTGGGGCCAGGGTGAGCTCAAGGCCAGGGGGGTTCTCCACCCACGGGCCTGCGCTAGGGGCATCACTGCGTCCCCACAGGGCTCCGGAAGGCTCGGGCCTGCCCTGGGGCACTGACCCAGGCCCCCTCCCCGCCTGCCCAGGGCTGGGGAGGTCCCTGGGCGTGGGGCTGCGCACAGCGGAGGCAGGGCTTGGGGAGCGATGCCGGTCCACATGGGGGGGCGGGTCAGTGGGAAGGGGGTGCTGGCCCATCAGGGGCCACGGAGGAGGGTGAGGGCCGGAGTCTCCCCTGTGGGCCTGGAGAAGCTGCCAGGAGTGTGAGGGGCTGGGAGATGAATTTGGTCCACAGCAAGCGGGCCGTCCTCCCACAGCCGGGAGCCAAGTCCTGCCACACGGTGCCCCAGGAAGGCCCTCAGCTCCGGAAAGCCCCCAGCGCCCGTGACCGCACCCAGGAGGCCTGGGCGGAGGCCGCACTGGCTGGCCTGGGGCCTGACCCCAGACGCGAGGGGATGCGTGTGGAGCTGCAGCTGTGAAGCATGTGGCCATTTGCTCAGGAGGGGATGACAACTAAGACAGGCGGGGAAGCCTGAGGCCAGGCCTGGTCTCACAGTGACACCCTCCAGCCCCTGCCCAGCCCGGCCTGGCTCTGTCTGGCCTGGGGCCGAGATCTTGAGGAGACCACCCACCAAGCATACACGCGGCCAGGCATGGGCTGCCCACCTCCCGCCTGGAGACGGAGGCTTGAGGGGCACTGCAGGCTGGACACAGGCCCCGTCTCCAGCTCCCAGGGAGGGGCCACCCCCTCCAGCTTTGGTTTCAGGGCTGGATCCCCAAGCCTCGTAAGCAGTAGGTTCTCAAGATGATTTCCATGCAAAGTAGCCAAGTGGGCGGGGGATGTGTGTCCTGCACAGGAGTGGACAGGAGGACGGGCACCGGGCAGTGGGACCCTCGCTGGCCCCTGTCCCCACCCCGAGGCCCCCCAGCTTCCATGTGTGTTTTATTGCAGTTTCACAAATGCTCAGCTTTCCGAATCCCTTGCTCGGGGCACGGCACTGGGGTCCCCCAGCGAGGGGTTCCCTTTACGGTCATGGCTGCAAATATGATGGCCACAGAGGGGCAGGCGTGGGGCTAACCACTGATACGGCAGCAGCGCTAGCCCCCACCCTGCACACAGACTGACCCCGAGAATCTTCCCACGGGTCCCTCAGGCAGGCAGCAAACCCCCCTGTAGTGCTGAGGTCACAGACGGCATGCTCAGTGCAGTGACCAGTCCAGGAGCGCAGGGACAGAAGGAAGCTGGACTGGGCTTCGCTGCCCGTGAGTCACCATGTCGGGATGGCCACTGGCCGGGGCAGCCGGCCGTGAGGTTGTGGGTCTGAGGGCGCCGGGCCTGGTGAGCGCCGGATGCTGGAGCTCGTGCTCTGTTCCTGCACCTCGGCTTCGCTCTGCTTCAGTCCCGTGGTCAGGACGCTGCGCGTGGACAGTATTTTCTGCCGCTTACGAATTCCACTCGGTAAAGAGGATGTAAAGACCAGCAGGGCTGAGAGAGGGGCGCTGGGGGCGGCGGGCTGTGGGCCTTTCCACGCGGGCCCGCCTCGTGTCCTGCCCGTGGCTGGCCGGAACCACTGGTCACAGGGCGCGGGCACAGGTGGCGCCGGCGCTTCAGCCACAGAGTCACACCACGAGCTCTAGCGACGACGCGAGCATCTGCAGGACGGCCCGTTCAAGACCAGAGCGAGCTGCAATGTAACTCAGCTGCCACCCAGGCGGCGCCGATGGACTGCGGCGAAGGGGCAACGCTGTCGTGGAATTTTCTTCTCGCCCTTCTCCCCGGCCTCTGAACCTCAGAAGTCTCGTTTCTGTTGTCAGGGCCGCTAGTTTCCACGAGTCCTTCTCTTTGTCCAGCTGTCCGCCACGCAGCCGCCCAGCTGCTGTCGCCGGCCTTCCGACTGGTGCTGCTGCTCAGCAGCCCCAGCTCCCTCCACTTCCTGCATGTGGGACGCACCGCCCTTCCTGTGGCTGCACCGAGCTCCGCCATGTGGACGAACCACCTCCTATTTATGCCCTCGCCCCTCCCCATAGGTGGGCCGCAGGGGCGACCTCGAAGCTGCCGTAGGCTCCCTGCAGGGCGCACCCAGACTGCTGTCTGGTTGGGGGAGGGGCGGCCTCACGTTCCCTGGATCAAGGCCGTGAGCGGGGTGGCTGTGCCCCTGGGTTTAGCTTTTTCAGGCGAACCCAGATGGCTTTCCAAGTGGCCACACCCATCCTCCCGCCAGCCGCGCCGGCCTTTCTCCTCTGCGCCCCTGCGGCAGCTGCAGTCGGGGCCTCCTAATATGTGTCACCCACCCGGGAGGGGGCACGGGGTCTCGGTGGCACCTCCCTCACGCCACTTCCCTGCTGGCCCGGACCCGCTCCTGGGGGGACTGTGCCCAGACCGGCCGTCTGCTCACAACGGGGCTGCCGCTCGCCTGCTGTCTTTCCTCGCGCGTGAGTGGCCACAGATGCTGGAAATCAGCCTCTCGTTGGGGGACGTCCGCTATTTTCTCCCACTCAGTCCTTTCTAATCTATTCTATGTTCCTTTGCCACATAGAAACCTTTGAATTTGAGGTGACCCCAGTTGCTCATTTCTGCTCGTATTTGCCTTGCAGTCTCCACAACCACCCTGACGACCGTGGCGTGAAACACAGCGCTGCCGCCTCTGCGCTGTCAGGGGCTTTATGAGAAAACAGCAGCCTCGGAAGAGCTGTCTCCTTGCAGGGTTGCTGGGGGCTGGGCCCTGCGGGGCCTGGCGGACATGCCCCCGAAGCAGTGGGCACCCACTCTCCGGCTGCGGCCGCTGAGTCCTCAGCAGGGCCCGGAGTCCTGCAGACGGAGCCTGGCCGGGGGGCTCCCAAGCCTTGGCCACCACACAGGCAGCCCAAATTATCCATGGCCGTTGCTGCGGTGGGTCCCGGAGACCCCTTGCCTCTGAGGCTCTTGCGTCTCCACACCGGGGGCTGCCCACGGAGGCTGCCTGAGAGCTGGAAGTCTTCCGACTTTGCTGCGTGGAAAGATAAACTTCTCCAAATACTAAAGCAAACCCATCAGCCAGGAGCAAGAGTCTTCATGTGACCTCCAGAGTGACGTGACGACTGACATCTACCTCGCTGGACCTGGCCACTGTCCACACTGGTGCTGACCGGTGCACATCTTCCAGGCAAGTGTCTCCTCTTGTGATCATGTTTTAATTTTTGTGTGAGGTGAGCGGATGTTCCTAGGTCCCCCAGTAGCCTCGGCGTGCTGGGAGGACAAATGGCAGCAGAGGGGACCAAAACCAGCACGCGCATGTGTGTGTGTGTGCGCGCGTGTATGTGTGTGCGTGTGTGTGGCAGGTGAGGGCAGTGGCCGGTTGGCCCCCTGCAGCCAACCTTGCCACTCCTGCCTGTGCCTGGCTGCTTGCATCTTCCCCGCCAACCCCACGCCTGGACGGTGGGTCCCCTCAGGCTGGGGACGGCTGTGCAGCCCCGCTGCCCTGCCTGGGGTGGCCAGCGCTGCCCACGCCTCGCCTGCAGGCAAGTGGCGCTGCGGGAACCAGGCAGGACAGAGCCCTAAGCCCCAGCCCTCTCAACGGGCCCCGTGGGCGGGCGCGGGGACACCGGCCAGGGAAGGGCTGTGTGGCAGCAGGTCTGGCCAGGCCGACACAGGAACGAGGAAGCCGTGGCTCCTGCGTTTCGCCTGTTCTTTCCCTTATTTAGGAAAGTAGTGAAGTGCGTGGAATGTGGCCTGTCCTGAAAACTACCAGAAACAGTGAGGAAACCCTGAGCGGTGGAGACTTGTCAAAAGCTTCCGGAGCAGGGCCTGGTCCCCGGGGCGGCCTGCAGGGTTGGCGCCGGGAAGACCGGGGCACGGCGGGGTGCTCCCTGCTGCACTGCCTCCCCTGGGGACGGATGAGAGCAGCACCGAGTTCACACCCGAGTGAGCTGTGTGGACGGGAAAGTCCCCCGGCAGGTCTGAGGCTCAGCTTCCTCTTTCTCACCCAGTGGAGATAACCAAGCTCCAGGTCCCTGCCAGGTTACATGGGGGAGGCGGCTGCGCTGCTCGACCCCTGGCTCCTCCTGGCAGTGTTTTTGGGAACAGCGGGGGGGGGGGGGGGGGGGGAGCAGCACGTGAGCTCAGCTCAGATTAAACTCATGAGCATCCCCGCCCCCAGCAGAGCATCCAGAGCAAGCACCTGGGGGAATTCAGGGGAGAGTCCCAACCACACCCCAAAAGCACACGCCTTGGTTCTCCTCCGCCCGGGAAATCCAAGAGAAACGCCGCATCGCCGGGCTCCTGACAGGCACGTCAGCGAGGCACCGGTTAAGAGTCTCGCTGTTGTCAGTTAAGACAAATCACTCCTCTCCGTCCAAGCAGCGCGCGCTAGATTCAGGGTGACGGCAGCCAGGCGCTGGCGAGCTGCCAAGGCCAGACTTCGGACATGCTGCACATCTGTGCCCCCGGGCTGGCCGGCGGCTTTGGGGGGAAAGGGGTGCAACCAGACACCTAGTGGTTTTGAACAATTAAGTCCGGAATGTAGTTAAAAATCGCGTTTTGTATAAAGTAGGAGAAAGATGCTCGCTTCACCTGCGCTCGTGAAAGTTCCCGTAAACCCAGTCCACGAAAATAAGTCGTCTGATTACAAAACAAACACTCCTAAGATTTGCGTGGCCCACAGCAAAAGCAGGAAGGTCCTGGCAATTCCTCTCGTGCAGCCCACGTCCAGATGCACGTAGCAGGCACCACTGTTAGTCACCCGGGCCGCTGAGGTTAATACCTTGACACATGTACAGATTTTGGAAATGCCGCTTCTGAGTAACAAGCCATAAACAATTCCAGTGCTGAGTCACGAAGCCTGATTTTCAGGGATAAGAAATTCCTCTTGAACATTGCCTTTTGAGGAGCAAACATCTCTGCCGGCAATTCTGCAGAAAGGCAGCGTCGCCTGTCAGGTAACTCCCGGGGGCGCCTCCGGGCGACTGCAGAGAACGTGATTTTCTGCCCTTGGGGGGTGGCAGTTCGGATGGAATTTTTTCCTTTGCTGGAGGCTTCCCTCTGCGCTGGCCAGGCTGGCAGACTGGGCCCCCTCTGTGCCCTAGTGGCCGCTTGGCACTCGTGGGGAAAACCTAACTTGCTATTTTTATATCCTCGCTGCTCAGGGAAACAGCCATGCAAAACCGCCCGGCGACTCCAGGGCTGAGAGTGTCGAGGGCTGAGAGTGTCGAGCGCTGACCCCTCCCCCGTCTCCCCGTGGACGCGGCCTCTCCGGGGCTGGGGACCTGTGCGCAGGTGTGCACCGTGGGGGGGACCTGCCCCCCCCCCCCCGCCAGCCAGCTGCTCCGTCCCGAGGGCTTGGCGTGCCTCACTGTGTGGAAAGAGGTAGGGGGGCACCACTATCCACTTATGGGGAAGTGACCAGACTGGAGGCCCCTGCGGTTTCCACCTTGCCCTCTATGGCCCAGGCCGGCGCCCTGCTGTGAGCTGGGGGCGGGCAGGGCCAGGGGGCTGGAGTGTGCCCCAGCGCCAGCCTCCTCTAGTGATTGGGCCCCGCCTTCTCCCCAGGAGACCCTGTTCCCAGGACACACCGGCTCCCAGGGCCCACTGGAGGCCCACTGGAGGCCCGCTGGACATGGCCCCGCCCTCGGGCAGGGGCGACGCCCTCTTGAGCCCTTATCTCTGATCGCCCAGTGCAAGTGCTCGCGGCTGTCACATTAAGCTCATGAGCCGGGCCTGCGTTTCCTGTCCGCTCCCCACCGCCCACTCTCAAAAATATCTTTGCTGCTATTTACTTAAAAAACCTAACAAGAGTCATAATTTCTTACCAGAAACCTGTGGGGCCACATGTGCTTCAGAGCTGAACACTTGGATTTTAGGGGGGCACTAAGCCGCGCTGGGGCTCCGGCACACCCAGCGGGATGGCCCAGCTGGGCACACGCGGCCAGAGAGGCCCCGAGACCCCTCGGGGGCAGCGTGAGGCCCACGGCGGGGCCAGGCATCCTCACGGCTTAGGAAAACAAACTTCCCGTTTTCAGTTTCCTGGACCCTGGAATTGGGGGGGTGGCGCCTGTGGGCT